CTGGTGTCTGAGATTGGTGGTGTCTCTCTGTCCTTGTCTTTGTCATGAATTGTACGATTTTTGGTTGCGTTTTGCAAATGGAATTATTTCATTTTTATGGGAAATTCGCCCAACTCGTGTCGTAAGACAATAAAATCCTGCGACACCAGCCTGAATGGAGCACGGACATATTTCAACATGTCACTAGCTTTGTCTACACATCCTGCTGTCTGGTAGGAGTGTTGCTGGAAAATACGGGCAAATAAATCATTTTATTGCAATACAATTTCTGTAGTCAACCGCCGCCCACCCAACATTTCCTCAGTCGGACCACCCTTACTTACAGCTTGACAATGGGCAACGGATGCTTACCATACGCTTTGCCGATGCCTGCCACGGGCTGTCAGTCAGTCAGAGATGTGTGCGAGTACTAAGGCCATTTTATGTGGCCATTGGGAGCATACTGGAACGACAGTTTCAAATTGATATAATATTAATAAGAGTGGGTCTGTCAATAAAGCAGCGCGTCCAAGGACTAACAATCCGGATGTTATGTCCACAAACACAGCGAGAGACTTTCATCATGCACCGTATTTCATCCAAGCCAATTCTCAGTCTTTTTTTTTTCTTCTTTTCGTTGGTTTTATTATCGCTCAATCCAATCTCCGCCAGCTTTTCGCTTTGGTGTGTATTGAATGTGCAATTGGTATATGCTGTTGGCGCCGGAAACAACTGGCAACACTTTTGAAGCAGCTCGCAACGGATGTGCTGCTTTTTTCTTTTTTTTTTTTGTATACATATATTGTCGGCTTACGGATATTTCCTTTTCTACTCTCACTGTGTGCGTGTGTGTGTGCGTGTGAGCAGTAGAGAGTACTGTTCCGAGCTTTAGTTGCATGTCGGATTTGGCCCTGCTGGAACTTATGCCAGATTCGGCGATGCAATTAATACTTTAATGGCGCACACGCAGCCTGGACGAAAATTTAATTTAATTATTAATTAACAATGGCCTGCACTGCGGGGCCAGCGAGCTATTATGCTTATTAAACCAAGCGCAAAGCCAATTAACTTTTGCACACACAAACGTACACACACACACACACACGCACACAAACAAATATATATTTAACTGAAGTTTAATTTTGTGCCCGGTGCTGCGCTATTTAACTTGGCCCATTCTCAACTGTCTTATTATTTGTTCAGAGGCCGGCGTAATTGCGTTTAAATTACAAACAAAGCAGTAGCAGCAAGCAGCGGCAAACAGCCAAAGCATCTTGGCCAGGTTTACTGCGGTAAAGTGGTAGCGGGTGAGGTCGTTGGCCCAAGATCAAAGTCAACGTGTCGTGTTCTGTCGCCTTGCAGCCAAAGTTTAGCTGGCCCTATTTCCTTAACGGTTGCACTGCACGAAACTTTGTCCTTTTGCCAGGCGCACCTCATCTCAAGCGCCGGGCTAGCCTCTAGTTAAATGCTACCCCAACTCTTTGGCCCTTTCACTTCCGCACCTTAAAATATTCACAATAAAAGTTATTGTTTGCCACTTTGCGAGCACGTATGTATGTGTGTGTGTGTGTGTGTGTGTGTGTGTGTGTAAGTGTGTGTGTGTGCCAAGCTCACACTTTGGAAACCATCCTACAAAGTTTGCACATTGCTCAGTGGGCGCCTTTGATTGTTTTGTGGCCAGAGCCTCTGGTGCGCCGATGTGTCAAGATTGCCATCGAAAGGGCTCTTTGGGATATTTGAAAGATGGCAAAGTTTGATTGGCGCACAAAATGGCATCAAAACTAAATTGAAACAAAACATAATACAATATAATTAACTTATGACTTCGTTTACTCAATAATCTAGTTGTACCCTGTACACTCGAAAAGGATATATCCAGTTCCAAAAATGTAGCCTTATTTCTACACTAGTCAGCCATAATTTTCTGTGACTTGAAGATAGTTGAACTCAATTTTGTTGTCTCGAAATATTTATATTAATAAATCGACTTATAAAATAATGATATAATATATCTGAAAATGCAGGTAGAAATATAATCACACTTGTGCATCGACATCTGAATTTTCGAGCATGTTGTCAGCTCTTAAATAGACCTGCTTTATAGGCAAACCTTGTTGACCTCTTTTGACAAATTGGTCGTGTGCGACGGCATTAAGATCCCGCGGCTGTTTGCATTATTTCTCGGAGCTTTACGGCTCGTTTATGGTCTACTTGAATATGGCATAAGGACGGGGCTATTAAATATAATTGCCAGCCATTTTTACAATCTACTTAGGAAATCATTTTTAATGCGCTTTCAAAAGCCCCCCTTTCCGGCTTGCTTATGCTAATTGTGGACGGTGGAAAGTGCCCGGCACCCTGTAAAGCGTGATACGAAACAATAGAGTTTAGAAATTTAAATTAACATTTTCAGCAAATGTAATAAAAATGGACAAAAAGAAAACGTAAATAAAAATAAAAAAGAAAACTGGCAAGCAAAGCAAAACAGTTAAATTGCTTTTGACCAGCACACGGGAGAATGCGGTCCGTTCTAGCCTCAACCAGGTGGGCACGACACGTGCTTTATTCCTTGCTGGGCGTTAGATTTTTTATGCATTCCCAACGTTGTTGCGGTTGACTTTGGTTTACAGTTGCCCTTTCTTTTGCTCTGCCGCTGTTGTTTATGCGGTCAAATTTCAAATGCCAGCAAAAACCACTGAAAAAAGCAAAGGCAGAAGGCGACCGTTTTACATTTCACTTCCACACATTTATATCTATATATGTATTGTTTATGTATATATATATATATATGTATAGATTTACATATTTTAATGTACTGGACAGGAATCGATTCTTTTATTTCGAATTCTAAGGCTGGTCAAAGGGCTGCGACTGACTTGAAGCTGACAACAAAAAGGAACAAAAACAAAAGGCAAGCCAAGCAGCAACAGCTACAGCAAGGACCCAGCCGGCGAAAAGGCAGCATAAATTCGCATACATACATATACATACACATATATATATATATATATATATATATACAAAACTCACTCACACATTCAGATCCCATTTTCCACAGACACATGCATACATACACAACATTTCACACTCGCCCGGCGAACGGGGTGCAAAAGTTGAGGGACAAATGCAAATACACAAACAATGTCGGCGAGGGGCTACTAAGCCAAGCTAAGAAGGTTTCCGTAAACAAATACACACACAAGCACACACACACACAAACATACACATACACACACACGCATACAGAGCCGCACATGTTGGGGCGCAGGCGTTGTTGTTGGCTTTGCCAGTTGGGCATATTCATAGTTAAAATTTGGAGAGACAGCGTCGAGAGATTTGGCAAACAGCAGTGTCGACCCAGGACCAGTCTCCCCTCCCTTACCGCTTGCCGCCTGTCGCGTTAATCAAGCCTCATACTACAATCCCCAACAAGCTAAACAACAACAGCAACAGCAGCAACACCAACAGCAACAGCAGCAACAGTAACAGCAACAATGCAAAGTAAGCACGTGCCAAAATGGACACAACATTCATACAAACATCGGTGGCTCTAAAAATTGTGTATCCCTGCAGTCCCATCATCCCATCCACAATAAAAATAATTATCTACAGTGGGATATAGCTCCCACTGTTATAAAATAGACTCTAATATTTTATTGCAGCCGAGCAGACTGTTTCCTGAATTCGTTGAATTCGGCTTTAGCTTAAATTACAACACTAACTTCTTCCCACTCCAGTTGTGTTGTTGAAAATGTACTGATTTCCTTCGGGAATACATAATTACGAAATTACTGTTTGTGGTTTCTTATTAATGATAGCTTGGCACATAATTTAAAGTTTTTTATATAAAAAAGACTACCCTTTTTAAGTTTCTTCTTTTTTTTTTAATTTACATTAAGTTTAACAAGCTTGTTTTTTAAAACACAATCAAAACATCATTTCTGAATAACTTTGTTTCCTTTAAATACAAATGGCAAACAATTTCGGTCAAAATTTCGAAATCGGAGTAACTATGAAAAATATTCCAAGTTAAACCAATTTCAATAGGATATACACTTTTCTTGACAATGTTTTCACATTCAATTTATTAGGCTCTTCAAATTCTGTCAATTGTAAAAACATAATTTAGGCGGTACATGTATATGTATATATATATATATATGTATATATATATATAGAGAACACAATATACGCAAAACTTGAAATACAACAATGTGAACTCTGACCACCAGCTATTCGCAAAGCAGATAATGTATGTATGTAAATATGGCTATTAAAATCGATTGATTTTTTGATGGTTATTGCCCTAAATTGTGTACTGCTTTATTGCACATTGGGAGTTAATGGAGGCTCGTGAAGGTAATAACAAATAACAAAATAGCACAAATAACAACTCACAATGATGAAGAAAGCTGAAAGGGCTAATGGCTAATGAGATGAATATGGTAGGACATTAATGGGCTTTGGGCCAAAGAGGTTGTAAAATAAACGAATAAGGAAATACAGCACAATTTATTTTTACTTAGATGAGCTAATTAGAAGCTTAAGCATCTTAACTAATATACAAATAAATATTGATGACTTAAGCTGCTCTAATGCTGAATGTAATTTAGATTAATTACGTTAGTATAAAACTGAATTCTACCAAATATAATAGATATATATTGTATGTTATTTATCACTCTAGTTGAATAAAGACAGCAAATGATTGCTGATGATCGCTAAATGCATGAGTGCTCAATTGCGCTTTTTGTACATTCGGAATTTAAAAAAAAAGAATTAAATAATACAATTTAAAATATTCAGCACACTGACATTTTGTATGAGGACTTTTCAAGCCGATTGAATGATTTCCCTTGTTGCTCCTCTATAATTTACGTATTGCATATGGCTAACAAAATATTTATGCAGCCAATCTACATTTTAAACTTTGACATCGATTCGCTTTTATATGATTTAGATGTGCACAAAAATGATCAGCCGCTAATCGAATTTGTCTATTTGCTTACATATATTTGCAGATTATATTATAACACTTATATCGGCCACTTGAGTGCAGCAGCACAACCAGCTAAAACAGCTAAAACACCAAAATGCCAGCAGCAAAAACCAAAAACGCTGCAGTATAAATCAGCGGAACTGAGCATGCGACAATTTGTACATATATAGATGACCCTCACAGTGGGGAGTAGTATTAAAGCCAGCCCACTCATACATGCAGACATATGGATAGTATTTATTAACCCAATACTCTCTTATACACACACACACACAGAACACCCCCACATAGTTATAACTAATTGATTCGAGAGCGCTGACGAGTTATTGATTGCAACGCAAATATGTAGCATACGAATAAATAAATAAATAGATAGTTATGCTGACGAGAATTTAGTACGTTCAAAGCGCTGAGATTCAAAAAATATCACAAATTGTAATATCTATAAATTGTTAACGACAAACAAATTCCAATGGCCACGCAAAGGAATATCAAATTGCATAACAACTTTCAAATTTAGTATGCAAATAGTGCTCTGTTAGATATAGTTTACATACATTTAATCTATTTGTACCAGCTGTATATATTAGAGATAGTTTATTAAATATTTGATTTCCAAATTTGTTATGCTGTTGAATTTAGGTACATTAAGAGGTTAAGATTAATTGCCTTGGCGGGGGAGAGCAAGGGAGCTGTATTATTTATTTCGCTCCTCTAGCCAGTATAGTATTTAAGTAGGCAAGTATCCCAAGGAACTATTGAAAATTGTCAAACATATAGTATTAAAGCAATGGGATGGATCGAAGGGCGTAGGCATTCTGAATATATTTGGATCTGATGAATAATAATACAAATTCTATGCTTATAGAAAATTATATAAATATATATATAAAAACAATTGACGACCAAACAAAAGTTTAACTTTATATTTAGAAACTCTAAAGATCATACTTTAAATACATATAGGAATGGTACTAAATTAAAGCCAACTGAATAGACTAGTTGAGTCAGTGCGAATCTTTGAGAACTATGTCATATGTGAGATATGTAAGCGAATTTTCAGATATTCTAATATGCATTGGTCTTAATTACATAATACAATCAACACATTTATATTTCATATAGATAGAATGGGTTCATGTGCTCCATCTGTAACTTCATTTAACGTTCTGAAAACAAATAAAATACTAAAATTGAAGGCTTGTTAGTGATATTAATTTTAAAAACGAAACTGACCCAAATAATACAACAGCCTAGTTTATCATACAGAAAATATTTTAATTTGCTTGAGATGCCTTTAAAAAAAAAAACCTTGACAATGACATCCCAGCATCAGTTTTAAACTAAAGTGAGCAGCCGTTAGTTTATAGTCAAATCAAATAAAATCTAAAACTGTTAAGCAAATATTTAATATACATTTAATGAAATATCTGGCTGGATGTTGTATTGGAATAATGTCAGAGACACATACGTATACAAGGCAGCTCAGTCATCTGTTATGGCAAATTAGAATATTTAGTTCACCCAAAACTAGGTAATTATATAAGTGAATTCTGTAATTTGTGTTGACAACTGATTGTAAATAAGAGAAATTAGAAAACTCAGCATTTGAAATACAAAGTAAAACACTTATATCGACTTAAAACAAATACTAAATTATAAAATGAAAAAAATAAAAATAAAAACCGCAACACTGGCACATTAACAATAAGAAACATTAAGCAACGCATAAGTAAACAAGTTCCAAGCAAGACTTGCAAATATTCACACACACACACACACACACATACACACACACACACACATATATATATATATACGCAGACATATATGGACACGTTCGAACACACATACACACAGAAAGAACAAGAAGCATCGCATCACAAGGCACATAAATGCAGAATATCCAAATCAATTTAGCAAATATCATTAAATATTAACGAACTGTCTGAGCAAAAAACCAACTAACTAAAGCGAATGACTAAGCTAAAGTGAAACGCCACCAGCTATACGAGTATGTACAATGAAGAAGCGTTAAATAAACGAAATAAAAACAAACATCAAAAAATAATTATTTTAAATTCCATCTCTACCATACAATTTCATTTCTTCACTTGTACTCCATCTAAATGCCACCATCAACAAAGTATGATCTGGTGGCTGGTGTGGTATGAAGCCAGGTCTGCAATGCGCTTGGGACTCATTTCTCGCACATTCGCTTAAACATTCAATTGGATAGCCGGAAATGGATGCGAAAGACTGCAGCATTCAGTGATTGAATGCTCTGTCGTTATAGGGGTCAGTAAGTAAGCATATGTGTGCATAAAAACCCACTACATACTCTAATGTGCACCCATTTAGATTGAATTAAATTGGAGTAACAATGGGAAGCCTCAAATGTTCTTCTTATGTATTTTGTATTGAGTAAATCAGTAACTATTTCTACACTGATCAAAATCCAAAATAATAATGCCACGATTTAGTGTCGAGGAAATTCTGTTTCTTTGAGTTAAAATAGAGCATTCAAAAACCAGGCTACTTACAAAAAAGAGATGTATATATATATATATATATGCCTTAATTATCCACATCAGTGATTTGATTTAAGTAAAGTCGCCTATTTTAAAATTGTGTTAACAGATAATTTGCTGCACGTATACGCAGCGTATTCCAAACATCTCCTTTATATTCAGTGGAGCTGCAAATCAAAATACCCAAACCAAAAACGCCGCCATCCAGCATCTGTTAAATGTAATTAATATTGCTGGCCACTGCGGTCGGAGGAAACGAATTAAATGAATTAAATTAGCCGCTTCACGCAAAAAATATGCAAAACGAATGCGTAAAACCGACCAGAAAAAAATTTGATATAAGAAAACGAAGTTAAATAAAAAACCCTAATGAAATATGGTAAATACGTGTGTAAATAGCGTTTTCACTTTTTTTTTTATTTTTTTAATTGCCGGGTCTGGGGCAAATTTGCACCTAATCTGAAAGTGGGCGACAGGTGCTTAGCAACACAGGCACCAGGTATTTCTCTGTCTCCCTCTCTCTCTCTCTCTCTCTCTCTGTCTCTCTATCTGTCGCTGTATTTTCTCTGTCTAACGCTCGTTTAAATGCCGCGCAACAAGCATTTATGTAAATTGAAAATATGCCGGAACGGGGCAGCCATTTAAATTCAATTGTCAACCGCATCTCTGGTGACGCCATGAATATCCGTGTATGCGGGAGAAAGAGAGAAAGAAAGAGAGCGGGAGAGAGAGAGAAAGAGAGTGAGAGTTTCGCAGATTGAAGGTGCAGTGGCAGAGGGCAAACCACAAGCTGTGCTGCCACTGTCCGCTGCCAGCCTGTCTGCTGTGGTTGGTGCCGGCAATCAGAATTTATATTTATTACTACGATTACAGTTCAGTTCGAGCGCGCAGTCAGTGCACACCACAGATTTACATTCACCTTCACGTTCATCAATAGTCTCAGAGAGAAGTCTTTAAATTGTATTCGTATATATATACGACTGAACAATGGAACGAGTGCTGACCATATTCGAGAAGGCTGATCCCTTCTCCACTTGGTGGCCTACTATAGCCGCCGTAGTGGTCGGCCTTGTGATTACAGTGCGGTGAGTGGTTTGGGTTGGGGTCGGCTCATATATTTTCATGAGGCAACAAGGAAACGCGTCGTTGCATGTAGGGCTGATGATAAGATGTGGCCATTGCACAAACTTTGCCGGACACGTATATATAGATATATATAAATGTCGCGCACAAGTTAAAAAAAACTCGCTTAACTCGAAACTTTTTAAGTGGATTTCATAAAGATGGTCGTTGGCTCAGAACACTATCGCCGCCCCTCCTCATCACATAGCATTCTACATCCAGCTGAGCCAACTTTAGCGGGGACTGTGTTGGATAACATGTAATATCTAAAGATTATTTTTTGCGCCCTGCGCTTTGAGCATCGCGGTTTTTGTGGCCTCTGCCATCAGCTACCACCAGGTGTAAGCCACTTTGGAGGAAGCAGAGGATGCGTTACGGTAACGGATAGAAGGCAAGCGGGGAGGTGGGCGTGGTAGCAGAGAACAACGTGGTGTTGCAATTGCAGTACGTAACAACTGTCGTCTGACAACTGCGGCAGTGTCAAAAGCTGCTTCAAATATTTGTAAAGTGGATTTGCGCAAGTTGGCTAAAAGTAAATTGCGTTGGCAAATGAATTCTATAAAGTCGCAAATGCCGGGACGATGGCAAAACTTATTTAAGTGCCAAATAAGTGTCAAGCAATGAAGTGGAACGCTCTAATATCACGCAGCATCCACACTATAAAACTTACACAAGTAGTTCAGTAAATTATAAAAATCGAATTCGACTTCCTACAGCTTTTGACAGCTATATGGCTCTAACAAAAGGCGAAATATCCGATTACTTTTCGGATAAGATTCCTCCAGCAACAGTTCGAAATGATTTGTGGACGATTTTAAATTATTATTAAATGTTGAATGTATTGAATTTATAGCCAATGGTTTAAGGGAATGCATATATTGTATATCTATATTTAGTCCATAAATAATATATTAAAACAATCAATAAACATAAATGATGACACTGTGCAGATAAATTATGACACATTTCGAAGCGTTTTTCAAATAAGTGCCAAGCAGTATTAGTGAATATTTAATATGTAATTGCATAACAAACCAATACAAATAAATTTTAATGGAAAATGTATTCAATTTAACATATCTTTAGTGATAATTTAATTAGAATACCAAAGATGTGTCGCAGTATTAAAGTGTTGAATATTGGCTTACTGATTGATGATTTATGGTATACTAATTATACATATATAATTGGGTTAATCAAGCCAAGAGGTCAATTTACAACTGTCTACCTGCATATGCTAATAGGCTAACATATTTCATTGACACCTATGAATACGCCCGAGGGGCGCCAACACGTTAAGCACCCGGCCACATGATGATTACATGTCCTTAAGCTTGGCCAATCGCCCGTCCCCACCCAGTCCCACGCTCAACCCAATCTCAGGTGTGTTCATATATGTATAATTTACCATTGCCCGTATTTGCAGGACGATAATGAGCGGCCAGCGTTGTCCCAACGATAATCAAATCAAGGAGCAAATTGTTGTTATTACTGGGGGCAGCAGCGGCATTGGCTTTGAGATTGCCAAAGCGCTAGCGGCGCGTGGTGCACGCATTATCCTTGCCTGCCGCAATATGGTGGAGGCCCAGCGTGCCGCTGCCATCATTAAACGAGAACTCGGTTGCCAAACGCCAACCTCAAGCGATGACAGCAGAAGCCCGGCGGAACGCTATTTCGTGGAGGCCCGTCATCTGGACCTGTGCTCGCTGCAGAGTGTCCACCAGTTCGCTAGCCAGCTAATGGCTGAGTTTGAGCGCATCGATGTGCTGGTGAACAATGCGGGCATTGTGTTTGGCGATACACGCCTACCGACGCCGGATGGCTTTGAGCCACATTGTCAGGTGAACTATTTGGCGCCGTTTCTGCTGACACAGCTGCTGCTGCCGCATCTGCGATTGGCGGAGCAGGGACGGATTGTGTTTGTGTCGGCGCACGCTCACCAGGCGGCCAAAATCGATTTTGACGATCCGTTGAATGTGGGCACCTGGGCGGTCAAATTCCATGCACGGGATGCCTTCGCCCATTCGAAGCTGGCCGTGATTTTGGCCACTCGCTGGCTGGCCAGAGAGCTCAAGGGTAAATAATTGAATTACTTTGCTGTCTTTGAAAATACGCCGCTGATTTCCCCGCAGATACCCCAATTACGGTCAACTGCTGTACGCCCGGGCTTGTTAGAGGCACCCGACACCTGCGCAAGTAAGTAAAAAATAAAAAAATAAATTTAAAAAAAACTAAAATTGAAATTGAAAAACCAAAATCGCCGCAAAGTTATGCACAGTAATCCCAAAAGTTGCAATCGGCGCAATGTGCAACTGCAACTAAATTTTTAAGCACATTTTGCGGCCGCGCAAATAAACTTTTTTCCACTTTCATTTTGGCCAAAAAACGTGACCTGTAGTGGGCGGTGGCGGGAGCGCGGGTCAAACGTAGGCCAAGTGCTCAAAACGGCCAAACCATTAGCGTGGCCAGTCAGCTGGCATCGCATCAAGGTATCTAGGTACCAAATGCCGAAGGTCGAATGAAAATGTAATTAAAGATTTCAAATGGAAAGTCTTGCAGTGCAGTTCGAGCTAAGTGCTTGCGGACCCATCAAAGCAGTCAAGGTTGATTTTTTAGCATTATACGAACCACTTTTCCATCACAAAAAATAATATAAAACAGTAAAAAATATTGAGTTAATATGCCGGTAATATTTAAGGTATTTTCGAAAGCTTACTTTTAGGTGGAACAGTTGATTAAATAGATTCAGTTATACGGTTATAAGTCAAAAATCGATTCAATTATTTTTCGAATCCTTTTCAACCATATTTTCTTTTTGACTATATACATATGTATATTTATATAGCAATCTCTTGTACAAACGATTTCCAAGACTTAATGACTGTCTAAATAAACGAACGATCCATTAGGATAACTGTCAAGGACAGCAATTGCATTACACACAGCGAGTAGAAATTGTGGAAAATGGGGAGCCTGACGGCATAGACCTAACGCCTGTGCATGCAAATGGATTGTTGGGCCATGATTCATACCCCTAGCGTAGCGGGCACTGGCCCAGCATCACTTATCTCATTCGTAAAGTGGTTGTGGGACGCGGGAATGGAAAAATTCAAATTTGCACAATACAGAGAAAAGGACGTGCAAACACGACAAACAGTTGCAAATTGCGGAAGGACACAACGACAACATGCTGCAACAGCATGAACAGCAACGAACTAACAACTGCAACCAACTTACGACTACTCATCAAGAGTGCCGCCACAAACCCTACCCCCACGACGCTCTTTAAACAAATGCATAGATAACACAGCATCGACGTAACATGCCACACACACTCTCCATCTCGCTCGCACACATTTGCAGCTGCTTATGCAACAAGAGCGAAACGCAATAATTAAAATGACGAACACAAGGCGCGATTCTCGACTAACACTTGACAATTGCCTACATCTTTGGGGTCAGCAAGGACAACTTGGGTCCTTAACTTTATGTAGATCGTGCCGTTTTGAGTTATTGCTCAACCACGCACAACTGACAGCTGTTGTTGTTGTTGTAACTAGGAATATAGTTGTTTTTGCCTCGATGGCCAACGGCATCGTTATGTCAGCAAATCAGCGCAAGTTTAAATGACAAGTGTATGTCGCGTAGTCAACGCCTCTCTCCTCCCGCTCCCGTTCAGACTTCCTTCCCATCAATTTTCAGTGATGGGCACAAAATGAATGAAAGATTTATTGATGCTCCAGTTTGCTGTACAATCGCAAAATTTTTGAACATTGTTGGCAGTTGTAAATTAGTCATTGCCAAACAATATAAAGCCAAGTTCATTTTTCAACCGATAAACACATTCACAATGGCCAAGTGCAGATAAAGTTCGAGTTTATCGAAATGTATGGTTATATGTATATACTATAACGACAATTGAAACAGAGATAAACATTGCTATAGTTGAGAATGTACGACTTGAAGATACGACGTACCGCGCCCCAACATATATAAAGACATTCAGATGCTAATCAAATGTGATTTCATTTTGAAAGGCAGGGAAATACCTTAATCTTTGTGGGAGTCATGTGAAAGTGTCAAATAAAGTAAAGTGTTATTGGTACACTTTAATAATATGAACTGGCTGTAACCAAGGGAATTTTTTCATTAAATACGTATTTTGTGTATGTATGGAGATTGAAAAGACATTTTAACAAAAAAAATAAGTGCACTTACCGGCAAAATTAACATTAAAATAATCAGCTTCTCGTTGTCAACGTTGTCTTTTGGCTCAGTAAATATATTTATACACTTTTTTCCCTTTACAAAATGAAACCAGCAAACGACAGGATTAAAGGCAACTTATTTTTTCGATACATTTCTTTTCATCACGTTGCAGCAACATATTAATTTTCTTTCTTTCTCTGCTTTACACTTTTCTCTGTGGCCAGTCCAAAGGCAACAAAAAATTGAGTGTGCAACTTGCAGCTTCCATTTACACAAGAAAAAAAACACACACACTTCAATGCTATTGCGAACAATACTCGAGTCTCGACTTTAATTGTATACATAATCTGATTATTAGTTTCCATTGAAATTAAGATTATGTTAAAAAGTAGCTGATTATTTTGCATTTGCATAGAAAACTATAAGAAAACCTTAAACGCATTAGACATGGATAGGTAAGCTCGTTTGTTGATGTTGATCACGATTATATATGTATGTATGTATAAGTCGTAGGGAAATGTTTACTTCTGTTAATTTTTGAATGATTACTGGATACAAATACAAATTTGTTTATATTTTCACTGTCTGCGATTTGAGTGGTCAATTAATTTTCATTTGATAGACATTTCTGTGCCGAATATGCTGAATTTTGAAAATCAATTCATATGTGCATTTTTTATGATCTCCATTTTACTATTGCCTACGAAATTATTTAAATTTTCAGTTTCATAATTTCTTTTAGTAATTTATATTAATAATGATGAATATTTACCTGATTATCATTACAAAAAAGAAATCATGAAATTTTCTCCAGCACTATTATAACCTAAACTTTGTTCAATCTTACTTTGCATACTTTTAGAAACACTTTAATAAAAGGTAAACATGACCCATGTCCACATTGTTGCTTGAACTGTTGGAAAATTGTATAAGAAAGAGTATTTTGGCTTCTTCAACAGACAATTTGAAACTATTTTATAGACTCAAAGCAGAATCGCCACACTTCATCGAATTTCTGATTCTCAGAAAATTACTCATACGCAATGTTTCTGCTTTCGCATCTTCATTCACTCAACAAGAATAGAAGTCAAATTGTGGGAACTATATATCCGTTCAAATGTCTTGCCTTGTTGTTGCTTTTTTAATAACTCAACCCTTGTTCGTTTAAGTTTTCTTTTCTATAAATCATTCGTTAGAGTTGGTAAACTAACTGTCTTATATGTTGCAACGTCTGAATCTGAAACCTGCTGAAAAGCTGTGTTTGACTGAGATATGCTCATTAATCTGGACTAGCTGCGAATAAGACTTTGCACGTATCATTTGAGATTTAGTTGGCTTACCAAGTTTCGCCAAAATATACCAAGTAAATGACTGTAACTGAGAGGGTGGGTGAATGCTAGCAGGATAGCCACATTTATACAAATGTACATGAAAAACGATAACAATCAAAAATCATGCTCAAATCGAATACCAAGATTCCGTTCTTTAAGCTTAGCACACCTGTAGAAATGAGTGTGCATGTGAGCAAGAGCACAATTGAGTAGCAATAATTGAAATATAGTTACGTGCAATAATATGTGTTGCTGGCAGTTTGAAGTCGAACAAAAGTAAAGCTGTCACAAGCCACAAAAGCATAATCCATCAAAGACACGAAATTGTAATGTATATGTGTGTATGTAGTATAAATGCTGGCCGGGCTGGTTGGGAATGGCAGCTACCATATTGGCCAGGACCGAAACATTGTTAACATGCGTCATTACAATCTGCAAATGCTTCGTGTGGCACAGCGCCGTTGCACAGTGAAACAAAAGACGAAACAATGAAAGAAATCAAATGCCGGGGCAAGCTTACAAATCATTTGGACATAAAACGCAGCACCTTGACAGGCGGCCGGCGGCGTTTGGGGGCACCAGTAACTGGCAATAGGCACGTGGCACGTGACCCGACCGGCAACAACAACTACAACTATAAGCCAGAACCACCATGTATGCCACACAAAAACTGCCTCCGGCTGCGGCAATAAAACAGCAAATGAACAGCGGAAGTAACGTCAAGTGGACGTGTATGAGATGTCCTACGGTTCACCTAGACCTATACATGTGTGTGTGTGTGTGTGTGTGTGTGTGTGTGTGTGTCTCCATGGGCGTTGTCAGAGGGGGCCAAGACTGTCAGTTAACCTATCTGGCCAAAATAAACTTCTTAATTGCAAAACATTGAGCCATTTGTTTTTGATTTTAAATTATTATCATATTAATAAATTAAAATCAATTAAATCTAAATAATCTAAAATCAAATGCTCTGATTAAGTAAAAGTTTTATTAATGAAAGTTATTTTGGAACTTTCAAATTAAAATGTATATCTTACTAAAAAGCAAACTTAAACATATGAGTTTAAATTAAAAAACTAATATTAAGTATCTTAAATGCTGGATGGGCTTTTTTTTTTTTTGCATGGTATGTTTTGGCCCCTTCGTGACTCCGCCCATGAGTGCGGGTGTATTTGTGTGTGTGTTTATTGCTTCCTCCTTACGTGTACAGATAAACCATACCTTGCATGCATTTACTTCCCGTCCATTGGCTAGCGGCCTGCAGTCATCCTGTTCAGGACGTCGCGTTTCCCTCATCACCGGTTTCCAGTTTCAGTTCCAAGTTTTTGTGTACATGCTTTGCTGCTTCAAGTAGGTTTTCTATTTACAGACTTTGTAGCGCCAAATTGAACTTTTCTTATACCTTTCGCACACAAACACACAACACACACACACAGAGGCAAGCCCAATCATATACATTCACAACATGCACTGCATAAAGGAGCATCTGGGAGATAACACTCTGACTTTCGTTGCTTTTATGGCTGGGGGGCATGCATCATATCGGATATACTGAAACAGCTGTCAGCTATATGTGTTGCACTTTTGCCAAGTCTTTGCGTTCCTCACGTACTGTCAAGGAGTTTGCCATTGCCAAGAATATGCTGCCTGTCTATCAGTCAACCAGCCAGCCAGCCAGTCAGCCAGTCAGTCAGTCAGGTAATCATTTGATTCGTGTTATAATTTATTGGGAGTGCAACTGATTGGTTTTCAGTACTGGCTGTCTTACCTGCCACTATTAACAATCTCGAAACAACGGTTTTGTAAAGGCCAACTTAAGATAGACATTTGGCAATCAAGCGAGGTGCAAGAAAATCATTTTAAATTCGGTAAGGGTCGTCACTGAGAAGCTTTTTTCATTAATATATTTGATCAACAATACATAAAAAATGCACGCATAAATGTTATTATGATTATATATATTATATAGGTATCTTACTTGCAATTTATATAAGCATTTAATATCTCCCACTACTCTCTACAACAGAAAGATTACTCTAGTCGATAGTGTCTGACTAGGAGATACCCTCGAATATATTTTATTTATTCAGACGAATAGACAAAAATATGGCTGTCCTTACATACATTCAGAATACCCATCATATAATTTTTACAGGGCATAAGAAACCATATGAAATTACTACAAACTTTTTAACTTTAATCAAGTACAAGGAAAACTATCCTTAATCATAGGGCTGCAGTTAACCCAATATCCTGCTAGAGGGAACTCTGCTTTGTAATTAAAACAGCACAAGTAAAAGAACAACAAGAAAAGGGAAAACTTGAAGGTTTTATTCAAAAGCTTGTATTTAAATTACCAGCAAACTAAATCCGACCTTTGCAAAGTATTCAACGGGTAATTCGCGGAAATATAAACGGTGATTTAAAAAGTAAGATGAGAACTCTTTTATTTAGCCATGCAACTATTGGGGAAATGATTAAAATATGTAGATGTGGATTGTGCTGCGCTTTTCACATGAAACATCGAAACATTTTCGTGCAATCAGATGCACCTCGCTTGGGTCGATGGACGTGAACTTTGCCTGGCTTAGCGGTTCATCCCTACGGTCGCCTAATGCGATTCAGAAATGCATCTAAGGCATTAGGAGCAAAGGGGTGCTGATGGTCGGGGTTATTTTCTAAAAGCGTTGCATTGCTCTGACTGCGGTGAACGAAACCATTTTTCCTCTAAGCAGGAAACTGTGCACACACACAGACACACACACACATACACATACACAAAACAGCAGCAGTAGCAGCCAGATAAATACACGCACACTTAGACGCGCTTTTGTGTGTCGCTGCGTTTAAATGTGTGTGTGTATGTGTATGTCTGTGTGTATGTGTATGTCTGTGTGTATGTGTGTGTGTATGTGCGTGTGTATGTGTGTGTGTGTGTGTGTTTGTGTATATTGTGTATATTGTGCTTGCCGTTGTATGAAATGAATGAAAATGAAAAGCAGTTAATGCTCAAGTCACGGAAAAGCGTAAATGGAAAAGTTAAACGCATTAATTATTTATTTATCGTTTTATTATGTTCAAGAGTCGGTGAACCTGCCAGTGGAAACGACCATTGGCAGCAGCAACAAATAAATACAGCTAAGCAAATTGGGCGCGACTTTGCTATCCAACTTTAGAGAAAAAGGCTTCTGCATAGCGTATACTTAATTTTATTTGGTGACCGGCAGGAGAGTTGAATTGACGCACGTTCCATTTAAGTATGCCTCAAAATGGGCTCTGTGCTTACATTGGTGTCTCTTGTCACCATAATTAAAATGAAATTACAACAATTGCCAGAGATATTGTTGAAGTTACTCGCATTAAGTAGCAGAAGCTTATTGTCATCAGATTATCAGTGCGAAACCCCACTCGAACTTCGAGAACCTTTTTCTTCCTACAGCGCAGTCAAAAATGAATGTAATTTATCCATTTCGGGATCAATTAATTCTTGAATTTAAATATGCACAACAGAGTGAAAAGAAAAGTTCGAATTACAAAAGGGTTTCATCCTGCCCGTCCTGTCATTTATATCTTTTTCATTCAACTTAACATTAATCTTCATAGATTTTTTACGAATCTTCTATACACTATGGCTATGGAATATTGAAGACATATAAGAATTGATTAAGGTAATCAATTTTTTTTAATCAGTATTAAATTCAAATAAAGTATTTATTGTCTGTCTTATTAAGTCATCAAATAATAGGTACACTTAACCAATTATATATTTTCGTATATAAAAAGAGAAAAATCGAATTTAAATTATAAAAGTATATTATTTCTCTCAAATCTCACAGAGTATTTATTGTTCGATCACACTGTGTTATGCCATTTGTTTGGCGTTTTAATTACAATGGAAATAAAATTAGTTAACTTTTGTTTCATGTTTCCCTTTTGATGCCACACGAACACGAAAACCCAGCTCACCACTAATGTCGGCCATTTGCGTTAAAGTGATCACCTACCCGTGGATGTGGCTGTTCATGAAGAATGCCTTCGAAGGCGCCCAGAGTGCCATACGTCTGGCCACGGATCCCCAGCTGAAGCAAGTAACTGGCGAGTACTTCAAGTGAGTTGCCATAGCCGAAACCGGCTGATGCCACTTTCTTTCCCACTTGCACCTTACTCACTTTTTTTTTCCTGTGTGCCATGTTGCTTGGCAACTTGCAGTGACTGCGAAATTGCGCCAACTTCGGAGGCAGGCCAGGACAAGGAATTAGCCAAGAGACTATACATGCAAACCATTGAAACGCTGCAGCGCGTTACCAAACTTACAGTCGACAAAGAGGCGTGCACCATGGCGAGAAGGCTCCAGCTTCCCGAGTCCGGGAAGTGATTTATGTGTTGCACGCGGACTTGGCATAGACAGAAGACTGCCTGCAACTTCAACATCAATTTGCATTTGGCCTAACAATTGCCGCATTAGGAGCATCACCAGCACGTCTCAACCTCCTCCTAAGCCACTTAAAGTGGCCAAAAAAAAAAAAAATTCAAGTGTCTGCAACTGAAGTTGAGACCGCTCTCTAGGTTTTGCTCATAGAAATTATATGTAAATTTAATGTGAATTCTATCAGAATGTGCTGAAATTATGTTTTATTCTTGTGGAACTTTACCATATATACACATCGTGCAAAAGGAAAGCATACGAGCCCGTCAAAAGCACAGATTTACGAGGAGCGCTCAATTAGAAAATCACCATATGTCTGCCGCATTTCTGTGTGACTGATGATACCCTTTTGAACATCGTTTTACGAATTTATTCAAAGCGTTTTAAAGGTCAACGCAAGGTTTGTATATCCCAATGTTTATGTACATGAACTACTTAATATTTATTATATGCAAATTTATGCACGACATAATTTTTGGCTAAAAGGTTGACTTTATGTATGTAATATAATTTGTCATTTTGTTTTTTTTGCGAACGAATACTTTATACAAAGGTATTTTAGTATACCGGAAAACAAGTTGAACCACTCCGTTTCCTTACAATAACAAAAAATACATTATGGTCCAAAGTATTTTTCGACTAACATCTTTATTTGCACGACTTGGGTTAAAGTATATTTATTTTAAAATTGCACAGAATAGAATTAACAAAAATTGGTGAATTCTAAAATCCATTAAATTGCCTTTAAAAACTAAAAATACAATATATAGTATTACGTAGTGAATGTCGACAGATAAGATATGTTAAATATGTATTTTAATTATTTTTACTGCTTTGACACTAATTTCAAACATCATTATCCACATTTCTCAAATTTGAGCCGAGGACCCCAGCAACTAAGCAATTAACTTAGGGACGTCAACTTCTTAAAGACAAGTGTCTTAGATCGAGCACTTTCTGATAGCCGTGTAATATGAGAAAGCTAATTGCAAAGTGGCTCTCAGTTTCTCGGTCCCTTTAACTATCTCACGTCTGAATCGTGAAGCGTGCCAACAAACTGTTGCTGCTGATTACCGAAAACAAACAAGTCACGGGCCAATAGATAGCGATATAAAACGATATAAGTAAAGTTATCTGCACTAAGCGTCGAGTATCGTAAAATACCAAGCAAATTATTTGTTGCTCAGCGAAAACCGATTTCGATTAGAATGTCGCACAATGTGCGACCATATCGGAGGCATGGACCAAGTTGCTGCTTTGTATGCTATAGAAAATCTCTTTATTATATTATGTGCGCCACTTTTTTTGTCTGCACTCAACAACAGCTTTCGGCCAGCCACCCACAACACGGCCAAAACACTGGGTGCGACATGTGTTGCAGGCACAATTTTGCGCTTCCTCTTTGAAGTTGCTTCGTGTGCCAGTTTTATTTTGTGCTCCACTCAGTAATTGTACGCTTGCTGAAAATTAAAAGCTCTTAGCGTGGCAAAACGATTACGCTCTTGCCATTGCCACATTTGGCAAAGCTTTACGTTTCCGGTTATATTTCCGTTATATTTTGCGCGCCTCAATTACGGACGAAGAGAGAAAACAAAGCGAATGGGAATGGGAAAACAAACAAGTTTTGTCCCTTTTAAAAGTCTTATACTTGTTAAAATGTGTGAGAATTGGATGATGCACAAGTTTGTAATAAACATTTGGCTTACGTTGCGAATAAGTAATTTTGTTGAGTGTACGAAAAGCTTTATGACGTTACGAAAAGTGAGAGAGCAACGAAAAGCAAAAGAGCTTGACTCTCTTTAAGGGGCGTAGAAGAGCAGATTTCATGCTTTAGAACTCTTTAAGGCTTTTCAGACGCTGCAAAATATTATTCCAACGTCATGTTTTATTTAGGAAAAGTATAAATGATTACCTAAGCATAAACTAAGTGGGTTACAAAATTCAACTTGATTCGAAAACAAAATACATAATATTACATGGAATATTATCATTATTTCAATCAATTTAGAACAGATGCCAAAATGTTTATTTCTAAGAAAACCCTGACAACCCTCTAAATAGGCCACAATTGCTCTTTTTCATTTGCGGGACTCTCTTTTTTTAGCAGAATTTTACAACCACAGACACCTGTGAAAATGGGCAATTAAGTTAAGCGGCAATCGCCAGCCGATGTAAACAAAAATTGAATGCCCAAAAAGCAAACGTAACGCAACAACAAATGATATAAATAAACAAAACGAATTCACACAACAATAAAGGAAACGCGTTCAGAACAGGGGTCCGCAACAGACGCGCCACAGTGGCAAATATAACATCAAGAATCGTAAGTATATTGCGTCAAAATATCGTAAACAACACAACAAATGGCGCTCTCTCAATATTTCTCTCGCTGTCTGTCTCTCTTCTCCATGTGCTGCTACTTTGGGAGCAGCACTGAGCCAGGCGAGCGCTGAGCACTGCGAGAGTAAATATGAAATGAGTTGAGCTGGCGATGCTTTCTGGATTTTGAATTTTGGTGGCGTTCGGCTTCAGTTTTTTGTATCAGTTGCGCGGCAAGCGAGCCAAAGTACAAACGTGCCAATTATCCTCGTCAGCGTTGCCACATTGGGGACAACGTGTGCCCCAAACGACGCGTGCGACGATGCCACAAGCGGTCGCGTTGACACTAGAAAATTTCAAATTCTAAAGAAACCGCGCCTGGCCAAAATGGGCCACGAGTGAAGGTGTGTCGATGTTGTTCCTGTGTGTGTGTGTGTGTGTTACTCTCTGTTTGTGTGTGTGTGCATGTGTGTGTGTGTATTTGTGCTGGCAGTGCATATTAATTATTCAAATTAATTGCAAGAAATTCGCTACAAGTGTACAAGTGTACCTATACTAGTGCAATCATAATTTATATACGTCTACCTCAACATGCATATACATAAATAAATGCTCATGCAAGCTGGCAGCATTTCATATATGTATTAGATGAGCGAAAAGTTCGACCAAGCAAATAACGCCAGAACATGTTTCTTTTCTCGATTACTTTTTGAGTTGAATAATAATTGGCAAATTGCGTAAAGCGAAAATCAACGAATGAACATTTATATAATAATACAATAATATATTGTAGCTTTGCCGCCAGTATCGTGAAAATCACACACTCAAATAAAAAAACAATGAAATTTCGCACGAAATTTATAAAATGTATAACAACAACAACAAAAACAACAAAAAGTGCACAAGATAAGCGACAAATTTTGCGAGTCGACCAAGATTATTTTTTTGTTTTGTTTTTCTTTCCAAGCTGGCATTGACTGAGAGATTGCGATGAACTGCCCCATTGGCTTTAATATATAGTTTGTGTCATTTTATTGATGTTGCTGTTTGTAAATGTAATGTAAATGTTTGTATGCGCTCCTCAATATCCATGTCCAAGTCCATGTCCATGTCCGTGTCCATGTCCATCTTCATAGAAGTGGAGCGTGGCTAGAAAGACAAACAAATGAAGAAAACACGTTCAAGTTATTCCGTGGCCTTGGTATTTATGACCAGTGCGTCAGACTGAGTCCCATACTTGACATCAACACTGAATTGGATTTATGAGTTTTTCGCTGTCTCTCTATCACTTTCTTTCTCTCTCTCTCTCTTTGCTCTCTCTCGCATCTCCGTCCCCCTTCGCTAACGGCTTTTGTTGGCCCTTTGTCCACACCCACATTGGAATTTGAACTTGTCGTGGCGTTTCAGCAGTAACAGCAGCAACAGCATCTCACTCTGAGTGGCCCCATTATCACCTTACTAATTATCTATCGATGATGATGCCATTCATTGCCAAGCGCCCTCTCTCCATCTCCCTCTCTCTCTCTCTCTCTCGCTCCCTCTCTATGTATCTATCTCTGTCGCTCACTGCATATCGCCTTATCAGCCAAAGCGGGCAATATGATTCCAGCCAGCTATGCTGGTGCTTTCATTTCTGTTTGCCTTATGTGAAATAAAAAATCGAATAATATTTGAATAAATATCATGTGAACATGTGAGCATAGAAGTTCGGGACATGGCCTCTTAGCTAAAAATAAGACAATAAAACAAAGAAAACAAAAAAACATAGAACAACAGCGAAGAACTCTTAATGTCATTTTCAATTCTAAATAGCAAAATAAAGGCGAAGTAAATAGTTCCACTATTTGCAGATCTAATTATCACATCCCCTAAAATTAAAAAAATAATATAATAATAATAATCCATACAATCATTGTTTGCTGTGTGTCTATATAAAAATATATTCTAAAGAATTTTTTCTAGAATATTGATACGAATGAGTTCATAAATTGCATTTATAAATGCACAAACAAATATTCAAAGAATGAAATTCTCAAAACAAATCCATAACAATCGCGTTGTGTAATAATAATTCAAACACTGAAGACTTTTGATAGGAGTACGTAAATAACTTGCGACTATAAAATACTCTGCGAACTATTATCACATTGGAAAGATATCAATAGATATCAATAGACTCATCACGTGTACGAAAGAAATTAATACAAATTTGAAAATCAATATATATGAATTTGATTATATCTCTGATGCTGTCAAATAAGCACAAAATACGTTATTTAGTTACAAAATCTGTGAATACCCATTAACGCACCCTTGCTTAATAAAAGCAAGTAATATTGAAAAATAATTGAAGAAAGCATTTTGTGCAAGTGCAAGAGATATTCGGAGATAACTTAAAAGATATAGAATATACAATCAGTTAGCTGGATATTAAGCAATCGATATCTTGACACACTTGCTCACAGAAACCATTAACGAATTCGGATAGAAAGATATATAACGAGTTCGGAAATCACATGCGCATCTCTAGGCCGTGGGTAAGCGCGATGTCGCAATGAAAATCGCTTATCAGATACCACAGGTAGTTTTCGTACAGCCTTGACAATGACAGCGAAAGAAAATGGGCTCATAGTGGCGTAGAAGGGCGCTTCAACAAAAGAGAAAAAGTGCAAAATCGGAGTGGAGCAGTGGCAGCAACAATGTTAGTTGATTATTTTAAGGCAGAGGCGGTAGCAACGGTCGTTACAACAAACAAACAAAGGAAACAAACAAAGTGGCGAATATTATGGGGCGAAGAGCTATAAACCGATGGGGGCATAGAACAAAGGGCGGGCCGGGTGTAGGGGTAGTGTTGGTAGTGGTAGGGGTAGGTGAAAGCGGTGTGTGGGGGGTAGGTTGTCGTGCTGGGTCGAGTGCTTTTGCTTTGGTTCATAGCCCATACACAAACACACAGATTCTCGCGCTCTCTCTCTCTCTCGCTCTCTCTCTCTTTTTTTCTCTCTCTTTCTGCGCTTTCGTTTGTTCTATATACGTGTGTGTTGGTGTAGTAAAACGGGTTTTGAGTTGGCTTTTGCCACTTCCACTGCCAACTGCTGTTGCTGTTGCTGTTGCTGCTGCTGCTGCTGTTGGTGTTTCTGTTGCTGCTAGTGTCGCATTTTCAGTCAGTTGGCCAAGTCAGTTGCTCTTTTGGCTTAGTTAACTCAGAACGTGCCACGGCGGCAATGGCACTGACATCACATTGCAGCGCATAGAACAACAACATCGAGCAAACAGGCAACAACCAGACAAGCGACAACGATATAACGGGTTAGTCACAAAGTGCTGTCTGCTCTGAAACTATAGCTTTTAATATAAATAAAATGCTTAAAGAACCAAGTCTAACGAATTGATTGAAAACAATTGAAATTGCGGCAGCTCAGTGTTATGTAAATGTCAAAAATTCAAAGCTGTTTGTATCTTATGGATACCCAGAAGATTTAATGCTGTGCTTCTCTGTTCGTCTGTGTGTGAGTGTGTGTGTTTGTGTGTGTGTTTGTGTGTGTTTGTGTGTGTGTGTGTGTGTGTGTGTCTTAAGGCGTATGTGTAAAATGCCAGTATTGGCTGAAGGCATAGTGCTGCGTCATTTGCTGCCTAAATTCTGTCAGCCACTTGAAGTGTTTCGAACTCTTGATGCCTCACCCATTTGGCCGGCCAGCCAGCCAGCCAGCCAGTAATACAGCAATCCAGCTTCAATTGAAATACGAAACGCACTTGGCTCTGGTTCCTACGCTTATCCCTGTGCCATCTAGCAACAACAACAGCAGCAGCAGCTGCAAAAGCAACAGCAATAAAAACATTTACACTCTATACACCTACTTAAAAATTTAGAAAGTTGCTTGTCCGCCGCTTTGCTTGAGTCTTTTTCTTGGCTTGGCTTTCATTTCGTTGACTCGAGTTGTCTCTTCTCTTGTCTTTTACAATTATGCGTGCATACATATATATATATATATATATACATATTCATATGTATATTAATGTACATTCGTTCCTCTTCTTCTTCTACCTCTCGCTCACTCTTTCTGCATTCTTCTCCCAACTGACAAATAATTTGAGTCATTTCATTATCTTTTTTGACTTTAATTAAAATTAATCAATTACGTGTGTGCAACTTGAAACAATTTGCCCACAGCTTGATTTTTCTATTAACGATTTGCTAACCGGTTTTCTTAATAATCCCAATTACATAGCTTCATAGTTTTTAATGTGCACCTACCTAATCGAAATCATACATCACGACGTGATGAAATTAGCGTTTATTTTTAGTCCCATTGTTTGAGATACACGTTCCATGACCTAACTTACTAAATCTTCAAAATCGTTGCGACTGAATTGTCTTAATATAGTTAGAAAATTAATGATCCTGAAGCCAGGCGAAATATAATCTTAACCCCAACCTTCATATGATAGAAGATATGATAGAAGATTTCATTCAAGAATTTGTATTTCTCCATATACATATTGGTAAGAGTTAACCAAGATAATCTTTCTTAATTTGAAAAAATACCTTTTGTTCAGAATAATGAACATATGGTATATATATGCAAAAGCATCTCGGTATTCCAAATCAAAACAAAATAAGTTATTGCATTTTTATTTCATGCATACTATTTTTATTTGTTTTTTTTTTTTTTTTTATTCTTAACCCGTTTGCATTTCGCCGTCAGACAATACAAATTTCAATTGGTTTTTTTTTTTGTTCTGTGGCATGAGAGAATTAATGTTGTGTCTTTTCTGTCTGACAATAAGAGTCAATAAAAACGAAAACTATACAAATAATGCTGTATTTTTAAATCACATTCACAGCAATTTTCTGAAATCCATAAATGGCTGTCTCGCTTAGCGTTCATTAAAACCGCTACTGACTGCGCTATTAGCAGTGGTAAACCGCCAACCCGCCGCCACCAACTGAATCCGAAGCCAATCACAATCTTGCATCCAAACGTCCAGTGGCAACAATAACAACAGCAACAACTGAAACTAAAGTAATAACAATAACAGGACGAAACGGAATAAAGCTATTTCGTCCTTGGCATTTACGACGCCAGCAGAGAACGAAATTTTTATTGAGATATATCTCAACCCACCGCATAGAGCCGCAACGACCCCGGACAACCCGGAGCCGGAGCGAATTAAGGCGAAATCGTGGCTCAAAGACATCAGCACCATCACAGCAGCAACGGCAGCGGAGTTGGCGTTGGCATTGGCAGCGTGCCCGTCATCATGGAGGGGCCGGAGGTGACATTCCTCTTTCAGTTTGGCAGCATACGCGATGCAGTCTGTGTGCCGGCGAATGCGCTCACGCTCAAATCGCTCAAGGATTTGGCATGCGATTTCATCAACACAAAGGTAAGTTGGCTGCTAACCAAATAAGGTGGCCTAAACGGGTCACCATCTGCTGACTTAATTATGCAAAAGGCGGACACAACTCGAGTCAATATTTTCACAGTCCGCGCAGGCGGAACGCGGTCAAGTCAACAAACCATCGTTATCCATGTCCCAGCGGCACATCCATGTGTATGTGTGTGTGTGTGTGTATGTGTGTTGCTGTGTACCTAATAAATTTATGTGTGCTAAATAATTGCTTAATTTCATTAAGTAAGTCAGAGCTGCACACACGCACACAAATTTATACATATATATATATACATAAATATGTATATAGTTTTATATATGTATATTTACGTTGTGTGCAGTTATCCATGACCAATTCAATTAACCAGCTGGCAGCTGCGACTCAGTTCCTTTTAGTTCCTGGCCCAATCAGGAGCCTTAGTTGCGCAACGTTTTCGCAAACTAGCCGAGTGGCACTTTATGTTGCCTTTACTGAAGCTTAGTTGGGCTTTGACAGCTGCTCCCCCTGACACAAGTATCATTTTTCAATGTCCATACTAAATAATGGGCTATGACAACTATATTGCCAACTTGGTAATATGTACTGAGTACTCAGGAAGAGTTACACATCAGTAGCATACATCCTTTCTCCAAGAACAAAATGTTTTCCAATCAAATACCAATATCTCTTAAACGAATTATGAATTGTGGCTATCTAATCAAGTTGAGCACAGTAAATGTAGTAGTTGAAAATAATTGGTTCAAGTCCTAAAAGAGCGATAGAAAATACTTACATATATCCATGCAGATTAAGATATATACATTTCATACGAAATCTGTAATATTGATTAGATTAATAGCTGTACTAAAAATAATATTAGTTAAAGTAAGTAAGTAATGTCCCATGAAAAGGGTATTTCGAGCGTAACATATTTGATCTGATTTGATAGCACAGAAATATTAGTGTATCTATTGCCTTATATAAATTGATATCAATATCACTTCAGTGTGTACATCAATATGGATATGTGTTGGGGCATGTGTGAAACAGAATCTTATCGCACAATCAATTTAGATATGATATGATACAATATGATAATTAAACCCATATGCAAAATAACTGAAATTAAGCAAAAACTTCACAATTGTACATTGTCAGTTAGATTGGCGTCACTAACAGTATTTTCTCTTTGATTCCACGTAGATACCAGATAGTGGACTCACATATCTATCCGAGCGCATTCTGCTCTTTATACACGACTATAGCACGCCCAATGTGCTGCACATTATCAATTCCGCAGCGGAAGTTGTGGACGAGACCTTGGTGGAAATTGTATTAACAGCCAGTCGTAAGTAGTGTGGCATACCACACCCTCATATATACATAAGAAGCACAAACACCCCCCCTTTTCAATCTGGGTGGATAAAGAAATGAAATATACTTTAACCGTTTAACACGAAGAAGAAGAAGTGTCATCAGCAATATATCCCATCCATACCGTTTCGCAGCTATACTGTATCCGACGTCGGAAATGCCAACACTGATGCCGCATACCCTGAACGTGCATTCCTATAAGGCGCCCACATTCTGTGATTTTTGCGGTGAGATGCTGTTTGGTCTGGTGCGTCAAGGACTCAAATGCGATGGTATGTATGTCCTGACAAGTGACACTCACACACACACACACGCATTCAATCACTCACAAGCACACAGAGAAACACGCATACTCAAAAAAACTAACTTGATTGTGGCCTGAACTACTATTTCACATACATACACACACAGGCTGCGGTCAGAACTATCACAAGCGATGTGTGGTGAAAATACCAAACAACTGCAACCGCTCGAGTGATGCCACATCGCGACGGTCGTTTACATTGCACCCGCCCCGCAGCCCATCCGGAAGCTCACAACAGTCGCTCATATCCAACGAGGAGTCGACGGGTCGACATGACTCCAGCAGCTCTCTGGTAAAACGCATGTCGGAGCTTATGAATGATATTATCAAGAATTGACATGCGGTCACAAAACGTCAAATAGAAAATATGTAGAAATATATGTATGTGTCTTGTTGTTCGGTAAATGTCAACGGGTCAACGGTGAACGGGTCTCCCTACGAGTATTTAAAACATTTTTTTAATTAGCTTATTGCAATTTTTATTAAAGTTTTGTATTATTTTCATTTGAATAAACATTCATTATAATTAAGTAAAAATTTCAATTGGCTTTTATTCTATAATAATTTAAATACTCGTTGTGGAAACTAAACACTAAAACCCATTCAGTCCAGTCAATAATGCTCCATTGAGAGAACACAAGAGTTGAGTTTAGTGGAAGTTCAGTTTAGCCGTGGGAAATTTTAGGTGTAGTTCAATAGACAAATTATCGTAAACCTTAAAGCGACAACCGTAATAGTAATATAAATTAGAAGACTAGATTTTTGTGTTTTTTTCTTATAGAATTATTCGTTTATAATTTCCCGACTATCTCTAGAAATTAAATCGAGTATGGGTCAGATTTAGTCTAGAAAACATTTGAAATATATATTTTTTAAATTAAATTTATTTTAATAATATTCTTGAAATCTTCTACGCTAGAAAATGCACTAGTTTTTAACAATAAACAATTATTTTTAATATATAGAATATACCCGGGTTCGGCGCTCGCCATCAACGCACCCATTCTTCGGGCAGTCGAAATGGTCTAAGTGTGCTCCGCATTCCACACACATTCATGGTGCACACCTATGGGATACCCACCGTTTGTCAGCTGTGCAAGAAGCTGCTGAAGGGGCTGTTCAAGCAGGGCTTACAGTGTCGCGACTGCCAGTACAATACTCACAAGAAGTGCATGGATAAGGTGCCGCAGGATTGTACGGGTGAGGCACAGCTCAGTCAATTGCAGGCGGAGATTAACGATGGGACGCCGCGCAAGGAGCGTGACAACTTCTTCCGGGAGGAGTTCGATGACAGCGACTTTGAGGACGGTCCGCCGCAAGAGTTCGCCAAATACAATAGAGCATCGAGCGGCACTAATCTGGTAGCTGGACGACCACGTGAAGCACCAAAGGCTTTGACGAATGCCCAGAACTCACCACCAGAGCTGGTCAATGGCGTCCGGGATGACAGCAGTACTGGCGGTGACACCAAATCAAACGATGGCCAGTCGGAGCAATCACAATCCTCATCCTCCTCCTCGCCCAGCGCCAACATTCCCCTAATGCGAATCGTGCAGTCCGTGAAGCACACAAAGAAGCGCGGCGGCCAAGCCTTGAAGGAGGGCTGGCTGGTGCACTACACCTCCTTGGATAAGGCGCTCAAGCGCTACTATTGGCGCATGGACTCCAAGACCATAACGTTGTTCATTTCGGAGCAGGGCAGCAAGTACCACAAGGAAATCCCGCTGGCGGAGCTGCTTTCGATTGAAACGCATCGCGATCCCCGACCCGATAGCAACTATTGCTTTGAACTGTGCACGGCCAATCTCAGCTATTACGTCGGCCAAGATCCACAGCAGGGCGTTGGCGACGATCATGCTGTACGCCGACCACCGCCGGACAGTGGCATCGGCGCTGACATCGCCAAGAGCTGGGAGACAAGCATCCGACAGGCCTACATGCATGTCACCAACACGCGTGAGTAGCTCCTAACCATATACAATATACAATCGTCTAGCTGCATTTTTTTCCGGATGTTAATCAGCAATTAAATCTACGTTAAGCGCATTACACTTGTAAATATTTTGATAACCATCAGTAGCTAGACAAATCGAATGATGCCCGCCTGTCTCTCACCCGGCTGTCGCTATGAATTCGTAGGGGCTTTAAATATTTCACCTTTCGTATACCTATCCCTCATTTCCCTCATAAAAAGAAATGTTAAATGGAAAATACGTAATTTTGAATTTGGAAAGTCACTTTTCTAAAAAGAGTGTTGGGTCTGTGGCTGACTACGAATCTTATTGACGTTATGAAAAGAAGAATATTCAATAATTATTAATTTTTATTTCTTAACATTTTATTTATGAACAATTTACAGAACATATTATTTTAACTATATTTGTCGTTGATGTACTCCACAGAGTGTTGCGAGTCGGAGGAGCAAGTCCAGGACATGGGACAGCTATATCAGATCTTTCCCGACGAGGTACTCGGCTCCGGCCAGTTCGGTGTCGTCTACGGTGGTGTTCATAAAAAAACCAAGCGCGAAGTGGCCATCAAGGTCATTGACAAGCTGCGTTTCCCCACCAAGCAGGAGGCACAGCTGAAGAACGAGGTGGCCATACTCCAGAACATTACCCATTGCGGCGTTGTTAATCTGGAGCGCATGTTCGAGACACCAGAGCGCATCTTCGTTGTCATGGAAAAGCTTAAGGGTGATATGCTGGAGATGATACTCTCGCATTCACGTGGACGCCTCAGCGAGCGTGTGACAAAGTTTCTGATCACTCAAATCCTGATTGCGCTCAAATATCTGCACTCCCAGAACATTGTGCACTGTGACCTGAAGCCGGAGAATGTGCTCCTCTCCTCGGATGCAGAATTTCCTCAGGTGAAACTCTGTGATTTTGGTTATGCTCGCATCATTGGCGAGAAGTCCTTCCGGCGATCGGTCGTGGGTACGCCCGCCTATCTGGCTCCAGAGGTTCTACGCAACAAGGGTTACAATCGCTCCCTGGACATGTGGAGCGTTGGTGTAATCATCTATGTGAGCCTCAGCGGAACTTTTCCCTTTAATGAGGAGGAGGATATTAACGATCAGATACAGAACGCTGCCTTCATGTATCCGCCCAATCCGTGGAAGGAGATTTCCTCAAACGGTAAGTCAAGTCAAGGATTCTTTTTTTTTATGATTCTTATACCTATTCCATTTGCAGCCATTGACCTCATCAACAACCTGCTGCAAGTGAAGCAGCGCAAGCGATATACTTGTGACAAGAGTCTAATGCATTACTGGCTGCAGGATAAGCAGACGTACAGGGATCTGCGCAATTTGGAGACGCAGGTGGGGTTGGGACGCTATCTCACCCATGAGGCGGATGATGTGCGCTGGGACAGTGCCAGCGATATTTGACCTGGAACAGTGACAAAGCTAACTGATAATGAACTGATGCAGCCACTGGCCGGCAGCCATAGTGCGCCCAACGAAAGCTATCCATCCCCATCGAACTGTGCCGGCTGCCATCGCCTCTCCAGCTCCTCGCCGAAAGTGGAGGCCATTGGCGACAAGGCACTGAAGTGGATGCGTTTCCATTTTTGCAAGCACATCAAATAGCATCCGCTCGCTCATCATAGCTTTTTAGTTTATACTTACCACATACAAACCCAACACATATTATCAGACTGTAAATTACCATAAATTTTAATTAGCACCTTGTAAGAGAAGAAAATTGACAAGCTATCAGCGACTTATAAATAATACAACTGATAACACAGCATAACTGATCAAAATTTAGATATATTTATATGAATGTACATGTGTATGCATTTTGAAATCTCTTTTTTTTTATGACCCCATTAACGAGTTCTCGATGTGTTTTTCACATTTTCACATTTTACCTATGAACAAATTATATTTCTCACGCTTTTTCAAATAACTTTTATAAATGAAATCTCTGTGCTAAATTTTCTTAAGAATCAAAACTAGTATATAGATTTAAAATAATAATAATAACTAACGAAATACAGTACTTAACATACATATGCATATAATATTTTAAAATATATTAGACCAACAGCAACAACAAAAAACAGGAAACGTATGCAACGCTCAGCTGTACTCGTATTTTAGAACCAAATGAAATTGCGACAGGGGAGAGAATAATAATTGCAACACAAATAGATAAATAAATGATACAAAGAAATTAATGCTTGAAAATAAATTCATGTTTATCTGTGCCACAAATCACTGGCTTGCAACGCTTGACACCCTTTTGAGGAAAACTGGAAATTATTGTTTCTGTTGCCAACTTTTTCCAGCAGTCGCCTTGCAAACGTTTAACAAACAACATGAGACGCTTCCATGTAATTAAATTATGCCAGCTGCTGCTGGCATTGTTTCCCTTTAGTATTACTGAATGGGTGGAGATATCACAAAGCCAGACGAGACCTGTCGGCAACCAGGGAAGCACCAAGCAGCTGGGTAAGGATATTGAGGAAGTATTCACAACACCCAGTGCCGTGTGGATCGAGTATCAGCGTGAACGGTTTGGACTTAGTCAGAGCAATAGCAATAGTCACAGTAATCCCTTCATAGTCAGCGATGCGGGCGGCCTGAAGAACAGTGCACAAATTGTGGTGCCAAATAACAGTCAGGTGATTCATGCCAGGACCAAGTTGGTAGTGAACAAAAGCACAGATATGCCGCAAGTAGATTTCGGTGTGGTGTTGCCCCCAAAAGTGGAAACCACATCGCGACGTCATTCATCGTATGTGGAGAGTGCTGAGGATGCGGATGCCGTTGTGGAAACTGCCACAGAACCATCTGGGAGCGATGCACAAGCTGAGGATGATGGGCAGCTACAATTGCCCAGCATGCAGGGTTTCTTAAAGTTTCTGAAATCTATGCAGAGCACATGGATAACGAAATCATCGCTTAATTTACAAAATAAAATTCAATTATTAAAGCGATTGCGCGACAATTTGATGAAAGTTATTGGTGCGTATTTAAAGTACTCAAGACTTGGCCTCATATACATGAAAACTTATTTCGCAGAACAACAATTCTCGGTACTGTGGCAACCAACGGAGCGGCACAGACGTCGAAGACGCGGCCTGCTGGATGAATCGAATTTGGAATTTCCACCAGAAGCTGCCCTTATGAGCATCAATTTTCTCACATTCGCAGTATTTCTCATTAAACTAGTGCTTGTGAGTAGAAACCTGCAAATCTCTATAACATGCATAAATATCTTAAGCGTGCATTCAATATTACAGCAAGTGGTGAAAATCGTGAAGAGCAAACATTACAACTTCTCTGGCTTTAATATCAACGCCGAAGCTGTTCGAAATCCATAGAATCCATAGGAGAATTTTTCTGTAGCTGAAAACTCATATTTTAAATATCAGCTGATGTGCAACAGCTTTATGGCAACTCTGACAGCAGCGACCATCTGGCAGCCCGCACGTCAGCTGTTTGTAATTTTTACACGTGCCGACGGCATACACAAATTGTATTTAAAATCTAAGTTATTCCTTAATCAATAAAATGGATGAAAAGACACTGATTGAAAATGTTTACAATCGCGGTCGCGATTCAGATTTACCCACAATGCGTAAGTGCGTATTGCATTCTCATTGTGCAGCAGCTAATCTGTCGGGTTCATTTTCAGTAAATTTTCAGAATGGTTCTTTGGGGACCAGAGCGAATTTCACTTTAGTTGAAGATACAAAGGGACGAAATCCGCGCAAGCGAGCACTGGTTGTGGCCGGTGAGAACGTCTACATAGGCGATTTGCAAGGTACCCAGGAATATGATACATACATTTGCATTCGAAACAAATCCACCAACAAGGCGACGATTGTGCCAATGCAGCAGGCGCTCCTCTCTAACAATATTTACGAAAAGTTGGACACACAACCAACTCTGCCGATGTTGAGCAAAGAGCTTGCAACGAAAAAACTGCTAAAGGAGTTTGGCGGACGCAAGACATCGCGCTATTTAGCGAACTCCGAGCAGATGATGGTCAATGTGGATGTGATGCGTAAGGATTTGGATGAGACGGTTCAGAGTTCTGTGCGCAACGAGGGCGATGATGAAGCTGATGACACTTTGCCCGAGGTAGACACTAACAATGCAGCATACCTGGCAAGCATTGTGCCCAAGTGCGATAAGGCGGCAACAAAAGTAAGCGAAGTCTACGACGTGGCGGATGTGGTGCCGCAAACACTGCTCGACCGTCTCGACGAGGAAGCCAAGAGTGTGTATGGCACGTCATTGGAGAACCTACCGTAAGCACATGTGTCCCACAAATCTGCATACATCTCTAATCTATATACATATTTGCAGCATTGAGTCGGACTATCTGCGTGAGTGCATCAAGCGCATACAGGAAAAGGAGATTACGTCCAAGACGGACTTTCTCCACATCAAACTGATCATCTACATGGATGCGCTACAATCGCTAATTGCGCTGCGCAAACGGCAAATGAAGCGTGTTGAGCTGTCGCGCATCACAGAAAAGGTAGAGAATGATGTGCGACATCGATTTGCGGATCCCAATGTGGCTCGATCCTGTACACGCACCACATTCAGCACGGAGAAGGCACTCACGCATTTCATTGTCCTTGCGCTGCTCATCAGTGAAAAGCACGAAGTGGACGTCAATGTCTTGTCTCGAATCCTGCGCACCTCTAAGCAGCGCATCATTACGTATGCACACATTGTCAATGCACGCCCCAAATCTCGCTCAGACGTGATTTCCCTCCGGCTGCCCAGCACGGTTCCAGCACTAAAGGTTTCCAGGCGTTTTCAGCGCAAAAAGTAGTATTTGGTACATCACTCTATAGGTGATTCTAATTTAGTGAAGAGCAAATTTTAAATGTTTTATTTTCGAATAAAGAAAAAACTTAAAATGTGTGAATGTTACACACGATATTCAGAACTATTTAAAAGTTATAATTCCACTGTAACCGCTGGAGTCACAAAAACACCCTGTATTGACTGCAGCAATTGCATCGATTAAACAATTTCGAGCCGAGTTGAGTTCAAGGCCAAATATATGATGTAGAAAATCTTAAATCAACAACAAACATACAGGATATATTTCTACAGTTATTAATATATTTTTATTTATTTAGATTTAAGTTGAAATTATTGAGTAACACATTCAACACATTGGTGCAGTTTTGTTGTTATTCAGAACTCGGAAAAAATAATACATTTGCTAAAACATTTTGGAAATTTTGCTCCGTGTTTGTATCCTTATAATTCGACAACGCTTTGCGCGTCATTGTAACTTGATAAGATTCCTTGTTATGTGGCTCAGTTCGCTAAATATTAATCATTAGGGGTACAGAAACCCGGATAAATTTCATTGTGTGTTGTGTTGTGTGTGAGCTGCAAAATATGAGCAAGTTAATAATGAATAGCTGTAAATTATAATTAAAAACTTACACGCAAAACATATGCAAGGCAATCTTTGTTAATCCCTCCCCCTTTTTTTAAGTTGTTAATTTAGTGATTTGTATGGTTCTTCTTGCTGTCGTCACCGCTATTCTTATTGTACTCATTGTTGTTACTTATACAGCAAGACCGAATACGGAGACAATGCAGTACATGGTCTTATTCTCCCAGCGCACGGTGCAGCTGCCATCGGTGTCGTTGTTCCAATAGCAGGAGCTGGCCGTATGCAGTCCAGCACCATTCTTCTGCATAATCATGGCGGTGACGATGTATTTGTATGGTTTCTGCTCCTTGGTGAGGACAGTCAGACAGTTTTCGACCACCTGGCCGGTCCAGTTGTTTACCTTGTCGTGCTGGTACGCATTGCCACCGATTGTTGTTTCGATTGCCTCTTTAATTGTTTTACTCACATCGTCCACAATAAATTGACTTTCCTCGCGTGAGTCATCCATTTTGTTTGCTTATAACTTAGCGATATGCAACAGCAATATATTTAAATTGTTATCTATTCTTGTATGCTATGTAAATCCTTTGAGGTCGATTTTTGTGCGCGCGTAATCTGCATTCGTTGGCGCGTCTGATTGCCAAAAAAGAATATGTCTGTTCAGTGCGTCGACAAAATTCGCTTGCCTTGTTGCCTGTCGTGCAGTTGAACACAGTGATGGAAGAATCAGAGAAATATCGATTAATCGCTTTTGCACTAAACTCGATGTTTTTTGTTATGAATGTAGTAGAGTACATTTATTAGAGTAGGACAACAACAGCTGCAAAATGAATGAGATCTATCGATAGACTGCGACTTATCGACCTTTCACATATTTTGTTTATCTTACGATTTTTGCGCAATACCTAAAAAACAATGAGCAATTCCACAGCATCCGCATTTTCCAGTTTGGACACAGCGGCCCTAGACCGTCAGACCGAAGTGCCAGATGAGCATCCGGTCACATTTGAACAAATCTGGAACGAGACGCACAAGAAAGTCAGCATCGGTTGGATACGACAAAATGGTTACAAGCGGGTGCGTTGATTGCTTCTATCTATTGCCAGATGGAGTCTGTAACATATTTCTTAGATCTGCCTGCAATTCCCAGACGACTATTTGCCGCACAGCAACGCCATCAGCACTTGCCTGCAGACAGCGCTGGCCTCTGACGAGTGCAAGATTTTTATTTTGGCCGATACGACGTATGGCAGCTGTTGCGTGGACGAAATAGCTGCGGCTCATGTTGAAGCGGATAGTGTTATACATTTTGGCAATGCATGCCGCAGCAAAGCCAGCCGCCTGCCGGTACTCTATTTGTATCCAGTGCTTCCGCTGCAGCTTCCAAAGGTACTGCAACAGCTGGCCGCTCTACAGCCCGAATGCGAGGAGCGTGAGGTGTACGTTTACCTGGACATTGGCTATCAGCATCTGTGCGAGCAACAGCCGCCGAGCGCCGAGCTTGCCGATGGCGAAGATACTCTCTTTAGCCAGGTGCGTGAGGTGCTACGTCCAAAGAAGCTATACATCGAGGTTTATCCACCGCCAGCTGAAGACACTGCCGAAAGCAAGCAGCAAGCAACTGAATCGTCTGCGGAACGCATCTGCATTTTTATTGGTGGCGATAATCAACGCTTTGCCAATTTATCACTGACCACAACAGCGTTGCAGTGGCACATTTTAGATGGTGCCACAGCCACGCTGAGCGCAAAAAATCCGCTAACAGCTCAATATATACGACGTCGATACTACTACATAGAGAAGTGCAAGGATGCCCAGACTTTGGGGCTGATTGTGGCCACATTGAGTGCTGTTGGTTATTTGGATGTGGTTACGCGTCTGCAAACAATGGCCAAAAGTCGTGGCGTTAAGACGCAACTAATTTCCGTGGGTCGCATAAATCCCGCCAAGCTGGCCAATTTCCTAGAGATTGACTGCTTTGTGCTCATTGGCTGTCCGTTTAACAATATGTATAATTCCAAGGAATACTATAAGCCCATTGTTTCTGTTTTCGAGGCCGAAATGGCGCTGAATCCAGCCTGGCATATGAAGTACCCGGAAGCCTATGTTACAGACTTTAAGCAACTGCTGCCAGAGGGCCGCAGCTTCCTGAGTTTTGATGCGGACGCTGTGCAGGTGCAGGATGTGAGTCTGGTCAGCGGACGCATGCGAGGCGCCACTGGCTCTGGTGATGACGCAGTGGAGACGGCAAGCAATACGGTGGCCACACAAGCCAAAATGGCGCTCATGACAACGGACACAGGCCTCACATTTGAGGATCGCACTTGGCAGGGACTAGACCCGATGTTGGGCCAGACCGAACCAGCCAAATTGCAACAGGGTCTCAGTGGCATTCCCATAAAGTACTCGCACGATTAGGATTATATTTACATGTACAACTACATCTACATCAATGATGTCGATCATATCAATAAAACACAACGAACAAATATTCGAGCTCCAAAATGTAGTATTAATTGTTTTGTATTTTATTTTAGTTTTTTACTGTTTTACATCAATTTTTCATTTAATTCAACTACACGGCTAGCAACAATATGTCCTGTGAAGGTGGCAGGGAATCGCTTACACTCTCAGCCAGTACATCGATGAGCGAATTCTGTTGTAGTCGGGTAGATTCTCGACAGGTCCAACGGCAGAGACGGCGGGGCATCTGTCATAGATGTACTTCATGCCCACATCGCGCACATTCTGCACGCTGACGGCATCAATGCGCTGCTCCAGCTCGTGCAATGGGATGCGGCGATTGTAGCACAGTATTTGGCGTCCAATGTCCTCGCAGATGGGTGTGGTGCCATCCAGTTGCAACAGCATGTTCGTCTTCAACAAATTCTTGGCGCGCTCAACCTCTGCCTCAGTGACCATGGTGCACAGACGCATCCATTCGGTTTGCACGTTGAAAAGCATGTCCTGCACAGTAAAAGTTGCAAGTATAAAAATAACAAACAAGTACCAACAAACGGATTTGAATTTACCTCGCACTGAAGTGGATCACAAACGAAGTAGATACCCCACAGGCCAGTGTCCTTGTAGCAGGTGTTGAACGACTGGAAGCTGTGGCACAAGTCTGCAAAAAAATAAGGAAGGATTACGCATCTGTACGTAATAAGCTTCGATTTGTTGACTCACTGTCCTCGGCACTGGCGCGTGCCAGATTAGAAGCGTTGTTGGCGCCACCGCCCTGAGAACGATCCCAGGCACCAACCAGAGTATTGGCCACCATCAGTGGGATGTTATCCTGATCGGTCCAGCCGCAGCCCTCGACAGCGATAGCGACATGAGCCAATGGCAGTGAATCGTCGCGTACGCGCACCTCGGAGCCAGTGAAGCGACAGGGTGTCACTTCAGCGGGCAACAGGCTAGCCTCCAAGCGGCCCAGAGACTGTTCTGCCAACTTAACCAGCTCGTTGTGCTTAACGCCTCCGGCGCCAGCCAAAACAATGCGTGATGCCTTGTAGTGCGTTTGAATGTAGTCGGTTAAATCGGACTTGCCAATCGATCTGCAAGCAACAGGATTATTAAGCAATAATATCAATGCTAGTTGTACTTCCTGCTTTTGATACTCACTGAATGTTCTTGGTGGGACCAAGAATGGTCTGACCCAAGGGTGTGCCCTGATAGGCAGTGGCGTGCAAGTGATCGAAGACCACTTCCTGCAGATTGCTCTCCACCTCCTGCATCTCACGTAGAATGACCGAGCGTTCGCGTGCGATCTCAGACTCACCCAGTTTGGAGTTTTGAATGATGTCGGCCAAAATCTCAACTGCCTTTGGCACATCCTTGGACAAACACTTGGCGTAAAACACAGTCTGCTCGCGAGATGTGTACGCGTTCAAATGGGCGCCCATATTCTCAACTTCGAGCTCCAGATCGGTTTGCGAGCGTTTGTCAGTACCCTAATAAAGAGGAGGATATCATGTTTTAATTCTATTCTAATTTGAAAATATCTAAAATAAGCACACCTTGAAGGCCATGTGCTCCAGGAAGTGAGCAACGCCATTGTTCCTGTCGTTCTCGGACCGCGAGCCAGCATCGATCCAGAGTCCAACAGTGGCGGTGGAGGCGCCGGAGTCTTCGCTAGCAACGCGCAGGCCATTGTCCAGCTGGGTCACCTGCGTGGCGGGTATGTTCAACAGCGTCTTCTTTACGGTCAAAGCAGATTTGTAACGCTACGGAATGAAAACAATAGTTTATAATTAATTGTTGGTTGGGCAATTGGCGACATAACCTCAAATTGACTAAAGTAATTTTGTAACTATTTTGTAGATTTATATTTTATTATGGATGAAACATGCTTATACAGCTATAATCGCACTTAAATTGAGACACTTACAACTCAAGATTTAGGCAAATCCAAATGCGAGGCTTATATTTACAATTACGTAATTTAAAATCCTGGAGTGTAATCAAAAATATGTATATATTTTCTTACCTTGATGAGGTCAACGCCACGCATATACGTGCGCAGATTTTGCGTAACTCCAAGTACGCGCAACGCCATCGTTTCTATATTAATTTAATATTTTAAGCACTTAAATGAACTTAAAAGTTCTGCGTTGCCGTTCCCGATGTCGCGGCGCCTGCTGAAAATTTCACAAACTCGCATATGTACATACGATGTGGTATTAAGTTGGCCGTAGCAAGTCAGCTGTTCGCTACTTGACAGCTCTGGGCACACTTTCTATAGTTTGGCAAAGCGAATTTTTGCGGCTTTGATCTGCTTTCCAAATTTCCTTAACTTAGAATATTAATTTTTGTTTAGTTTACAAAGAAAAAAGTGCAAAATCCAAACAGCATAGCTTCTAGCCGAAATAAGCAAAGCCAACTGACTGAGTTGACACAATGGCGGGCAACTTCTGGCAGAGCTCGCATTCCCAGCAATGGATACTCGACAAACAGGATTTGCTGCGCGAACGACAAAATGATTTACTCGCACTCAGCGAGGATGAGTATCAAAAGATATTCATATTCTTTGCGAATGTCATCCAAGTGCTCGGCGAGCAGCTGAAACTGCGCCAGCAGGTCATTGCCACGGCAACAGTTTACTTCAAGCGCTTCTATGCACGTAACTCATTGAAGAACATTGATCCGCTACTTCTGGCGCCCACCTGCATTCTGCTGGCCTCCAAGGTGGAGGAATTTGGTGTCATATCCAATTCGCGCCTTATTTCCATTTGCCAGTCGGCAATTAAGACGAAGTTTAGCTATGCGTACACCCAGGAGTTTCCCTATCGCACTAATCATATACTCGAATGCGAGTTTTATCTACTAGAGAATCTAGACTGCTGCCTAATTGTCTTCCAGCCGTATCGACCATTGCTGCAGCTCGTCCAGGACATGGGTCAGGAGGATCAGCTATTAACGCTTAGCTGGCGCATAGTAAACGATTCGCTGCGCACAGATGTCTGCCTGCTCTATCCGCCATATCAGGTGAACAATTTCGGATTTTTAGTCCTACACTATTGGTTATTTAAATATTTATTCAATGGCTTTCAGATTGCAATTGCCTGTCTGCAAATCGCTTGCGTCATATTGCAAAAGGATGCAACGAAACAGTGGTTCGCTGAGCTCAACGTGGACTTGGACAAGGTGCAAGAAATTGTGCGCGCTATTGTCAATCTGTATGAGCTGTGGAAGGATTGGAAGGAGAAGGATGAAATTCAAATGTTGCTGGCCAAAATACCTAAACCCAAGCCACCGCCACAGCGTTAAGTGCAAAAGAAACCATCGACGCATTAAAATATGTATTTAAGTTTTAATTGTAATTCTTACATTATATATTTATGGCTTAATTTAAGTCTTACAGATACTTGGCGTGTCCGCTCGAGAACTTTGTGTTTAGTATCTTGGCCTTGTCTACAATTTGCTTGGTCTGATTCTTGTCAATCTTGTTCAGCTTCAGGTCCACGTCGCGGGTAAAGGGACGCCGTTCCGGTTTGGATCCAGAGGCAGCCAGTTCTTTTTCCTACACAAGATGAAACTTTAATTTGTGCACTTTAAGAAGTAGTTCTAGATGATCAACTTACCCGTGCTCGCTGCTCCTTGCGCAACTTCTTCTGATGTAACTCAACTAAAGACTCGTCCCGTTTGTGTTTCTTCTTGTGCTTTTTAGCAATTCTCTCCTGTTCCTCATCCCTTTGCCGCTCATAGTTCGCCTGCGCTGTCTGCTCCAAGTCCTTGGAGCTACATGCTTTCGGACCTGCTGCTTCGCTCTTTGGTGTCTTGGTCCAAGAGCTGCGATCTGTGAAGTCCGGTCGGTCCTTGCCTTGGTAAAAGGTGCGCTTCATATTGTTCAGCGCTGCAAGGCCACTTTTCAGTCCCACCTCAGGCAACTCCAGCATCCATTCCTCTCGCACATCTTGATCTGGTGTGGATCCAATGCCTCCTTCTAATGCCGCCAGCTTTAAGGCTAGAGCCCGTTCCTCCAGCTCCACTTGTGTGGCATTTGGCAGCGGTCCACACATGCCCGTCAGGTCATCATCATCCGCGTCATCAGCATCAGCGACACTGGCAACTATTGAAGTCTCTGCAAGATTGGCAGGCATAACGGGTCCTATAATCATCGGCTCTTGTGGCTGGGATTCCGGCTTTAATTCTTTAACTAAATGCGGTGGCAAAGCAGGCCCAAAAGCATCCGAATTGTCATCTGTTTCCAGTGGCTGTCTTGATGGCGCCACTGGCATCGGCTGATGCAGTTGTTCCTGCGGCTCGTCTCGCTTACTTCGCTTCTTTTGCTTGTGACGCTTTTCATGTTTGTGTTTCTTTTGCGATTTTTTCTGCTTCTTATCGACGTCTTTGCTTGTTTTTTTATGCTTGCGCTTGCGCCTGTGCTCTTCATCGCTAGAGCTGCTGGAATCGCTGGACATGATTTCTGAAATTGGCAAACATAGATGTTGACAATGAAAACTCAAAAGTTTCAGTTTTGATTTAAACTACAGGTTCTCTATTGAAGTGCAAACAACTGTTGGCGCTTAAAATTAATTAACAGAAATGCACAAGAAGCGCAACTTAGTCAATAAATGGCAGGGATAGTTGGCATGAATCCTACGGATTCGCATAAGATCAGAAACAGGATTTCATTTGCAACGATGCTAAGCTTCTATTCCCGTTTACGATCCATGCGATTCCTTAGCGTAAAACTTAAGCGGCGAATGTCTTTAACGACTTGCGATAGCTATAGACGATTGACTTGAAGATGCCTGCCGATGCAATGTTCTTCAGTGACTGCGTCACACTGCTGCGCCAGACAATGTCATTCACCGAGACCTGAACAATCTTGGGCAGCTGTGGCGCCAGCGACAAATGCTCAACAACATCCGCATAATCGCCCCGACAGGCGGCATTGTGCCCCAGACGCCGGCACAGCTCCCGTGGCAAGTGTCGCAAATGAAATCGTGTCGCAGTGAGCGATTTATCCTGTTCGAAGATGACGGCTGGCTTTTGGGAGCCCGGCTCCACGCCATGCATGTTGACAGCCATGTATTGTGCCAGCTGCCGCATGGCTGGCTGGTAGAGCGCCAGAAACTCGGACAACTGCGGCTGCACAATATTGTGCACCTTCTGCTTGTTCTCGCCAAATATCATGCGAAAGTCACCCTTGTAACTGAGTCCGGCAATCGCATAAAATAGCTCGTAGGCTGTGAATTTCTCGGGCAGCAGCAGCAGAGCAGCTTGGCACGCCGACACCAGATTCTGCTCCACAGCAGACTGCAGTCGTGGATTGTCGGCGAGATTGACGAGATCGGTGACTGGCTTCTGTAGCCGTCCAGCCAAATACAGGTCACGCCAATGCAGCAGATCATCAATTAAATGATCCTCATGCACCACGCCGTATTTAACTGTTAGTCCAAGATCGGGCAACGGTACCAAGGTATTGAAATAAACACGGGCACCGAAGCGCTCCTGATACTTTGCCACAAAATTGGCACCGAGATATCGCAGTGACGAATAATGTGCCTCGTGTCGATGTATATTCTCCGCATGGAAGCCCAGTGTGTCGCGCACGCAGAATATTAAATCGATGACAGTTTTAGCATCGGGTTTCTGGTCGAGCATCTCGTAACCCTCCTGGCGCTTAACGCCGGAGCCATACGCAAACATGTAACTGACGTTGCCTAGTGGAAAGCGTGTAACTATGCGCCTGTACAGGTCCACCATGATGATGGATGTGGGCGGAGCCTGTTAGTTTGGGATGGGTTTGCCCCGTGTTAATTGATGATTAACTTTATAATTACGTTTTGTTTGTGTTTGATTATTGACGGTCTTCCGGCTAAAAAACTCGTCTGACTTCGATATGTTTACAAAGTAATCGATTTTTTAATTTGTACCGATAAGAAAAAAACGAAAAATCGGTATGCGATTTGAAAGATTAAAAACATAATACTGTCGCATATGCTGTGTAAATGTTTTCAATCTTTCATTCTAAGCTTCAATAATTTATTTCGTAGTAAATTTGTATGGCCAGCTCAAATTGGAATGTTTTTAATAGTCTTTTATTCCGCGAGCAATTAAAATTTTTGGCGCTGGAAGTAATATTGACAACCCTAAATTATCGATGTTTTCAATTGATTAGAAGAAGAAGAAAACGCACATTTTTTGTACCATCAACTTGGGCCAGCAACAGATAAGCTACTGTCTTGCACCGAATTAAAAGACTACTCAACAGTTAGAAAAGAAAAAAGAAAAAAAAATATTAAAGCAATGCCGCAGCCACCGAAAAGAAGCAAAGAGACTGATTCTGACCCAACAACCGAATCCAAAGACGATCCCGATGATCGACCATCGACATCGCAATCCAGCACAACTAGCTTGATTGATTTCACAACGGTAAGTAGTTCTGAGATTCCATCTGAATACATTTAATTCCATTCCACTTTTGCATACAGGCAGCGTTCCGCAACGTAGTAGCGGCCACACGAAGTTGTAATGCCTTTCCCCAAGGTAATGCACGCGACGTATATCTCAGCTACCCGGGCTATGCACGCATGCTGGAGGAGCAGTCGCAGCGAGTGCTGGGCCTGATTAACAAGGTGCTCCAAGCAGAGAAGGTCGCCGGCGACATTAGACGGTGAGTTCAACTCATCTATATAAATAGTCGTGCATATGTCATGTATACTTGTACGATTTTGTAGCTATAACTGGGAACAGAGAAAAGCTGTGTTATTGTTATTATTTCTTATACACTTTATTTTCTTACACACAGGCGGCAAGGTGAGGAAAAGCTGGAATTGGTTCAGGAATGTAATGATATTCTTTTCGAGCGTATCACTACGAATCTAGACATAAAGAGCGGCCAACGACGCGGTAATCAGCAGATGGTGGTCGAAACTCAAGTGGATGTTCAGTCCGCATCGAAGGCAACACCAACTGCAACAACAATAACAAATGAGTCGGCAACACCGCGTGCTGGCAGCTGGAATCGCATCAGCAGCTCCACTATGGGCACACCATCACGTAGCATGGTCTCGGCCCGTTTGTTTACGGCGCCGAATATAATGCGGCCACAGATGCGTTTCAAGGTGCCGGTCGACAATAGTGCCACGAATCCGTTTCAGCCACGTCTTACTGAGAAGCCGAATTCGCTGAAACCGCTGGCCCTGCTGCCCGAATACGATGAGGCCGACAACATTGTGTCATTTCTCCATCCGTATGAGTTTGAACTGCTGAAATTCGAGCCGGCTAAAGAGCAGCTGCAGAAGCAAAATCCCCAAATGCCCGCTCCTCCTGAGAAAACCGAACTAATGCTGGTGGACAGCGTGGAGAAGTTGCAGCAGGCGCTGGCTGAATTACGTCTGGCACATCAGATTGCCATCGATGTAGAGCATCATTCGTATCGGACATTCATGGGCATCACTTGCCTGGTGCAAATGTCGACGCGCACAAAGGACTATATATTCGATACGCTGATATTGCGCGATGATATGCACATACTGAATCTGGTGCTCACAGATCCCAAGGTGCTTAAGATTCTACATGGTGGCGACCTGGATATCGAGTGGCTGCAACGCGATCTTTCCCTTTATATAGTCAATATGTTTGACACGCATCGCGCTGCAAAGGCTTTAAATTTGGCACGATTATCGCTGGCATTTCTGCTCAAATTCTACCTGGATATGGATGTGGATAAGAGCTTGCAGCTGGCCGACTGGCGCATGCGGCCACTGCCACAGAAACTGATTGACTATGCGCGCCAAGATACACACTATCTCATCTATATATACGAGCGCCTGGTCAACGATCTGCTCCAATCGGAGCAGGGACAGTCGCATTCTTTGCGTATGGTTTATCAGCAGAGCACGGACATTTGTAAGAAACGCTACACAAAGCCGTACATTGGACCCGACTCTCATCTGGACTTGGTGCGCAAGACAAAGCGCTCCTTTGACAACCGTCAATTGTACGCTTTGCGCGGCATCTTTACTTGGCGCGATGCGACCGCCCGACAGGAGGACGAGAGCTATGGCTATGTACTGCCCAATCATATGATGCTTCAGATTGCCGAGAGTTTGCCGCGTGAAATGCAAGGCATTCTGGCCTGTTGCAATCCCATACCGCCACTGGTGCGTCAGCAGCTTCACACGCTGCATCAGATCGTGCTGCGGGCGCGTGAGCAATCCCTGATCAAAGTAAGTTAACGATCCTGTACGTTTTTACTGTACTTTATTTGCAAATTAGAACTTAGAATTAAACTTGGTTCAAACCTTTTGCAGCCCATCCTAGAAGCAAGCTGCGGCCCACAGGGATCTGTGAAGCTAGCACCGATCACCAAGGACTTTAGCAGCAAGCTGAATTGCCCGCACGACTTTTCGCACCAGGAAGAGACGAGAGATGATCTACCCACACTGCTTGGACGCAGCACAGCGACGGGGAAACTGCAGCGACCAGACCAGCCAAGACTGGAAGCGACTTTGGTGTCGTTGAAGGCGCCAGCGCTTTCACTGTTCCGCAAATCGGCGAAGCCAACGCAGGAGGAAAAGTTGCGCTGGATGCATGCCCGCAAGGAGAGTCAGACGATGCGTATGCCCTACAAGCGTTACCTGGCCATCTTGCCACTCATGCAACAGGAGAAAATTGAGCAGGCCGCACGTGAGAATAGTGAGCTACTTAAGCGACGTCTATGCCCCGCGGAGCCGGCACCAGAATCCCTCAAATTAGAACTTGAGCCAAAGGAGGAGCCGCCACAGGAAGATGCTACATACAATCTACCACTGAAAGAGCAGCTAAAGCGAAAACATCTGCCAGCAACGCCATCGGAAACATCAAGCCAGGCAAAACGCAACCGAAATGAAGATGACGCCACTCCCAGTTCGTCCAAGTCGAAGAAAAGGTCAATTGAAGAGACACATAATGAAGACGATAGTGCCGACGATTCGGTTGTTGAAGTTCCTATTGAAAGGAGTGCCTCGGAAAATCCAGTTCCTGCGCTGAGCAAGCGACAGCAGAAACGTCAGCAGCAGAACCAACGATTTAAGGCCAAATCACGAATGCCGGCACAAAGCTCAAACCGAGCTGTCCAGTTGCCAGCCACGTCTGCAGCGCCACAGAACTTTGACTATCAAAATGTCGACTTCCGGCAATTCCAAGGTGGCGCGAAGCGAGCACATGGCACGGAGATCAAGGCACAAATACATGGAAAGGTAAGTTAAATAATTGCAGCTAATGCAATAATCTAAACTAATCAATTCTTTACACCTTACAGAATCGACCCAATAATCGCAATAACAAGAAATTCAACAAACTGTTTACATTCAGCAAAGTGAAAAGTGGGAGAAAGTAAATGACAGAGAAATGCGAAATTTTCGACAAATTAAATAAGTTAACCAAGTAAAAGCTAAGAAATTAAACTTTGCGTATTAATTTCATTTGGTATACTTTTTATACTAGCCAACAATTTTAAGCGTGAATAAAACTAATTCTTACAATGGATTGTGGCAATTCATCTTCTAGTTGAACTTATTTTGACATTTAACTATTACATAAACAATTACCAAATTAATTAAAATAATATAATTTTTTGTAGATAATTAGGACTTTTCGAAACATAAATTGTTTACTATTTGGAATAAACTTGGTTTGCATAATTAATCACAATATTTATAGGAAGTATATGATCACTTTTATTTAACTATGGACAAACTTATTAAGCAATAATCTTGGCACTTGATTTTTTGCTGCAAGCTGCTTACTAAAACTAATAACAATCTAGGCCTAATCTAACAACTAAAGTTAAAGCGTTTTAAACATCTTATCGCCCTCTCGGTCCATGCAGTACTCCACCACAGCGAACACGACAATTAATCTGCGCTCGACTCCGCGCTTATGCTTGTCCGTGATGAGAGGGTAGAGCGCGTCCTGCTTTGATAGACGATCAACAATTTCAGTCAGCACGCCACCGGAAAAAATTTGCAGGCGATCCCACGTAGATTTACGTATACTTAAAAAGAAAATTCAAAAATTCCAACTTAGAATGTAAATAAATCAATTCATAAAGTTCAAACGCACAGGCAACACTGATAGAGGGGCGCCAAAATATCCAGATGATCCTTGTTGGGATTTCCAAATGCCTTGCCATTGTCGATGAGCACCACACGCTCCTCTCGTGTCTCATAGTGATGACGATCACCATTTTGTATGAGATAGTCGAAGATAGCCACGTCTACGAGGTCCAGCAAGCGTATAGTTTCCATTTTACTCTTGAGAGCTCTGAGAAATCAAATTGAAATTGTTACTTTACGTTAAGCAGATTATAATTAGAATCAGGCTCTGTTCGTACTTGCAGTAGGTCATATCATCCTCCCAGACTGCTCGCTTATCTTCCTTGTAGGTGCGCTGCCAGGGCGAGCGACGCTTAGCCAATGTCCCGGGCACAATGTAGATGATGACACCTTCAATGTTGTGCTGGTCATCGCCACAGACAGTCTCCTCCTCATTGCAGTAGTGACACTTGCCATACAAACAATATGTCTCTTTTCCATCCTCATCTATTTCAATTTTGATGGTATTCTGTAGCTCTTGATCGCCACGGTCAAAGATCTCTGTCTTTAGATTCACCACACGACCGACTACAATGGGCGTCCAGCGCAGATCCAGTACGGCGCCCAAGTAGAAAGCATACACCTCGGCCACATGTCGATCCTTGCCGCTATAAACGACTCCTTCAATGACAATGTCTCTCGGATACCACTGCGGCTTGAAGATCACCTTTTGTTGTTGACTCAGACGCAGCAGAAGCTTTAGCTGTGTTCCACGTCCAAGATTGTTGGCTCGCGTGATTGGCTCATCTCGCAGCGTTTTCAATAGCTGACCCATCGAGGAGTCATACAGCGGATATATCTCGTTCTCGTGCGGCCACTACAAGGAAATCATTTTCAAATTAATCGAAACTTTTCTTCAATATATCTTTCAGATTGATCGGATCGGATTGGACAGAGACCATGAGGTTAAAAAAAAAGTGTGCTGTGAAAATGAGAAATTTTTAGCTCTCTTTTCTTAGACTGTGCGTAAATGAGTCATTCCGATAATTAGCCATACACAAATATTTACAAGTGAAATATACATATGTATGTATGGTTCTATGTACATAGCAACTTACCCAATTGGCGATTTCCCAGAGAACGCTGGCATTCTCGTATGGCGCCTGCTTGTAGTTCTTTAGCAGTTTATTGCGAAACATGAAGAAGCGTGGATTTCGATTCAGATAGACCGGCTTGAGATGGCGCATCTTGTGGCGGATCATATTCTCCAAGGCACGGACGCTTGAGAGCTGTCCCTCTTCCGCGTTGAGGTAGTACATAAAGTAGAAGTTGGCGCCGAGCACAGTGCAGAGCAGCGTGGCGATGATGCAGACAATGATGATGCTGCGTTTATTCATCTTGTGAACAATTGGTCCGCTTGGACCGTTTTGGCTGCTCTTGCCGTTTCGCTGGGCGCTCGTACTTTATTTTTAATATTGCCTATACGTAACGCAGAACTAGCAAGTTGCTCGGATCTGGCAAATAATTTTTTGGCGTTGTAATTGCTGGGCTGTTGCTGTTGATGTTGCTGTTGCATGCTGCGGCTTCGTTCTTTGCTTTTCGTTTCCTTTCTTTTAATTGTTGTCGATGTTGTCGGCGTAGTTGTTATTATTGTTGTTGTGGTTGTGTTTTGCGTTTATTTGGCAGACATTGGCAACAACTGTTCGCATCAGTCCATTGTTGTTGTTCTCATTAATTAGGAACGTGTGGCAAGCCATTCGTTTTGGTATTTTAATTAAAATGTTCTCATCACTATGCGTGAGTCCTGAGTAAGTTGATATGAATTTATCCTTTTTTTGTGTGTAGTTCCCCTCACCGGTTTAAATTCCAGGCAAGGTTCGCCTCATGGCATAGGCTCAAGCCCTGTACAGGTTCCCTACTTACACGAAGCAAAAGTGCGTGACGTCACGCCAGCTTTTTGACCGCGATCCTAAACGGTGAGCTCGCTGCTCGATGGTAGACACTGAACATACCCTTATGCTGTTGCTGTCTGCAGCCGAGAAGAAAAATCATTTTACGGCCACTAGCGCCTTTGCACAATTGCCAAACATACGCCAATGTTTATGTTGATATTGTTTATATACTATTTGTATGGCCCCCGGTGGTTTGTTGACATGGATACGCATACAGGTTTATATTTATACACATAGCATACGCATAAATATGGTCACACCCTAGTTCGTTGGCGCAAATGTTAGTTAACAGCGAGTTCAGCAACATTTGAATTTGGTTAGCAGAATAAAATTAAATATCTGTAAAATAAACTTCGATCTCAGAGTTGGTAAACTACATATGTATTTAGTTTTAATACAAACAGGCTTGAAATGGTTTAGGATATTGTACCGGTTAAAAATCAAGTGTTTTCCGTCCTGCACTTGGCAACCATTATTTAAGCATTTTCGAGAACAAGAAATTCGTTTTCTTTTTACATTCTGCACTAAAAAAGCGTAAAAAAATTATAATGATGTTTTGCAAAATCAACATTCTTTAAAGTGGTCAATAAATTTTGACAAAAGTTTTATAATTCAAGTTAAATAAGAAATATTATTTGCGGTCGAAAATATGGTCACTCTACGTCGTTTTCTTTCCAAGTTACTGCATACGATAGCATGTGCAGGCACCAGTGTTGTTGTCTTGGCTAGATTACCTTAAACCCAACGCATTACTATGGCATACTTTTCGGCGACTTACTTCGACGAAAAAAGTTTTATTTGGCCGATATCCTTGCAAATTTTCAAAGCAAACTATTAGCCTTTTTGCTGCAGAGCATAGGCAAGTTCCTAACTTTATAAGCACTCCTCTAAGGCGCGCTTATTCAAAATTAATGCGCAAAACCTGCCGAGAAAAGGCAACTCGCTCAAATTTTCCAAAACAAAACCATTTGTTTTTTTGTGAAATAATTTCAAATATAATTTTAGCTTATACCTGGTATATGTATAATTAGTTTGTTGTCTGTGAATCCAAGACGACGATGCGTAGGTAACACATTAAAATTCATTTCTACATAATATAGTTATGTGTGTGTGGGTTCATGTGTTTATGCAAGTGTGTGTGTGTGTTTTAATGTTTCCATTTGTTTTACAATTCAAAATTGTCGTTGCTTTTGCTAACATCAAAAAATACAAATACATATGCATATAGTATATAGTATATATATATGCACAACGCTATCCTCACTTTATGCATCGCAATTTTTAGTAAATAGTACGCTTAAACATATATGTACTTGAAATCTGTATGTTTGTATGTGTTTGTGGTTGTGGTTGAGTGTGTATGTGATTGTTTTTGCCTATATTTATATAAGTAAAGTATGTATGTATAGATTATGTATATGGTTTTCGTTTGTTAAATTTAAATTGTTCTCCATCATTAAAGTTATTTGTATTATGCAAAAAATTGAAACAAGCAAATCGCAAAATTTAACATAAATAAAATTATTGGCAACATAAAAAAAAATAGAAAACAATACTCATTATTTTGCTTAATATAAAAAAGTGTAAAACAAAACGCACAATTATTGAATAAACTGGTGTACGCTTTATATGGTATATATATCTATATATATATAGATATAGATAGATATATATATAGTATAAAACTAGTTGATGTGTACCTCTACATATACATACACGATATAATGCTACTTAGTATTATCGATTTATATAGTTAAAATAATAAGTTTGCATAATTCGAACACTCGGGGATCACCCACGCAATGAGCAAACCGAAAAGCAGTACATTTTGTTAAGCTTATGTTGCTAAAATGACACATATTCATTCATTCATTCGCATTGTATTCTTTTCGCTATAAATTTGACATTTAGACATGAAATATTGCTCATTATTTGATGCTTGTAAACGCTTTTGATTCTGGTTTTTTTTTTGTTTTTTTTTTTTTGTGGTATCTATCGAAGTATATTTATGTATATTTGTTAATAGTATTTATTTTTTTTTAATATTGTATGCTGCTTGTTAGTTGTTTGCTGAAGCAAAAAGCGGTTGCTGACGTTTATCTAATTTGTTATTAATACTTAAAATTGCTTTTCGAATAGTTGTTGGTGTTGTGGTTGTTGTTATTTTGTTGTTGTTGTTGTTGGCGGTGCACCGCCAATGTCTACGGCTTAAAATATAATTAATTTCATTTCAATTCATTACGTTTTAGTTTTAAATTGTCGGAATTTAAAAAAAAACCCTACTTAGCTACATTACAAAATTGTATTCTTCACTGGGTTTTAGGTTTTTCATTCTTGCTTTTATCACCCAAATTCATATAGATTTCATTTCTTGTTACCATTCAATTCGTACAAAAGAAATGCATTATTTGAAAATTTCATATGTTCGTTGTTGTTGTGACAATTGTGGACATCGTGGAAAGGCGAAGCTTCTTTTTCTTTTCTTTTGTTTTTCCATAAATATTGAATTCTTTGCATAATTGGTTTAAACTAAATTGCACATTGAGTTAAATTTTGAACGCAGATTAATTATTATTTATATACAGTCGATTGTAATCTTATGTTTGTTTGTGAATATGTACAGCAACACTTGTTCGTGTGTGAGAGAGATAGATAGAGAGAGAGAGAGAGAGGGGGCGAGAGAGAGGGGTAGGTGTGTTTGTGTGTGGGCAGGTTAGCGAGCGACTTAATGTTTAAACAGTTGAGAGCTTGTGCCTTAATTGATAAAGTAAAATACCATTAGAGTGTTTTTTGCTGCTGTTGCTGCTGCTGCTGCTGCACCGTTTGGGCTGCCCTAGTTAACCATCAGAGTGTGCGATTCCATGGGCGCTGCTGAGTCATAGAGCGTGTCCGTGTCCTGCGTGGGCTCGCCCTGTAGCTGACACTGATTGGACAGGGTGCCGGCACCGCAGTCACAAAAGAAACTGAAATTACAATTACAATTATGAACAATAACAATTAACAACGAATTAATTTATATTAATAATGAATTACTCACCGATCGTGTCGTATGAATTCAACATCATGTCCTGCATGACAATTCTTTATGCAATTCACGCATATGGCATTCCGATCGGTCGTATTGCAGGTCTGGCAACGATAGAAGTCGTGCATTGGAAATGATGTATAGCTGCTTATCTTATACAGGCACTGGCCACTCGAGACGGCCTTCTCCACCTCGTCCTCGTTGTTGAATATGTTATTGCCACGCGTGATCGGCTGCACGCCGCTGGCGAGGCACAGTCCACCGAACTTATTTTTAAATATTTGATTGTGCTCCAGTGTCGCTGTCGCATTATTTGTTATCTCGACGCCAGCTGCCTGACCATCATAGATCCGATTGCGTCGAAGTATTGGATGCGATTGTGTTGAGATCAGAACGCCCGCCTGCGTGTTACGAAAGATGTCGTTCTCCTCGAGTATTCCTTTGCCGCCATTGAAGATGCAAATGCCGCCATCGCGTCCATCATAAATTTTGTTGCGTTTCAGTGTCGGATTAGAGTCGGTCTTAATCCACACACCAGCCATGGCATTGTCAAATATCTCATTCTGTTCGAGCAGACCAAGTCCGCCATTGTAGACTAAGACGCCGCCATTTTGGCCGCCCCAGATTTTGTTGCCACGTATCACCGGGTTGCTGCCAGTGCGTATCTGCACGCCCGAATACAAATGATTGAAGATGTCGTTGTCCTCCAGCTTGCCATGCCCATTGTCATAGAAATAGACGCCAACCTGTTTGCCGGAATGAATGCGATTGCGTCGCAACACGGGCGTACTGCCTGTGGTTATCCAGACGCCAGCCAACGTATTGGAGTAAACCTCATTCTCCTCAATCAGCCCCTGTCCCTTCTCGTGCACATAGATGCCACCGTGCTGCCCATGATGAATCTTATTGTGTCGCACGATCGGATCACTATTGGTGCGTATTTGTATGCCGGCCAAGGCGTTACCATAGATATTGTTGTGCTCGATGAGGCCGCGACCCTCTCCAAAGATGTAGACGCCGCCCTGATGGCCATTGTAGATCTCATTCTTGCGTATGGTGGGATTGCTGTTGGATGTTATCCAGACACCTGCATAGAAAATAACACTAAATTAGTGGCCAACATATCATATTCATATTCATATTAATTAATTATCATGTATATAATTAATATAATCTCATATATATATATTTAGACATTTTGCAATGTGAATCAGTTGTATAATTATTGTTGTCTTTTTTACCTGCAAAGTTATTCGAGTGTATTCGATTCTCTATGAATTGGCCCAGCCCATTCTCGTGCACATAGATGCCGCCCGTCTGTCCGTGATGTATCTCACACTTGACCACTGTGGGATTCGCACCGGCCTTGACCTCAAAGCCAGCAATGCGATTGTTGTGAATATCGTTCTTCTCAAAGTAGCCCTATAAAATAATCGTAGCAATTAATTAACTTAAATTGTCAGTTAGCGCAAAAAACATTTGCTTTAAGAGGTATTTTAATATAGGTTAAAAATGTATTTTATATTTACTGTGGAATTAAGAAGCCTTCTGTTGGCTTATGTTTAGGCGAAAACATCACCAAATGTTTAGAAAGCTATCTGGTGACTTCTTCACTTATTTGATATATTGGTCATACATTATAGCTTACCATGCCATTCTCAAAGGTGAATATGCCCACATCGCGTCCATGATGTATGTGATTCTCGCGCATTATGGGACTGGCGAAGTTCTTCACCCAAATGCCGGCCAACGCGTTCCGGCTGATCTCGTTGTGCTCGTAGGTGCCCTGGGCATAGTCCGTCACGTAGAGGCCGACATTTTCACAGTCGCTGATGTCGCAGTTGCGTATAACGGGATTGGCGCTGACACCACCCACACAAACGGCGGCACCCACCACAGACGTGGAGCGTATGATGCAATTGTCCACCGTTGGTGAACAGTTCTCGCCAATATCGAGGCAATAGTGCTTGTGATGCGATACGGTTGAGGTGACCTCCGGCGAGAATTTAAGCGTCAGATAGCCAACATATGCGTATTTTGCACCTTCCACAAACATTACTGTGGAGCCAGCCTCGCGCTCGAGAACCACCGATTCGGCCACATTGCCAGGCGCCGCACCAACAAGTGCCACATCGGAGTCAATGAACAGATATTCGCCCTTGTAATGACCGGCATGGAGGAATATCAGGGGGCCCGGATGCTCCGCTGGCGGCACATTCTCCTCGTATATATTCGCCAGGGCATTGACACTGGCAGCCCCACTCGCTGCATTGCTTGTTGTATTGGAGAGGCCGGCATTGACATTGCCAGCGCCAGCGCCGGCATTGGAGCCAGAGGCAAACGCGGCCGCGGCACGCTCCTCCGGATAATCGAGTGCGGCCTGAATCGTATTGAAGAAGACGATGGTGCGGCCGGCGTGTCGCTGCTTCTCCTGATACCCAGGGCGGACATGAACGCCACGATAGAGCTGGCGAAAGCTCTCCTTCCATGGATTGGCGAACTCCGACTCCTCGGGCTTCTCGAAGACAAACTTGCACAGCTCCGGATTGAAGAGGGGTAAATCGTATTCGAATACAGATTGATAGAGACGCTTCCACAGTTCCGTATCATTGGCAATCGTATTGAAACGCTTACAGACCAACGCCAGCCGGCACAGATCCTGCTCCATCAGATAGGAGAATATGGCGAGGAGCACCTCGTCGGCCAGCTCGTATTGCAGATACTGTGCAGCAGTGGGACCACCGCCACCACCACTGGCCGCACTGCCACCGCTGCCCGCCTCCATGCTGGGTACTGCTGCCGTATCCGTTTCCCCTCCCTGCGTATATAGACGACGTGAACGCTTCCGCGCTGGCAACATATAATTGTTCTCCTCAATAACGGCTGCTGCGCCGCCGACAGGTAGAGCACCGCAATGTTGCGGCACAGAGCTATGCACCGTTGGCGGCTGGGCGAGGGTGGCGCCTGTCGTGGGTGCATTATTAACGGGAAATGTGGCGCTCGTCGATGGGGCCTGCACAATGGCAGATGGCGACGACGATGACGACGACGACGAGGATGATGACGATGATGATGAGGATGCCGTTGCCGATGCCGATGATGATGAAGACGATGATGACGCTGAAGAAGAGCTGGCAGGTGATGTGCTGGGATTTAACAGAGGCGGCGAACTGCTCGCTGGACCCACCATAATAGCCACCGCTGCCGAACCGGCGTTCGAGCTTGACGAGCACCACTGGTCATGATTGCTCACGGCGGATATTTTGCGGCGTAAATCGTACGGCGATTGATGGCAACATGATGCACTGCCGCCGACTCCGTTAACGGTGCCGTTGTTGCTGTTGCTCTGACTTGAAGCGGATGTGCTGGGAAAATTTGAATTGCAGGTGATGTTGGTGTTGCTGCCACTGCTGCTGCTGATGGCCGAAGTGCTGGCCAACGCTGAGCTGCCATCCGTGGTGTCCATAATTTGGACGGCATTATAAATACTGCCCATGCTTGGATTTTGATTGACTGCCGCTGCTGTTGCTGATGCGATGGTGGAATTGCTGCTACTACTTCCGGCGGCGGCAGCAGCAGCATTGCTCGTGGATTGCCCACTATCATAGTACTCCGCGGAATTGCTGTTGCCGGAGGCAGCATTGTTGATGTTATTGCTGGTGTTGGAGTTGGAGCTGGAGCTATTAGTATTTCCCTCCGCTGAGGCTGTGCTGGTAGAGGGGGCATTGTTTTGCTGGGCATGCACCGGCTGCTGCAGCATCGGATCCATTATGTTGCCAGTCGGACGATTGGGCATCGCAATGCGATTGGCTCCTTTTCGTCGGGAACGGCGCACATAGGGCCGCGATGAGGTGAACGATGCGCTGGGCATTTTTTAATAATTTATTTTTTTATTAAATTCAGTTACCTCTGCCTGGAGGGGAGGGGGTGGGGGCGGGAAGCAGAAAGTCTTGTATTGTCGTTTATCACCTTTTTTCTCACAATTTAACAACCCCAAAAACCCAAACCAAAACCGAGTTTCAATTCCCAATTCCGTTTCCACTCACACTTGCATGCATACACACATGCACACACACAGGCGAGAGGGCGAAAGGGGAGAGGAGACACACACAGACACTGGAACAGTTTTATGAGCCGATGGCGATGGATTTTCTCCTTTCACTTGCGATTTGCATACATTGCTGCAAACTAAGCACTTAGTTTACAGTTGTTTTTGATTTCGTTTAGAAAAGTATATGGTTTTGGTATCGAACATTTTCTAATTTATGATTGTTCGTCAGCCAGTTTTGCCTGCTTCATCATCTGCTCTTCTTCCAATTGTATGTGTGTTTGTGTGTGTGGAGTTTTCGGGGTTTCTATCCTTTGTTTCTCCTTTGTTTTGTTTTATTTGGATAGAAGAGCTGCACTAGCTATTATCACACTTTTGTATGCTGTTTCACTCGCTCATTGTTTCTTTTGTTTGCTCTTTGTGCCTTGCTTCGTATTGGCAGCTGAAAATTTCGTTCAGCTTTCTTCCGTTCTTCAAACACTTCTCTCAGCAGTTGTATTTTTTTGTTTGTATATTGGCAATTCTGTATCAATACGTGACTGCAAATCCGCACAATAAGCAAATTGACTTAATTTGCAAACGAGGCAGATCCGACGAAACGAGCACGACGGGCCTGCAGTCCAGCCTACGATGACTTTTTGATAGCACTGCGGTCAATAAGCTATCGATACCACTCGTGTGCATTGCTGTATTCTGTTGCCAATTGCTCAACACTGTATTATATCGATTCAGAAGTCGATTAATGCACAACACCTTACATTCCCGCCACTTCGAGCATCACACCTATTGAAATTGCGACGTCCCTTGAAATTCGCAAATATTGTAATCATTTTTTTTGGGAATAACCAACTTTAGAATATAATGACTTCTAGTGCAAGTTTAACCATGGGCGTCATTGCTGTAAGTATTATGCCCAATAGCTGTTTTATAAATTAAATAATTGACGTATCTTATAGCGCATTATGCATGGCGAAGATGTGCCGCAGCCGGTGCTGCAAATTTTGGGCATCAAGAGAATTAATACGAATTCAGATCAGGAGCGCTATCGGCTGCTCATGTCGGATGGCAAGTATTATAATAGCTATGCGATGCTGGCCAGCCAGTTGAATGAAATGCAACACAAGGGATTGCTTACCGAGAACACAATTGTGCGCCTGGACAAATACATGACTTCCATGGTTGGCAAAGAGGGCTCTGGGAAGTAAGTTGCTATTTTAAAGATTTGACGCTGCAACAGGACTGATTACGTTTTTTCTGCATAGACGCGTTTTGATTGTCACAGAGCTGACCGTTCTCAAATCGGGCGAAGAGGTCAAAACCAAATTAGGTGAACCGGTAACCTATGAGAATGCGGCCAAGCCAGAAGCTGCTCCAAAGGCTGCACCCGCTGCCGCGAGTGCTCCAGTCAAAAAAGATCAATCGTACAACTACAACAATAATAACAATAACAACACAATGAACAGCACCATGAACGGCACACTAAACTCCTCCCTTACACATCCCATTGCCAGTCTGAGTCCGTATCAGAACAAGTGGGTGATCAAGGCGCGCGTCACTTCGAAGACAGCCATACGCACCTGGAGTAATGCGCGTGGTGAGGGAAAGCTCTTCAGCATGGATTTAATGGATGAATCGGGCGAGATTCGAGCTACCGCTTTCAAAGAGCAGTGTGACAAGTTCTATGATCTAATCGAGGTGGACAACGTCTACTTCTTCTCGAAATGCCAACTAAAACCGGCCAATAAACAATACTCGCAGCTGAAGAATGACTACGAAATGACCTTCACCGGGGAAACAATGGTGCAGCTTTGTGACGATGCCGACGATGGGGGCATACCGGAGATCAAATTCGATTTGGTGCCCATATCACAGGTGGCGAGCATGGAGAACAAGGCGGCCGTTGATACGATTGGCATTTGCAAGGATGTTGGCGAGGTGCAGACCTTCACCTCGCGTACGACCAACAAAGAGTTCAAGAAGCGCGAACTGACATTGGTCGATATGAGCAATGCCGCCATCAATCTTACACTTTGGGGCGATGAGGCTGTCAATTTCGATGGCCATGTGCAGCCAGTCATTTTGGTGAAGGGATCACGCATTAATGAGTTTAATGGCGGCAAGAGTCTCAGCATGGGCGGTGGCTCAATCCTTAAAATTAATCCAGACATTCCGGAGGCCCACAAGCTGCGTGGCTGGTTTGACAATGGTGGCGGCGACAATATCAGCAACTTGGTCTCGGCACGAACGGGCGGCGGCAGCTTCAGCACCGATTGGGTGACCCTAAAGGATGCCCGTATACGCAATTTGGGCTCTGGCGACAAGCCCGACTACTTCCAATGCAAGGCCGTTGTGCACATTGTTAAGCAGGAGAACGCTTTCTACAAATCGTGTCCTCAGACGGAATGCAACAAGAAGGTCGTCGACGAGGGCAACGGTCAGTATCGCTGTGAGCGCTGCAATGCAGCCTATCCAAACTTCAAGTACCGCTTGTTGATCAATGTGAGTAATAGACTCAATCGAAACGTAATTGAAATTTGTAACGCAATTTTAATGTTCACAGATGAGCATTGGTGATTGGACCTCGAACCGCTGGGTGACGTGTTTCAACGAGGCTGGCGAGCAGCTGCTTAAGCACACTGCTCAGGAAGTTGGCGAGGCTCTGGAGAATGATCCAACTTCCGCTGAGAAAATGTTTGGCGATATTAACTTCTCCTCCTTCATATTCAAATTGCGCTGCAAGAATGAAATGTACGGTGACATGACGCGCAACAAGCTAACCGTGCAGTCCATGACCCCAATAAATTACAAGGAATACAACAAACATTTGATCAAGGAGCTCAAGGAAATGACGGGCATTGGTCCGGCTAACTAAATGCATTACGTGCAGCGCACGATTCAAAAATAGCCATTAAGTTCGATCATTACACACATACAAATAAAATAAATTATACCCACTCAATTTTCTATATAGTTTGTTTATTTCAGAGTATTGCGAATTGAATTAATTTTCACTTTTCAACCTGGAAATGCTGGACTTGGTAAATAATTATAGTTATGGGGATACAATTCATATATATTGGATTTCTAGTAAATTCATATTGTTTGTATACTCTATTTTTTTGCTTATGCACGTTTAAATGAGTATATAAGGTATATAGATTCATATATAGCGATTAATCAAAAATGTAATTTTTGAATGCGCAACTCTTTCGAGCTGTCGTTGTTGACTAGTATTCTCAGTTGTTTAAATTGATTAATTCTCTTTGTTTAAATTGATTAATTCTCATTGTTTAAATACGATTAGTTGCGCTGATATCTAGTCTAGTTAAAAGGACCATTATACTTAAATACTTTATAAAAATGTACAAAACTGGAAAACGTATGTGGCGTTATCTATGAAAATGTATATATATATATATATATATATATATATATTTATTGTTAAAGTAAAAACTGCATTGCACATTTCGTCAGTGTTATATGTATTTATGTGTTTGCTTAAGTAAATTTTGTTCTACTCATTTTGATTAGCATTGAATATTTTGGTTTAGTGCTTGATTCTCAACACATGATATATGTATGCATGTATAATATCTATAGAAATTTGATCATCTTTATTTGTTTACGTCTAAAATTAATTATGCATATTAGCTTTACAAGTATTTCACTTTATTGATCTGTCTTAGTAACATTAGCGACAATTCCCCGCGATTTTTTTTCATTTTTACTATATTCTAACATAAACTTTTAACTGATATTCGTAGATATAAATAATGTGCAATTAAATTAGACAATTCATGCAGCAACCTTTTTTGTTTACCTCAGCGGGAGACATTTGGCACCAAAATTAGAATAATTAGAATAATTCAAACAAATACAAAATGTAGATTAATATCGACACAATACTTGTAGTTATAGCTAATAAACTAAACCTCACTCTCTGTGGATAGGCTTTGGCCAATCGCATTAGCGCGGCTCATAGGAGCAGTCGGTCTGGGCATGTGCATGCGCAGCTGTTGGTGGTGGATGATGATGATGATGATGCTGGTGCTGGCAGCTGAGCTGTTGTTCCAACTGGAAGCCATAAGCGTGTCGCTCCAGTGTGGAGTTGTGTGCTTGCTGCTGATGCACGGAAAAGCTCAGGCCGCAGGAGCAATGCTCAATATGAGGCTGAACTGGCTGACCTGGCCCCAACAGTTGCCCAGGCGAGGCATGCACCAGCGCCTGCTCCGTAATGATTGTGGGTGTGGGCGAAGGTGACGACAGGCAATCCTGACAGTAGTGCACCGCCGGCCCAGGCGTTTGGGGATTAATAAGATTCTGTGCCGCATGGAAATGATGGTAGAACGACGACGACGGCGGTGGCGGTGGTGGTGGCGGCGGTGGCGTTATCGATTGGGTAGTTGAGTTGGCATCGGAGCTCTCTGTTGCTGTCTCCGTTGAAGTGCTGCTCGACGTGGATGTCGATGAGGATGGTTTGTGTGGCTGATGCGGCTGATCGGGTGGATGATGGCAGCGACATATTGTAACTCAAAAAGTGCTGCCATCATGATGATGACTAGATGAAGATGTGGCTGCTTCAACAGCAGAATTGACAGCTGGCGGCGGCGGCGCCGGCGCTATGTTAACGCTCCCCAACAGGCCATTACCATTAGTGGTTGAATGCTGTGGGGAGCTGTAGCCATTGGCGTCACCACTGCCATCGCCATTCTGCTGAGGCAGATGATTGTTGTGATTGTTAATGGAATGATTAAGCGATGCAAGTGTATTGGGTGATTGCGCCTCGTCGCTGGGAGCGACAATGCCAATAGCAACTCCATTGCCAGCCATACCCAGGGATTTGGGTGGAATCGGCGGCGGTGGCACTGGTATATCCTCAACATCAAAGGAACTGGCGGAACTATCGCGATGCGTTATGTTCAATGCTGCCGCATGGATGTGCACATCCAGGCTGCCATTCGAGCTGATGCGACAGTGCTCGCGATGATGAACTGTGCTCATCGAAATGGAGGATGACTCCTCGCTCAGATTATTTAGCTGACTCAGTTCCCGTGAGCTGGTGGTGGAGATGCCCGAGTCACGGAAATCATTGGGCGCAAAGCAAACATTTAATTGATTTCCCGCTTCCTGGAGATTGTGCGGCAGCGAATGCGGCTGCTGATCCGCCTCGGGATCATCGAAGCTTATGTCCACCACGGAGTACTTTTGGCCATGCTGCTGCTGCTGTTGCGCTGAATGTCGTCGCGCCGCTGCATCTGTATTGTTGCCAAAATCGTTGAAAATCACTGGATTTGAGGCGCGTTTGTCGGGCGTTATGCCTCTTGGCGGTAACGGCGGAGCATTCGGTGAATTGATTGCTGGCTGGCGCTTGGGTGGCACTTCCGGACTGTCTACGGCGCCATTTACCGCAAAGTTCTGAGAACGCGGTCGATTGGGTACGGGCGGTGCTTCGGCGCCCATCTCCGCCAGCGGCAGGGTAATACTGAGACTCTCCTTGCTGAGCGTCTGATACGAGTTCATGGTTTCGACGGGACGTAGGGTCTCGCCGGGTCGCGTATAAATCTCATCCAGTTCGTAGACATAGTTTGCATTTGTATTGCCAGCGGCCGATTGCTGTACAGCTCCGCTGCGCTGCTCCGTTGGTAGTGGTGGCAGCGGTGTGTTCACAATGCTCTCCGACGGCTGACGCTTCAGGCGACCCATGCCGGACAGACTCTGCTTCAGCTGGGAAAAGCGTTCGAGCAGGCGATTGTGTAGCGGCTGAACACCGGCGGGCGCCAGCTGACCGTGCAGCTCCAGTGCCTGCTCCAGTATTTGTATCTGCTCCAGTATTAAGATCTTGAGGCGCTGCACATTGGCCTGCTGGCCGGCACCTTGGGGCGACTTAAGGAAGTGCTCGGAGAAAAATGCCTCTTGGTACTTGCTAATGCCACCCATGACGTTTGCATCGATAGTGCCCTGGAGACGCATCGAGAATGGATTAATGTTGCGCTTGGGATCGCGCCTGTACTGTACGATTAGTTCCGATAGCTCCTTGCCAGCATTGTTGATGATCTCGCAGGCGTATTCGACGGGTGTTAATTCCTGAACGGATTTCTGCTTGACCTCGAACCAGCGCAGGATGCCGGGCAATGCGCTGGCAATGTCCAGGGTGGTGCGTTCAATCCACAGTGACTTGAACTCATTGTCCTTGTCAATCGGTCCCTTGTACATGGGTCGATCGTAGATGAAGCGCGTCACATCGTTCACTTCATAGAAGCGTGCTATCTTCTCCGGCACTGGCACCATGGCCGTCTTTAGCGCTTGCGCATCCCCCACCGGTCGCACATTACTGATCTGTATATACTGCTCGGGTGCATTCAATATAGCCGCCTCTGGCGGACTATTGTTCGCCAGAATCTGTGCGCTGGGAAACTCCGTTTGAAGGCGTTGCGTAAAGGCGCCAATGCGCTCGTACTCCAGCCCGCGATAGACAAACTGTTTGTTCTGCAAAACGATTGAAAAGCTAAAAATTATCCGCTAATTGCTGCCTAGAGGAATTACTTACCCTCACAAAGAGCGGCAGTCCCATGCCATAGAAGCCAACGCGAAAGTATTCCGGCTCCGGTCGCAGTTGTGTCAGTATATTCTGAAAGAACTTCGCCTCGAGGATGAGTATGTCGCTCAGCTTGTTGTAGTCAAAGCGACGCGTCTCGTAGAGCTGTGCCAGCTCCTTGCACAGTGGTATGCCCTTCTCCCAGCACTTGCCCTTGTCGAAATACTTGAGTATCTGCGTAAAGTTAAAGTTATATCTTTATATATAGATCATCTCTGAGGTGAATGGTAATTCTACGCCTTGTGCGGCAAATGAGCGAAAATCCGTTTGTAATTTTCGGGAAATGACAGACTGACATATTGTGTATATCCCTATATCTATGTATATATATAAATAGGCTACAGATTGATGCTGCTGTGTTTACCTACCTCGTGATACAGTCGCTCCTTGCGCTGCCACTCCGGCTGCCCGCTGTTGTCGAAGGGCGCAAAGCTTGGCGTCTCCCGATCCCAACTCAACATGGAGGCATATAGCTTGAGCGTATAGCCCGCTTCCGTATAGTTCTCCGACTGCAGATGCAGATTGTGCAGCTTATAGATGTATCTGTTCGATATTTATTCATTTATTTATTAATAGATATAGATATAATATGAGTTAGAGTTTCAGTTTGAGTTCGATTCGTGAAACGCACCTCAGATACATCTCCTTGCGATTGATTTCGTTTTTATAGAAATTGAGTAGATTGACGGTGCAAGTCATGCGCTTGTCGCGATTCTCCTCGCCCTGCATCACGCTGCGATAGTCCAGGAGACGCTCCAGCAAACGGGTGACGGACGCAATGAAAGCCGTGCCAGCATCCTTCCAGTTCGGATTCTCCGTTTGCACTTTTTCCAGCAAACTGAACGTTGACGCAAAAGATTTATTGAGTGAGTGAGTGAGTGAGTTAATAAGTTGTCAGTTATGAGTCAGTTAGACATGGGATAACTAAAGTATTTTGTCAGTAACAGAAGAGTAACACAGGTATACGAAAAGATATAGTAAGTTTGCAGTAGGCAAAAGCGTAAAATATAAAAGGAAGAAATTTCTACGACAAGGGCAAAATGCGAGTTGAACTTACACCAAGCTGAGATGTTCCCTTTTATGGTTGGCGATTGCAATGAGTGTGAGGTGAGACATTTATACAGACATATATACAGTATATATATATATAGCATACAAATACGAATTTATGGGTATTTACAAATATCTATAAATAGTATGCATATGGCTCAATTACTTACATGGTGCTAAACAGCTCCCGATATTCATCGTCGCCCTTGTTCTCGCTGATCAACAAGTCCAGTTTGTCAATGAGCTCGCTTTCAACCAGACGAAACGAGCCACGTGCAGCCTAAGAATGGACGGAATAACTGTGAGGCCAAGCTCAGATAACTTAAGATTTACCCACCTGTTCGCACTGCATCATGTCGTAGAAGACCGATAGAGTGGCCTTACGCAGCGCTGGTTCCGGCACCAGAGTGACCTCCAGGAACGGACCCACCATCGAGGGTATAAAGTGTAGCTTCTGCTCGCCCAGCTGCGACCACATGCTAAGTATTTGAAAGCCCATCAGCACGCGCATGTCGCCATGTGAGTGCAGGATCTTCAGACGCTTCGGTTCCCTGTACTGTTCCAGCTGTAGCGAAGGCTGGGTGAGAAATGTGACAGCCAGGCTAAAGTAGCTCCACCACAGTTGCGAGTCAAAGGCATGCGGTCCAAGAAAACGATAGACCAGCGGCTTGGCAAACTCCTCCAGGGATTTCCGCATCACGTCATTGGCGGCCAATTTCATGATCAGCCAGTCAGTGGGAAAGACTAACCAGTCTTGAGTAAGCAGCTCTTCGTATACCAACAGGGATTTGCTAAGAAAGTCCTTCAGATCACGCGGATCTTTGTTGGGCGTCAGCTCGTCCCAGTAGCGCTTGTAGTGCGTCTCGTCCAGCAGTTGCAACAGGCCTAACAGGCAGGCCACCAGTGGTGGCAGCACCGCATGAGAGCCCTCCATTATAATGCTAATCGTGCGGATCAGTATACCCAGGATATTCTTGCACAGCGAGTCCAGATCATGCTGCAGTGTATTGGTCACCTTGTCGCGCTGTTCGCGCTGCAACTCATACAGTTGGGTTAGTATCTCCGATAGGATCTCGGCACAGAGACGCAGCTCGTCCCGTCGGCTAAGATGCATGCGCAGATGTTTGCAGGCCACCGACAGGACAACGGTACGTGAATCTAAAAACAGAAGGAGTCAAGTAACAATAATAATTATTCACGATCGAAGAGACAATGCTGATGATAATCGGATTGGTTTTGACAGAGAGTTATTGCTGTGGAAAGTCTTTATAAATATTTAAAACTGCTCATGTAGCTTATTTAGATTCGTACAAATCTTTGCTATAATTGAGAAAGAGAAGGAACATCTTACCATCCTCGTGAAAGAGTTCGCCCGAAACGAGATCCTTGACTGCTTGCAGCTTGGCCTGTATAAGACGATTGGGGGCACCACGTGGTATCGCATCGAGCATATTGCGCGCCAACATGCCCAGCTCGGGAGCGGGCAATGTATCCTTAAGCTGCTCCAGCACCACACCTGTGGAGTTCAGTAGCGCTTCCTGGGTGGGTATGATGACATCGTACGATGGCACCGCCAACATACCATTCAATGCCGTGAACAGCGAGTGGAGATCCCTCCTAAAGGAGTCCTCGTATTGGCCGCCAGTGGCGCGTGCAAACAGGCGACGTGATTGTATCAACAGCTTAAAGATATACTCCAGCGAGCCGAAGCACTTCTGAAAGGGATCCGGATGTTCGGCCTTGGTCATGAACACAGCCATATGCTCAACGGACGTGATGAGACCCTTGTAGACTAGAGCAGCAGCAAAATGATTCTCAATATACTCGTTCATCACGGGCCGAAAATGCTGGAACTTGTTGCTCTGCAGCAGACTGAAGATGCTGACGAGCACATGGAATACGAGACCGGAGTGTTGGGTGCTGTTGCCCTCCTCGTTGGAGAACATGGCAAACAGGGCATCCAGCACATCTTGCAGAAATTTAACCAGTTCCTCATCGTTGAGCCGCAGCACACCCGTCAGCGAGTCCTGCAGGGTCTCGGGATGAGCACGCCACTGAAGCAGCGACAGCAAATCCGCATTCTGAGTCAATTTCGTGGAGCAGAGCAATGAGCGCACCACGAATACCTCTTTGGAGCTGCGACTAAAGCAGCTGGCACAGTCCAACATGGCCTGTGCATCTCTGGGCCGACACTGCAGACGCAGATAGCTGGCCGCTTGCAGCTTGGCCGGATCCTCGCATTTGTACACATACAGCTCGTGTTGACCATCGCCCAGAGTTGCGCCGCTCGTGTCCATCAGTCGGGCAAAGCTGAACGCAAATAGTTTGGGCTCCGACTTCTCCCTCGTCGAGCAATGACGGAACTCAAAGCGCACATGAGCCGTGGCAAACTTATCGATGGGCACGCTCAGGCGCAGCATCTCGTTCCAGCTGGGCGCATTCTGATGGTAGAGTATCATGGATCGGTATTGTGGCAATGCATCCATGCCAGATGCACCCCACAAACAATCAGCGAGCACATTGCCAGCCACGTCAAGAACCACTACGGTGACGAGAATGTTTTTGCCAGTATTTTTTCCACCACGCTCGAACTCGCCGCGTTCGAGCGTCAGGAAGAGATCGTTGCGCACATCACCCGGCATAATGACATCAGGAAAGCCCATTTTGCGTGTAATTGTTGTGCCTTGGAATAGCAGCGGCTGCTCCTGCCTTGCCTGGCCGAGGCCGCCATGCAGCAGCTTAAGCGTTACGACAATGCCCTGAGTGCTCTGATTACCTGGCTGTATGGGTGAGAATTTGCCATTGGATTTTTTAATAATATGCTCGGGCAGCAGATGGAAGTCCTTCTCCTCGCTCTGGTATAGCTTGAAGCTATATTCGCGCTCCTCCGAAGACTGCTGCTCCAGGCTGCTGTCAAACTGACTGATGTCCGCCAGGGAGAGCACGCCAACTCCAAAGGGACGCCGATAGGTGGCGCCGCCCACACACGAGCTGTTCTTCTCAGTTTTCTTTATCGAATCGGATTGAATTATTTTGCCCACACGCATAACAACGGCCACCAGATGCAGTTCCTCATTAAGATCCGCAGCGCCTGAAAAGATTGGAGTGTCTACAACAAATCGAGAGCATGGATTTGGATTTGAGTGTACCGAGATCCGTGAAGACGGTGCAATTGCTATGCAGTTTCTCAATGTAATTGGAGAAACCATCTTTGCAGATCTTGACAAGAAATCGCTCGGACACAGGCCGCATGCGATTGCCGTCGTAGAGAAAGAAATAAACCTCGGCATCATCGCCGCCAATGCGATGACCAAAATCTCGCATACAAAAGTACAAATGATGACTGAGAATCTTGCGCTGAGTTTTTCGGCGCAAAGTGCCGCGGCTCTGCAATGGAAAATGGAGGTTACTTTGGGCTCAGTTCATCATCTGATGAGCAAAGTAGCTATTTACCGAGGAGGCCTTTGCATTATCCGCACTGTTCACGTGCACATTGTAGAGCTTGACGATGCCAATGCCATGTGGATCCACTGCCAAGGGGCCCACGCGCGGCACCAGATCGAGGCCCAGTTTGCTGCAAAGATCAAAGATCGTTAGCTGGCTGAGTGATTGTCTGAGAGGTGAGGCAACAACATAATAATCTATGTATATGAAACGAGAACAGCTAAAATAACTTTGCCACTTAGTCACGTTCCAAGGTGCTGATAAGCAATATGGAAATGAATCGACACATGACGAGGAGTATGCCACAAGCCAGCTGCGTTTATTTGGGCAACTATCGCAGCTTAAATGAATTTGACGCATTCGTTATTAATTGCCAGTTGTGGAGTCGAGTGGTGAGCGAACATCTCTAATTTAATTTGGTCAGTCAGCGCCATGTGGCTCACGGGGATCATTAATCACAAAGCATGCCCCAAAAATAAAACGTGCGAAGCACATAGAAAAGGGAATGAAACAGGCTAAAGGGCAGGGGGAAGAGCGAGGGGTGAATCTTTCGAGTATCTCCTAATTCTAGGCATAAACTAAATAGCGATTTAATAAACAATACAATTTACTAATAGGGGGATTATTTACATGCTCAGGTGTATTTAATCTTAAATGTCAATCTTAAAAATGATGAAAGCCAGACTCAACAATAAAAGATAGATGAGGATCTTTAGAAAAGTAATTATTACTTTAATGGGAAGCACGGGAAATATTTTATCATGGATTCTCCTCTGCCAAGAGAAAAATAATTATAATATAAGAAAGAAAACTAATTAAGATTAACCTAAAAGTTTGCAGCTTTACTTTAATCGTATACATAAGTGAAATATTATATAAATAATTTGTATTGGGAAAATGTAATAATCTAAACAAATCAAACAACGAAGATCAACTCTAAAATCGTCGATTAATGAGCCACATCATTGGCCAACATATTCTATTTATAATAAAATCGAATCTATAATAAAAAAATAATAATAAATAATTTGTAATTTCTGCTAAGTGCAAGAATTTGTATTAATTCGATTTATTTTGAGTACACTCAAAGAACAACAAAGATTGTCATCTAAATGACAAAATCATTCAATGTGTAGACCTATTTAAATGAAGAAGATTCTGACACATTCACGTTAACAGCAGCTACCAGTTACAGATTTTTGGGCTAAAAATCCAAACACATTTTTATGATAATCAACGCTAAAGTTGAATCGTATTTGCCATTGGATCCGCATGATATGACGCATAAATTTGGCTTACAAAGTGGCTGCCAGTCTTTCGGCTGCTGCTGCTGTTCGTTTCGGCCAGCCAACGAGGCATAGTCACAACCAACAAGCAACAAGCAACAGGCACTGACACTGGCACAGGTACAGGTAATGGGTTCACGGCATTCCGGTGGCGCATACGAGACTTAACCTGGCAGCCACCAACGTCATCAGCAATATGTTGCCGACGTCGACGTCGTCGTCGTCGTTGATGTTGCTACCTCGGCTACGCTTGAATTTTCTACCTGACTTACGCAGCGAGTGGGATGGCAGACAGTGAGAGAGAGGGAGATGGCAAGTGGACAAACGTCTTACGAGTCTGTGTTGAACGCGTTGGCCAGAGCAGCTCAAGAAGCCGTTTTGTTGTTAACGAGGCCTAAACGGCTTTGTTGCCGTTCACTTGAGAGAGGCAGCATAGAACGAGAGAGCGAGAGCGAGAGCGAGCTCAAATGCGAGAGTAGAGGCAAAATGTGGTTTCCATTTTGGAACTGGAACTGGCCAAGAGAAGATCAATTGAGCGAATGCTCTTCGGTTCCTCGTCGTGTGTGTGTATGTGTTGGTTTGTATGTGTATGTGTGTGTTTATATGTGCATGTGTGTGTGTGTGTATTGAGCCACCTCTGTTACGCCTTAAGCTGGGCAACTGTGGAGCTGTTGTGGAGTTGACGTGACCATAAGAAATGCCTGCGCCACAAAATGTATCTTATGGATACCAATATGAGAGGCACGCGTGCGCAAATGCCGTCGGTTGCTGGCTGCCTCGACTGCTGACTCAACATACACACATAAGATACACACGGTAGCAATGCTCGTAATGGACCCTTTAAATTGTTTTTAATTAAGTCCCGCAACGAGCTCAACAGGTACAAAAAAAAAAAGAGCGCGTCTTCCACAAAAAAGTATCTACGAAATATACGTCTGTGTGTGTGTGTGTGTGTTTGACAGCGTGATTTAAAATTTTATCTTAACAAATTCACAAATTTGTTGTTTAATTAAGCGTCATGCGGTGCGAAGAACTTACAAATTTAAAGTGTTGAAAATCTATGAAGATATGTTGTGTTGCGATACGATTCGAAGAAGAAAACAACAGCGAGGCGTTGCAAAGACAATATACACATATGTATAGGGAGAGAAAAAAAAACTGATTATTTACACATCGATAAGCAGCGGCAGCAGCGCTGTCAACCACAGACAGCAAACGCAACATCCAACAGCGATGTTGGTTGATTGTATCTGTATCTACAGGTCGCAGCAGAGTAACAGATACATTTTTATCACAATCACACATTCCATATATCTCGTATTTAATGTCTTTATAAAAGGTGTAGCCCGTTGAGATACAATTTCAAGCACAACTGAAGAAGATACCACCGCAGCTGTGGTTGAGGAACAGACAATAAACAAACAGCACACTGGGGCAACCAACACACAGGACATGCAACAGCAGCCATTTCGAAATGCCATTTCATTGTGGCCACAGCCAAAGAGCAACCAGCAAACTAACCGGCTGAGTCATCTTTCCAACAAGTTGCCACAGCAATGAGTTGCTTAAAAAAAAGGGTGAAGAAAATGCACGAGGCGAAGGAGGAGTCGATGGGTTAACGCCTGGCAACAAGTTGTCGTTGCTTCTCCAGACGGCTCCACTAGCTCTCCGCCATGCAAATGGATCTATGTGGCCGTGAGTGTGTGTGTGATGTACGGCAATCGACAGGCCAGCGACACACTTAAGTGCTGCAGAGCTAAGCATTGCTGGGATGCACTTCAGCAGGTTAAGATTTGCAAAGTGTCCCCAGCTCAAAGATTGATGCATATTAAGGCAAAAGCATTTCAGTAACTTAATGGTGAATTATTATAAGTTTGAGAGTAAATGAATTTTGAGTTAATGCAGATAGTAGATTTAATCAATCATCTTCAAATTTCAATGATTAGTAGTCTATATTTAAACAAAAATCTTTAATTTCATAAGATTTCTCAAGATCTATGTAGCTCATGAAGACGTTGAAAGATAACAGATAAAAGTTGGTGAGATTGAATGAATGTGGATAGACGATGTTTAATAATAATGTGAGATTAATGGATAGTTAAGAAGGCGATACACAAAAGGGTGTTATCGATTAGGACTACTGAGCAACACTTATCTTAAAGGCTTATCGCTAAGTATGATCACTTTTTTATCCTTGTTTTATATTTGCTTGGTTCTTAGATGCAATGAATACGGGGTTTTGCTTGGAAATTATAAATAAAAAACTAAGAGATATATTTAATATATTATGCTCTTTAAAATAACTCTTTAAATTTGACAATGAAAATGCAAATTGTGTAGAACGTTAACTGTATGAATAGTTTCAAATAAGATGGCAATGTTATCCCAAGGGGTATCTACTGTATTGAAGAAGCAACTAATATAGCTCAATCGATGCACACGGTCCGTTTGTGTATCTTAAATTTCATTTTTAACGATATTCTTAAATCACGGACCGAGTTCCAAGCCAGAGACCCGGCCCAGTAAGACAACAAGATAGAGTTGTATGCAGGCAGAAGCAGCAGCAGCAGCAGCAGCAGCAGCAGGTTTCTTATGAAGCAATAAATTTTCAATGTTGTCGGTGACAATGTGGATCGAGGCAACAAAAGATAACTTTTGATCCAGATACTATGTTGTCATGGTCTGGGTGATGGGACGCGGTGGGGTGTGGTTAACTAATGTAAATCAATATTGAATGCCGTTTGCCAGTGCTCTAACGTCGAACGAGTGAGTTGAGTTCAGTTGAGTGTTGCTGCTACCTGCAAGGTTGAGACTGCGCCCAGGTAACATTCGCTGGCAATAAGGTAACAGGCCGTGCAAATGCAATCTGAGCGTAATTTCCAAGCCGTGAGCTGGAACTAGTTGCGATTGCGATCAACCAACTGGTTCCCAGAGAGCGCGAGAGAGGTTGACAAGAGAGAGCTTGTAAGTATCTAAGCAATAAACAGGGAGAGTGTATCTGTGTGCGTGTATTGTTTGCTTGTGTGTGTGTGTGTTTGTGTGAAAGAGAGTGTATACCAAGCCCTGGTCAGGCTTGGCAGCGTTTTGCGTCAGATTCAGTAGGTTTTGGAACGCCGCTGAGCGCAGCTGCACATTTTTAGTAAACGGTAATCACAGTCAAACAGCCAAACTGCAGTTGTACACTAACAAATATGAAAACAGACACACATATCAATGCAGCTACAGATACAGATGCAGATACAAATGCAGCCACAGCTGAGGCGACTATATAGTTATATATAGATATATAGATATATATATACTTATATGTGTATGTATGTGTGCGTGAGTGATAGAAATCTCAAACAGCTCAAACAAAAATTTGCAACAAATTTCATGAGCGAAACAACAACAATACAAAATAAAAAACAAAAAAAAAGCATTAGTAAAACACGAACACGAGAACAAGCTAACAAATTAATGGTTCGCAACGCGTTTAAAACAAGTTTTCAAAGTGTCAAAGTGGCTATAAATTTGTATGCGAAATGCCAAATTGGCAGGAGCAAAAGAATCACTTAAGCGTAGGGGAGATAGTGAGAGTCGAGAGGAGAGGAGAGAATTGGCTGCTGGGATCCGCAATATGCTGCAGCTCAGCAGCTCAGGCTGCTAATGTTGGTAGCAAAAAGCAACAAAAAAAAAAAAAAAACGGCAGCAAAGCGCAACAGTGGCAACAGTTCCCGACCCGTAGCCGAACCGAACTTGGGGCCTCGCTCTCGCCGCTGAACACAAGACAAAAAAATGAAACGAAAAAGAAAATACCTTAAAACCAGTTTTTTGAAAAATTTATTGAAAAAGAAAAAAGCAGCCGCAGCAGCAGCAACAGCAACAGAATTGAAGTTGAAATGAAGTGCTGCTCTTTGTGTATCTGTGTGAGCTCTCGCTGTGTGTCTGTGTATCTGTGTGTGTGCGCGCGCGTGTGTGAGTGTGTGTGTGTGTGTGTGTGTGTGTGTAGGGCATAAAACATTATGTGTAACTTTCAATGCTCAGTGCCGAAGGCAGAAGCTGCTGCATTTTGAAAAGGAGTAGCTGCCGCTGCGCAGATGCAGATATATTTTGACTTTAATTGCAACGGGTGCGACAGAGACGACTCTATGAGCGTCGCACATGTGTGCGTATGTCTCTGTCTGTGTGTGTGTGTATTTAGAGTTATACGATATGCGGTGGTGAAATGAAAGACACACAGATCGAAATTAAAACAACAGCAACAAAAAAAAACCAATAAATTTGCATATAAACAAAAGCGCCAAAGAATATTCTGCTGAAGTCCCCAAAAAAAAAAGGGAAAAAAGAAAACAAAAGCCAAACAGAACCTGATCTCAATCTTTTGATCGAATTCGAGCCGTTAACTCATATATATATAAATATATATGTATGCATATATTGAGTAGAGGATTAAGAAAGCTCTAAATTTCAAGTGTACGCACAGAAATATAAATATGTATTTTCACAACACACAAACTGGCAAGCGGCAAAGTGAAATTTATGCGTGGGTTGACAAAGCTTCATGCTACATTTACCGGTTCTGTTTTCTGAGCCAAAGAGCCAAAGAAACAGCTCAAATGAGCCAAGACTCGCTTTTGTGCCCGGAGGCCATTCAACCTACTCATGTACGAAGACAAAGATTAGATTAGATTGTGCCACACAAAAAATAAATATGTGTAGAAGACAGAAGACTCCAAGCAGGCACCGCTGTGCGACAGAGATCTTTCCAAGTTTCGGCACTGCCCAAGAGCACTTACTTAATTGTAAGTGCAGCTTGTATATCACGATAAGGCAGTCAAACGGAAATCATCATCATTTGAAATATGTCACGTCTGTTGTGCCAGATAACGCACAACACACACACACACACACACACACACACACACACACATTGCTTTAATTTGTACACATTACAAGCTGCCATCTTGTCAGAGAGAGAGAGAGAGAGAGCGGGAGAGAGAGAGTGCCCTCTAATTGCATAACAAACAAAAACTACGCACAAAATAAATACTAATTAAAAAATCCAAATTTTCTCTCATTTACAGTTTAGTTTAGTTAACAACAAAAACATCAACAACAACAACAACAACAAGGAACAACAATAAAGCATTCATTATGGTGGTCTTTGGCATGCTCTCGGCTGTGTCCAGCTACGTCAAGATACGAAATCTGCTGGACAGGGCGGTCATCGATAATATGGTCTTTCGCTGCCACTACAGGATTACGACAGCCATCCTCTTCACCTGTTGTATCATCGTGACGGCAAACAATCTGATCGGTAAGTGATATTTAGCGCCTGTTTAGCGTAATAGCTAAACAACAAAAAACAGCACAAAAGCTAACCAAAACACGAAATTCGAAACCTTAAAACTGTGAAAATTAGTGCAGTCTATGCAAATGAATAAGGCATGCATTTGGTTTTATGCACCATATTTGTGCATACAATTACAGCAAATGCGCTAATGCAGCATAAAAGCGGTTGAACAAAAGTGCTGCTTATTGTGCTTATTGAATTTTGAAACTGGTTCGCGCTTTCTCAATACTGAATAATGTTTAATGGTCGTGTAATCTGAAATGCCAGCGGCACGTTCATCACATTTCCCGAATGTGATTCAAAAATGTGAGTCACAGCGGGCGATGCGTGTCTCTTTGACTGTGTGTAGATCAATGTTGCGCATTAAGTGGCCCCAAAAATACCACAAGCTTTTTAGGGGCCAATTCCAACACGACTCAACCAGTTGGAGAGCTGATTTATGTCCAAAAGACAAAAGCAGAGTCAGAGCCAGAGTCAGAGCCAGAGCCAGTGCCAGAGCCGGAGCCAATGTTTGTGCATTAAAAGAAGCGCTCGAAAGTGTACGGTGCCAATGTAAATATTGACAATTTAATTCTAGGAAACTTCTTACATATATACTATACTATTATGCCGACAGTTCGCCCTCGTTCCTCGCCCCCCTCTCTCTCTTTCTCTCTCTCCACCTTATTCTCTCTGTCCTTTGTTGGTTAAGCAAGCGAGGGTGTGTGTGTGAGGTGAGCGGGGGGAAAGGCAGTCTAGCTAAAGTTCTAGTTGGGCGGCGCACCCACAGTTCAAGCTTGTAGACAAATTTGTATGGCCCTGGCCAAAGATTTAGATTGCCTTAATGCCACTTGACGCTGATGAACGACATTTGACTGCACTGGGAAATGCGATTGCATTTGATTTAGCTTAAATCCATGGGGGTTGCATGGGGTCAGGCCCCCATTTCCATTGCACAATAGTTATTACATAATTATGCAAATGGTAACAGGTTTTATCCAGCTTTGCCTGACCAAAGTGTTTATCTTGTCTAACAAATTTCATATTTTTGTTTATAAATATAATCATCGTATGGATCAACCATTTTCCGACTTAGAACTTATCAAGCTTTGAATTGGGGCGCTATGTATACGAGTATAATAATACAGACTTGAACACAATTATTTCAAAACTAGCTAAGGCCAATACAGTTACCAATGTTTGATCAGACAATCATATATAACTATATGTATATATATAGTTTATCTTATCATAAATTTAATGCTTATTATTACAGGTGATCCGATAAGCTGCATCAACGATGGCTCTATACCGATGCACGTGATCAACACATTCTGTTGGATCACTTACACCTTCACGATACCCGGCCAGCAGCATCGACAGATTGGCACTGAGGTCGCCGCTCCGGGTTTGGGTAATGAGTATGGCCAGGAGAAGCGCTATCACAGCTACTATCAGTGGGTGCCCTTTGTGCTGTTCTTTCAGGTAAGTTCTTGACAATCTCTCTCCCAGTCTCAGGCATCGGAATTGTCTAACTTTTTGCTTATTTTTGTACAGGGTCTTATGTTTTATGTGCCACATTGGATCTGGAAGAACATGGAGGATGGCAAAATTCGCATGATAACCGATGGACTGCGTGGTATGGTCTCTGTGCCCGATGGATATCGCAAGGAACGGCAGAATCGCATTATTAAATACTTTATGGAAAGTCTCAATTCGCATAACGGCTACTCCTTTGCGTATTTCTTCTGCGAGCTGCTGAACTTTATCAATGTGATTGTCAACATCTTTATGGTGGATAAGTTTCTGGGCGGTGCTTTCATGTCCTATGGTACTGATGTCGTCAAGTTCTCGAACATGGATCAGGATATGCGTTTCGATCCCATGATTGAGGTTTTTCCAAGACTAACAAAGTGCACGTTCCGTAAATATGGTCCCAGTGGATCGATACAAAAGCACGATACACTCTGTGTGCTGGCTCTCAATATTCTCAACGAGAAGATCTACATTTTCCTATGGTAAGTGGAGAGAACGCTCAATGCTGTAGAGGTTGTCATTAAAAGCCTCCCATTTTCAATTACAGGTTCTGGTTTATTATACTGGCAACAATTTCTGGCGTAGCTGTGCTCTATTCTTTGGTGGTTATCATGATGCCCACCACACGCGAGACAATCATCAAGCGCAACTATCGCTCGGGTCAACGCAAGGAAATCGCTGGACTTGTTAGGCGTTTAGAGGTGCGTTTGATCATATAATTATTATTATTTATAATGCTTTGAACTAAATGTTTGGTTTTAAAACGTTTGCAGATTGGCGACTTCTTGATATTGCACTTGCTTAGCCAGAATCTTAGCACACGAGCGTACAGCGATATGCTGCAACAGCTATGCAGCCTGCTGGGTGCCTCACGCACGCCCTCGGCCCCTTCGACACTAGAAATGAATCCCATTAGCCATCCAATTTATCCGCCTGTGGAGACTTTTGGCGGCAAAGAGACCGAAACATAGGCGCTACGCACATTTTGGGCGCTAATTATTTTCAATGATTTCTCAATAATATTTGTAGACAGAGTTGTGAGGCAATTGGATGTTTTTTTTTTTTGTAAGTGTTTAGCAGCTTTCTAGGCATTTAGGCTTTTCAATTATGTGTATGTACATCTCTAAGACTGTTTTTTAAGTGAAACATGAATTTGAGGAAACGTCGTCAGCAAAACAAAATTCTTTAGCAAAATTTTTTCTCCTTATATAAAGCAAATTTTTTAACTACGTCCCCAGACAAGGACAAAAGCCGTTAGACACATACACACCCACCCACACACAAACACACACACACACTTGGAGGGGGAGTCAATGCGAGTGAGAAAGTGCAGGAGAGAGTGAGAGATAGAGAGAAAGATATATAAATATATATATATACACACACAGGCAGACCGTGCAATTTGTAGGTTGGATTGTGAATGATAATGAAGTTAAATTATCCGATATGCTTATACATACTACTAAATACAGCTTGTATCCGTAGTAACGTTAACGTTAACAATGATGCGCCATTTAAATATATACAATTTAGTTTACCGCTTAGCTCGATAGTTTTGCTCTTTGAGGTGTTGCGTGAGTCGTTCTCACGACACGATTATCACGATCGCAGCTCAGCGATCCCGCACGCTCCCAAAACTTTGATCTGTATACAGAGACATACATCCATACATATATGTACTACTTGCATCTAACTGTAGTAATCGAATTATATGATCACGAGTATAGAACTTAACAAAACATAAAACATAAAACAAAAACAAAAAAAAAATAACAAAAAAAAGAAAACAATTGGAAATGCTCTCGCTATTTTTGTCTTAACGTTTAGTATACAAATGTATGTAATTTTAAGCAATTTTGTTTATAACAAAATTATTGTGATTATTGCTAGAAAAGAACACATTTTACATAAAGAAAACAAACTATCTAAGTTGTAATAAATATTAAATACGAGTATATTAACTTTCAGTCAATCCTATACGATTTCAGTGGCGATCAGTGGTCATCTGCTAGAACATAATGATCTCTTCTCATGAAGATTTTGGAATATATGCTAAACATATCTATTGGACTGTTGTTTCAAAAATATTCATCATATTTACATGCATAGAGGCTAAAGTATTTAATTTCGAAATACAATTAGTATATGTATGTAATAGAGAAACAAAAGCTGAGCCAAACTTTGTATTGTTGAATAGAGCGGAAATTCTAAAGGTCACTTGACAAACAGATTTCGGGGAGGGAAAACAAAGCAAGTGATACTTATAATTATAATTGCTATTGTAATATTAGTATTGCATATATTTCAACTATTTTGACTATTACTCACCGATTACCCCAATCGATTTTTGACACCACAACCATTTGAAGCTCAACTGTCTGATCCTGTGTCATGGTAGCGCTTAGCAGCTCTCGACGACTTATCAATATGGAAACCATAACCTTGTGCAGCGTGTGAAACTTGTACGTCTCACGATCCTATATAAGGCATGCAATGTTAATTATATTATGAACGTTACGAGTTCGTTGATAATACTTACCACATAGAGCCGCTTCCAGATCTCGGACCATTCGCGGAGCACTTGTGTGCACTCGGCGACAACCGGATCAATTTTCGACAGATCCTTGATGTATATGTAGGTTTTGGGGAAAAGTCCGACAGCACGTGATTTACGCGGACAGGATCCGCGATACCAGTACCGACACTCCTCAACAATATCCACAGAGTCGCCGACATCCAGTGGCAGCCCAAAACGCACATTGCCATGCCAGTTGTGTATGGCTGCAACGATGGAATGGTTGATAAGAATAAGTGGTGGCTTGGTAACAACCAGTTGCGCATTGGCCATGACATTGCAGCAGCAGATTGGGGAAGACGACGCCTGCCATCCAGGCTGGGGCTATTGAAGGCAATTAAAGTGCCCCCATGAGTGGCCACTTGAGCATGCCGAGAGTGGCACAACAACAATAAATACTTCAACTATAAATAGGCAAATGCTTTTGGAAACAGAATACATGTGCATATGGGGGGTGTAATATACACATCTATACTCGATGTCTCTGCTGGTGAAGGCGGTCGTACACTTAGAGAAAAAAATATGTAGCGAAAGACAACAATAAAATCGGCTTTCTCCAAAGAATAATAATTATGAATATAAGAATATATATATAATATGGAAAAGAAGAAGATATGTAGAATTTAAGTTTTTTTTTTAATGAAGTCTCAAATTATTTGTCATAATTTTTTTCTGAGTGTTGGAGCAGCAACAACCGCAGCAGCACGGCCACAAGCAGCACTTGGGCACGCCAGCAATTGAACACTTTGCTTTCAACCAATGGACAATAAAGAACTCCCGCTTCAGCTGGAGCTTTGGCTGGAGCAGTGCCCGGGAAGCTGCTGCTGCTGCTGCTGTTGCTGCTGCTGCTGCTGCTGTTGATAAGTAGAAATATAAATCCGCAATGTGGCCCCGCAGCATGGCAGCCAATTGCAAATGCAAGGCACGCACTGGAGTCCGGGCGGCGTCGTTGCTCTGCTCCACAGAGGAAGGGTGGGGTGGGGGGTGTGGCAGTGTAGTAGTCTATAGAGTATGTATATATGTATATACATATATACATACATATATGTTTGGTTGCGCGCGCTGAAAGACAAACGAGCGAGCACGGCATGAGCATATCAACGAAAGGAGCTAATAAAACGCACAACCAGACATCAGACAGAGCAGAGGAGGAGATCGCCAAGGGTCGCTGGAGTGAGGGGGGTGGAGGGCGGAGTAGGTATACGGTTGGATGTAAGTACTTTATGTCTGTCTGTCTGTCAAATGAAATGCTTCATTGCGATGAATATGGGCAAACTGCTTCCTGTTGTTGTTGTTGTCGTCGCTGATATGCCCTGTTCACAAATTTTGAGTAAAGGAGTATGTTGGGTTTGTTTTTTCGTTCAGGCGAACCAAATGTTGAATATGTCGATATATATTTAACGCTATACAATTCAACAAATATTCATAAACTTTGACATTAGCACAATATTGGTCAATAGTAACTGATAAGTTTACATTTAAATTAGATTTGTAGGAGTGAAATTATCTGTACAACCAAAGCATTGTTATTTTCGAGACTCTGTTGTAAAGTTCGTAAATTACATACAATGACATAATTTAAGATACCCTAATTGTAGGGTGTCTTAGACCTCTGATGATATTAAGAGGTTGAAAGAAAATTTTCATGTATTTAAAACACATGACACTTTTAGATATCTCCTCGCAAAGGAAATCCACAAATCATCTTTTCAAGCCTGCTTTCTCCATAACTAAAAAAACAGAGTATTGCGCAGTCAGCAAACTTCTTACTACAGTTGTGGTTGTTGTTGTTGTTGCTGTTGGTGGGTACTGGTGTACATTGTGGCTGCGTCGTCTTCCTTAACATACATAAGTCTTCACAATTGTCGTGTGGTTGGAGCATAACTTTTAGCAACTGGCTGAAGCCGTTGCTGATTTAAATGGATTTCAAGCTGCTAAATAGCTGAAATTTTATAATTTAAATGGCACTGCACAAAAGGCAAGAGGTTTGCGTTTGGGCTTCTAGCTCTTCAACTTGCGCTGGCAAACACTCAACTAAATGAGCACACAGACACACAAGCACACACTCACATGCATATAGGCTGTGGCAGTTGGAGGCAGGCAGGCAGAGTGTTAGTCAACCGACGCACTATTTAGGTCAGTCACATTAGGCAGGCGTCGGGCTGGCAAGTAAGCTAGCAACGCCTCATCCTACGTCCTCCACATTCCCAAAACAGCCCAACCCAACCAAGCCCTGTCCCTGTCCTGCCCAAAAAGAAAGAAACCCACCCACCCACTTGCCATCCGGCGTTTGCTCGTGCACATTCATATATAATTCTAATGAGAATTTTTGTGTTTTTTTTTTTTTAATCTATTTAGCAGCTTAAACATTAAATGGGAATGAAGTAGAAATTTAATATTTCATTGGCTGAAATAGTTTTGAATGGCGCCAGCGCATCTAAGAGGGCAGGATAATTACCGCTGGGCATTTAATTGCGCTTTTGATAAAGTACTCCAGGCACACAAATGGGATTTTCCAGAGTTTCACTTTGTGTGCGCAAACAACCCGTCAAAAACAAAGCACCGAGCGAAACACAAAAGCTACAGATAGGGATAGGGATAGGGAAGGAGTAAGAGAAAGAGTGAGAAGAAGAGTCCAACAAGTCCGCAATGTCAACAAACGTATTTAAATAAAAAAGTCGTTAAGCCAAGTGGCTGCAGCAACAGCAACAGCAACAACAGTAGCAAGAACATCAAGCAACAACAACAGGAAAAGAAAGACGCAAACGGCGGCAGTTGGAAAATAATTTTAAATTAAATAAAAGAGCTGCTGCATTAGCGCAATGAGCGCTTCATAAACAACAACTGCTAACTTACGAAACCCCGTGATAATACATACATTTACATATATATACATATATGCATATAAATACATATATATGAAGTCATAGTATATATTAAAATTGCAGCTAAGCTCTCTATATCAACAAGCCTCTCGTATTTAATAAAAAGATAAATGGATTATAACCTAAAGAAAAAAAACTGATGCTTAGATACTCCTTTAACCTTTTAGGTTTCTATATAATCGATGTTTAACTCATTTAGTTGTTAACTGTTATTTAATACCATTAAAGCTTCCTGTTATTCCGCGTGTATTAATCATTTAGTTCAACTTTTGACAAGCTCACGATCATCATTAATAACTTAAGAACTTCAAAAGATAATTATTGATTGAAAATCATGTGTTTTTTTGAGTGGCATATGCACTTTCAGAAGCTATATATGAAGCTCTCCCACACACAAAGGGTACACACCGAGTATGCGTTAATTGCAGAGCAAGGGAGTAGCAATTGGAGCGCTGGCAGGCCACAAAGGAGAATCTTCACACTTGACCCAAGTGCGCTCTGGGAGCTCAAGAATTTAATTAATTAATTGTGCTGTTTCACACAGTGTAAAGTCATGTTGCAAAAGGGGAGACGGCAACTGTGTATAGGGAATCAAGAAGTGGGCCAAAGTACAATAAAGAGGGATAAAAGTGAGTGGATACAAATTTGATTAGATGGAAATTGAATTAAACAATACGAAATTCTTAGCTCACTTCCAACTAGGAATTATCAAATAGAAAATCCAATGGAAAATTGTAAATAATAAGCAATGATTTCGGTTATACATCAATGCAATAGTTTGTTAGCTGTGATATGAATCCATTGATGAGAGCGTTAAGTCTACAGGAAATGTGGCCTCAATGTCAATCACATGTCATTATACGATGCTCTAAAGAATCGAGTTTGCCACTGAATACGCAATACTTTTTTTTTGCTAAACAGTTGCGTACTATTTATTCTGTGGCGTCGAGTTGCAAATAGTAGAGTAGGAAATTACTGTTCAGTTTTCTTCGTGTTCAGCTTGTCGAGCAGCTTTTCATTATTGTTGCTGACATCATGGTTCCTCACTCACACACACACACACACAGAAGTAAATATACATATTTTCACGTACACATAGACATCTTATATGAAGACGTGTCAACATGCTGCTGAAACATGCAATATGCATTTTGATACCCTGCGATCAGTGGGTACATTTGATTTGCATTTCTTTAAGTTTGCCAAAAACTCGGTCTAGTGGCGAAATAAATTGATTAATTGGGTAATCAAAAATAGTTTAAGAAAATGAAATAAAAATAAATATTGATATAAATTTATATGACTTTGATTTTGTAGAATAAATTGCATTGATTGTCAGATGGATAATTTATTACACATTACATGACTTTTATTTCATACAGATGCAAAATGTTTTACGTATATGATTTAATACCACAACAGTTGATAGCGTATCAAACAGTCTCTCATGTATTTCAAAATTGGTACTTAAGCTTTATGACCATAATTAAATGCAACAACAATTGCAAAACAAATATTTAAACATTTGGGAATGCACATTTTGAAAAAGGTAAAGTGGCGAACATATTCACCAGTCGGTTATCAATAGTCGACAATTAGACAATTGATAGTTGATTGTTAGACCAACATTCCCTTCTTTTTTTATCAGCCAAGCGGAAGCGGAATGGTGCACACTTTATAATATTTTGGGTGCTTATCTAAGTTATTTATGGATCAATAAGCGCTGCCGTCTTATCGCCAGCCATTTATCAGACGTTGCGAGGCCAATGCCAATGCATATAACTTAAATGGTTAGCTGGATATCGATAGAAAGATAGATGAAACTGCTTGTTGACCAAATGCACTTCGGGTCGCGGCTGAATGCATTTACATAAATGCGTGTGGAACGTGCTTCATCCGGTTAAGTGGACTGATAATGCGCCGCAAATCGGAAGTGTGATAAATTTTGTGTGCGTGTGCCGTTGTGTGTGGTGGTTGCGTGTGTGTGCTTAGTTAATCATAGACTGAGCGAGGCACAAATCATAAATACATCGTTAAAGACAAATAATGGAAGTCCAACTGCCGAATTGAAGGCATGTTTTCAAAGGCCGACGCAGCGCAGATGGGCGGATGATGAACGATGTGAATGGAAAGGGATGGAAGGGTATGAAAGGGGGTGTCAGGCAGCCAGAAGGTTGGAGTGGCGACATAAAGTTGCCGCCGAGCATATTAAACAATGAATATGAATCAATTTAATGCGCACACACATACAAACTGTATGTATATTTGTATGTATATTTTGTATGTATGTATTTATGTATGTGAGTGTGTCTTTGTGTGTGCCTTTGTGTGTGTTAACATAACGAAAAGGAAACGCTGCACAAATTTGTGCGCTGGCTTCCACTCACACAGACAACTGCCACTGGCCAAATGCATAAAATGAATATTAAATTAAAGTTGAAAACGAATTTGCCCCCTAGTCGAGTAACAGCAACAGAAGCAAAAGAAGCGGCAGCAACAACAACAACAACAACAATAACAAAAACACCGGAATTCACTGGAAAAGGCATTGGCAACATCCGGCCTGCGCCTGTCTAGAAATTTCTTCTTCTTCTTTTATTTTTTTGGCAAAGTTGCGCCAACAATTCTCAGTGCCTCCCGCTTCTGGCTTTGATTCTGATTCTGTGCCTGGGCCAATTCGCTGCGCACAGATAAAACTGCCCGCATGGCCATGCTGCCAGTTGCTGCAAGTTGCCAGTTGCCAGCAGCTTCAGTTGCATGCAACCACCAAAAAGTGTCACGGACTAGCTGCGTAATTGAGAGCAACCAAAAAAGAAAATGCTGATTGGTTGCCACGACAATGCTTACAATTATTTCAACGACATAAAAATTGGTCAACTTTTTAAGACGGACAATTAAATGCTCTTACAGCAATTTCATATATATTTACCGAATTGTTCTTATTTTCAATAGTTGTTTCTGTTGTGTTACTGAGCACAAAAATCATAAATTATGAATGCATTGAGTTATTTTACAGTGCGTTACACATGTCGTGACAAAATTAAATTATCCACGGCTAGGGTATAGGAAGAGACAAAGAGCATGTGGATGGGGTTCCGGGCAGGGTTGGCATGCGGATGTTAACGAACTCATTGGCCCAGACAAAAGTTGCAAGCGACCAGCACGTGGCACGGGCTGGGACTCTCTCCTCTCCCCTCGTAGTGTTTATTGTGCAAGGTTAGGGCGTTGCTGCTGCTGCTGTTTGCTGCTCTGACAGCCGCTAATGGCGTTTACATGGACCAGGAGTCTACCCAAGCCCTAAGCAGCCAACTGACTGATTGATTTGTGTTAACTTTGACTGCCTGCCATGTCACAAATCAGCAGCAGTTTCATGAAAACTGGAGCAGCAGCAGCGGCAGCAACGGCAGTAGCAGCATCAGCGACAATGTCAACATAGATGACGACTAACGCTTATCTGGCACACAAAAGCACACAAGACTCGAGCGGATGTGAAGAAGCTGCTGTTGACCACCAGCCTCTTTCTCAGCATCTGCTTCTGTGATGAATGCGGAGATAATATAAAAATAAAGCAGACAAATGGACAGTGGAGAAAACGCACTAACACAATGCACAATTGTAACAACAACTTACAACTTTGTAAACAGAAGTGAGAATGTTTGTGTTGTGAGTGCCAGTCGGGGGGGATACCCTCTATTTTTAACTGAGTTTCAGATTAATATAATCAACACATAACATAAAGATATATATACAATAATAAGATACGATTATCGCTTGCTGATAATGTTTTTTGACTGCTCCGTGGCCTGCTAGGGGTTTTCCCCGACTTAAATTCATTTTTGTAGAAGTTCTGAGACTGTCCAATTGCAAAAGAGTTCTTTCTTCAGGCCTGTTCTGATGTCCTTGGCCAATTTAATACTATTTGATATCTCAGTTAAGCCATTATGTAAATATGAATTTATATGTATTTATATATAAATATGAATTTATCTCAATTTTACCTTTTGCAAACGAAATTAATACACGCACTTATTTCACTGTCCAGCTCAATTTGGACTCTTAACAAAGAAATGTGCCAAATAATTAAACCATAAGCCACAGACTTCTTTCATATTTCCTTAATAAACAATGTCGCCACATTTACAAATATCATAATCATAATAATAATGTCATAAACTATATATAGACCATATGTAGTATATTTAATTGTAGTTAAATATTTTTATAGTCTGGTTACCCACATTTGATATCTGCTGCAGGGTACAAGAATTAGACTTCTTATATACATATATATATATATTGTATATATTTATATATATGTGAGTATTTAGATACATGTTTATTTGCTAGTTGAGCTGATATGAAAACAAGTTTAAAGTACGCTGCCAATGTCACCGTTAACACAGTCAACGTTTCTTTGCTGGCAATTACAGAGGCATTTAAATTGGCAACACCTGGCACACGGCACAATTGGCAACGGGAGTGAGAGCTAGATGCCAGTTTTTAGAACGAGGGGGGGAGGGGATGTGGTGTGGGGACAAATGAAAACATAAACACATCAAATCGCAGCAGCAGCAACATCAGCAACAGCACAAGCAACAAGAAAAACAACAGCAGCAACAACAAACACAAATCTCTTTTGAGTGACGACGAAGAAGAAGCGGAGAGAAAAGCGACGCAGACGTCGACGTCGACGGCCTGCTATAAAAATAAGTAGAAAAATCGCTTTTCCGCCTTTCCGGCAAAGCCGACACGACAGAGTGGGTGGTTGGGTGGGTGGATTGTCTGCGATGCTGTGCGGCGTTTCGCGGAAAAAGCGGTGAATCAACGCAACGCAGCAACAAAAATCAACAAAAGCTTTGTTGTAAATGCTGTGCACGTGACGCATCGCAGACCACCTCCCCCTCCCGCAGCCAACCCCCTGTTTGTCATCACCAAGGGGGTGGCCAAGCCGAGGGGGGTTTGTGGACAGCCACACACACACACACACACATATACATATGCATACACACACACACATAGAGGCAACATTTTTCATTTAGTTTTTGGTTTGAAGAATTTTTACTCACCGACGCCGTATTTGTTGTTTGATGGTATCCACATATTGCTTTGTTGTTGTTGTTGCTGTTGTTGTTGATTGTCGAATTCCAATTGGAATATGATGGCTAAAAGGCAGTCCAAGGCCACTCCCAAAGCTCCTGCCGGTTAATTTGCTTTTGCGCTTTTACGAGCTGCTTTCGATGACAATTTCAATTTTCTGAACTCATTTTTTTGTTGTTGTTGTTTAGCTTGCCTTTTTGCATCTTCTTAAATACACTCACACACACACACACTCACAAACAATGCTGAACTTTGGATTTTGTGCATGTTGTTGTTGTGGTTGTTGTTGTAGCATTTGTTGCGCGCTCTCTCGCTCGCACACACGCTCAAACTCCGACGACACTTGACTCGACTTAGTTAATAAGACTGCAACACACACGCTGCGAGTCGTCTACATTGTTGTTTTTGTAGTAGCGGAATTGGCAAATTGCTCCAACAAGACCAAGTGATAATCTTAGCTCTTATATGAAGTGGTTGCTTTTCTGTTTTTGTCTTTCTGCCTTTTTTTCGCACGCCACAAAAACACAAGAAAATCAATATGGATATTTGTGGTTGTGCTTGCTTCGCATGAATTTGTATTCCTTGTGCTCTAATAAATAATATTCGTATATTTTTGCTGACTGGCACTTGACTCGCCTTTTAATTGAATTTGTTTGATGACGGTTTTCACTTTTCGCACTCAGAATGGCAAACAAAGCTCTCTCTCTCACACAACCGCACTCGCGCAGCTGTCCAATAAGACTAACAGCCAGCTGTTAAAACACGATATGTCTCCAAGATGTCTGTAAAGTGTGTGACTGTAAAATACCCCGTATAAAACAGAAGCGATACATATCTGTTCAGCATACAGAATAATTATGTAATCTATATAATAATACAATATGTTAAATGCAATCAATTAAGAAAACTATCACTTCAACTACGAATTCACACAAAAGAATTGTGTCAACGTAGTTATAGCATTAACTATATAAATACAGTTAAATAGCATCACTAACTAGTCTCTTAATGATAGGCATTCGGACTGTAAAGTTAACATAACGTAAACGCCTGAATGTTAAAATCAGAAAAAGAAGAACTGCAAACAATTTAAATTTGTGTTTCACTTTCTTAGAAAATGCATATTTATAAGCATATGAATGTACTTATATTATTGTAATATACTGAGTGCCTAATGGCTACGAAACAATATTATTGTTGCATTGATAAACTTATTCGTCTGGCTGCAATAATGTCCACATTCGTAAAATATTTCACATATTTCCGCTAGGCATGCTATCATTTTTGTTATGTTGGTGAGACATCTGGTTTTTTTCACGTGCAGTTGTCTGCTACAAATAGCTCCACCTGTCGGAAAAGTAAAGTTGCTATTTGCTTATGAAACGATTTTTATCCGTGAAGGTGGCTGTTAGAGATAGCTCCACCTGGCGTAAAAGTAAGTTGCTGTTTGCTAATAAGAAGTTTTTTACACGTGAAGTTGCTACAGTTACAGTTAGCTCCACGTAGCCATCCAAATTAGGAATGCACTGGTGATGCTCCATTTTCGTTTGTATATAGTTGGGCTCAGAACCAATTTAGGAGACACTTGAAGTTGCCGACGAGCAACATCGTTTAGAATGCGAGTTCAAAATTTCCAAACATTATGTATCGTTCAGTGCGGAAATGTTCAAATTCTGAAGTTACAATTCTCAAGAATTTTGAACAGCCTTATTATGATATAATTTCACTTATTTTATATGGTTTCCATGTTCAATAGCAAACAATTTTAAATTTGCCGCATTCTCTGCCCATTTAATTTGGCTTACTTTGGCAAGCAATAAATGTACTCGTATTGTTATAGTTTTATATTTGTCTTAACTTTTATTATTGCTCTGTTTGTTCGTTCGCATTTTGTAACTAAGACTAGTTGACTTAGGCTATGCTTAGTGGCTACAAATATTTAACATTTAACACATACGAAATCTATTTACAAAACTCATCTCTTTACACATTATAATTAACACTTAATGGCTAGCATTGCCACACGAGCAACTTAAATATATAAGGCGCATCTTCGAGGTTCTATAATTAAATGACTTACACTTAGTCTTAAGATCGTAAAAATTGACCCAGTTCTTCTAGAGCAAAATTCAATGACAAGCAATCAAGCTAAAATTATATATATGGTCAAAAATATAAACTTTACATTTACAAAACGTTAACCCTTTTGCGTGCTAGGCTCAGGCTTGAGTGCTTTGTTGCATTTTTTTGTGCAGTTCTAGCTAATCATGTATGGCTGCCCATTTTAATTACATTAAAACCTTTGTACCAAGCTACTTCCACATTTTCCTTAGCCGTCTGCTCTGTCCGCTTTAAACCAACACCAATTTCTATCGTATTATACAAATTTTAATACGCGAGCAGCGCTTGGAAGTATTTTATCGTCTGTCTTCTTCTTTGATTGATATGGAAGTAGAGATTTAGTGCGCCTTCAGCTTATGTGACAGCGCCAGATCCTCCTGCAGTCCCTTGGCATTGCAGTTGTTATTGTTGTTGTTATCAGCTGCCGCTGCCGCTGCCAGCTTTTGCTGCTGCTCCTGCTGCGCCTTGGATTTCCTGTAGCTCTGCATATAGAAGTTCATGAAGAGGCAGAAGAATATGGATGAATTCAGCAGCAGCAGCGTCGATATGAACTTGGAGAACTGGCACTGATTGCTGAAGAGAGCCCTCGTTGTGTGCACAATGCAAAGCACGAACTGCGCCTGTTAAATTAAAAAAAACAAATGAAAAAGAAAAAACAAAAAAAGAAAATGAAAATCATATATATTTATTTTGACGAAGGCAATGAGTACGTTGTAAGTGCTGTGTGAATTGCTTATAAGTTGTTTTCGATTTGAATACTGGGAAATGGAAAATGGTCTTGGGACTGTCATTAACTGAATGCAACTCGGTAGGCGTGTTCGGGAAAATGTCGTAGGGCAAATAACAAACTCAACGTGTGTTCAATTATTGCCCTCAAGTGTGGCCAGTCATAGCAAAATTTTAATTACATCAATAATCAAATATCGAATTAAGAGCCTTCATGGGACGTAATCAGCCATCAACGTCACAAGGTAATCAAAAATTTGTTTACGAACGCCGCCTCCGTTGTTTGTTATAGCCATGTAAATTGTACATACATGTCTATAGATATTGCAATTTGCGAAAATAACTGTTATATGAGCTAAATATCAATTACACCCGTTGCAAATACAGGGCTCGCTCTCAAAGTGAAAAATTCGGAAGCAATCGATAAATATTCAATTTCTAATTTTCTCCGATCGCCGATACTCTGAGATTGGAAACTAATTACAAATTATCATTGTATTTTTCTTTTATTTTTCTATATTTTTCGCTACGATATAAAATCTCATGAAGCTGATCAAAATCGCATTTTTATTAATGTTTTTGTAGAAATTCATCCGGAAATTGTTGTTTGTTTTGATGATAAATCTCCGCTTAAGCTGAATATCTTTCATTTCCGAGCGATTACTGTACCTTGTTGCCTGTTTGTCTGGCACTGACTTTGATTTTGCTGCCCGCTAATCTATTTGCCAGTCTGTCTGCTTGACTTTCTGTCTGTCTGACTAACTGGCACTTGTTAGCTGGCAACAAGTTCGCTGCCTAAGTCTTTTGATTGCTGCTTCCATTGACCTTTTTTGCACACCCCTTAAGTGCTGGCATTGTACAACCAGCAATTAAGATGATGTTTATTGATATTGAGCATATATATCTCATAGATGGTGGTCGTAATGTCTACTAATCGTCAGCATCACCTCATTTAATGCAGCGCACACGCCCACATGATCACATGGCGATCGCCTTGTTATTTGTTTTGCTGTCGTTTACGATTTATTTGATATTTTTGGTTTTTTTTTTGTCTATCTTGCTTCTAGTTAGTTGGTTGTAGTTACGTTTCTTGTGACCTACAAACAACAAGCAACATGTTGGTCAACCAAGCGCTGCAGGTTTCCATTAACACAGCCGTGCAAAACGCAACAAAGTCACTGAGCCAACAACGCTCCACACACAATACACAACCAACACACAGTGGGCAAAAACGTTGGCTGGCCAAAACAGCCAGTCGTTTTTGGCAACAATTCGGTATTAGCCGTTTGGTGCGCTGAAACCCAACGTCAACGCTTCAACGCCACATTACACACACACACACAGTCATGTGTAGAGTAGTGCATCAGAATGCACGTTGGGATGGAGTAATTGCGGCAGGTAATGTATGGTTAATGTATACACATTAAATGCAATATACGGTCATTAGGAACGGAAGCTGCGGAAGACCAATTTTAACTGTGTTGCAAAGCTTTTCAATTGATCATTATCGATTACATTTGCCTGCTTTAATTAAGTGGAAATAATCATTCAATAGTCTTCTGTAATTTGTACTTTGGCCAGAGCAAATATTTACATTCCTCAAATGTATTCCAAGTTTAAAAAAAAATGTGAAATACACTTTTAAGAAAGTAAGTTTTTTACAAAAGTTCTCAGACAACTCAGATAGAATTTGGCTGACAATCAGAGTATAGAACTAGGCTAGAATACTACTTTCACAGAGATTATCGAAAGTAAGCTTTAAAGTAAAAGTTATGTATATTATTTGTCCGTTTTATAACATCCTCAGCTTAATGCTTATATCAACTTCTGTGACTTCTAATTGACTGGTATTCATGTCTCTTCAACTTTTTATATTTCATTTGAACGACTAAAGATAGTTAGTTATAAAATCATTAAATACCACTGTGCCATCTGTGTCATTGAATGCAACAGCACCGTTTTGATTGCATAACCGTTAGGTCTTTGGGGCAGTCGTGATCGTTGCCGGCGCTATAAAAATGCAGTTGCACTTGCAATATGAACGAGTGTTTGGACTTGTCTGGATTATATCCATATGTGTATGAATATATTTGTATGCAGGCGCCTGGGAAGCGAAATCGACAATTGACTTTTACCAAAAGTCGAACACAGTCACACACACACACACACTTAGAGACAGTCGTTTTCTGGATATGGATAGTATCGGCTGACTGGCGTTGGCTGCCGTCGACATAGACACTCACACAGCGTGGTGTGGCAAGTTCGCTGCTGCGGCGGCGCATAAAAGTGAACGCTACACGAGCCGCACACAACATTCATTGCCGCAAAACGGAACAGGCAAAACAAAGCTGGCGAATGCCAAGCCAAAGATATTGTAATCGAAACTGGTCGGATCGGCGCGCTAAAATGTGGCAATTTATGGAATTGGCGCACCGGCCAAACTGTAAGGATGTTGCAACAAAGCGACAGCAATAGAAGCAGTTCCAGCGGCAGCGACAGTGACCAGAAGTTGGCTAATTGGAACTTAAACTTGTTCGTCTCTTGGCAAATTGGAGCGTGCGCAATTTATATTGCGAGCCATATTTGTGGCACGGAACAAAGAGTAGCAACAATAGCACCAGCAAATCGTAGCAAGTTGCACTTGCATTTGAATTATCCGCTGCTAGATGTGCCCATGTTTATCTGTTTATCCACTTAGCATTTGATTGCCGCTTTGTCGTGTCAACGCAGTGCATCAGGTGAATTTACAAAGATATATGCCGCATACACTCACAAAACAATATATATATATATATTTATATATAGAATCGGAAGAGTGCATTTCTAAAACTAGTGCAGATAATCGACAAGTCGGCAAGCAAAAACTTTTAGAGACTCTTTTACAAGAGTTAAGAAATATACAACAAAAAAAGAACTAAAAGTTCTGGGGCATATTATGTTCAGAGTAAAGCATCTAACATATGTGTGTGTGTGTATAGAAAATGTGTACGCTGTCGTCGAAGGTTTGACAACTCATGTGTGGAATCGAGTGCGCTTCAAGGTAACACACGTAAATACACGCACACACATGGACAACACTTAGAAGCAGGCCAACGGCAATAAGCAACTAGCTAACTTAACTCGCCAACTTATATGCGTTTCAAGAATTTCGAAACATAGAAATACTGCAATGGAAACTTATTTACCGATGAATGCCATGCCTAGCCATATACACACACACACACACACACACACACACATGCACACACATATTAAAAGACTGTATGGAAACTCAGTCGAGTGGCGCAAATGCCATCACTGCTGAGAAAACGGAAAGACAAGCAACCAATTGAAATCTAAAACTATAGCTGAAAGTAAATTCAAGCTATAAATTAACAGCAACAACACAAAAATACTCAAAAAAATGAAAAAAAAAAAGAAAAAACCCACTTGACTGGTCAACATGAATTGTATGCATGTGTTTGTGTGTGTATTGCCAGCATTTACTAGTTATCGTGTTGAAAAAGCAGGTCGTAGAACAGACTTTTGTGGGTCGTGCGAGCAACGAAAGTGACAGTGGCTCAATGAACCCAAGAACAGCTTAAGCTCAATCTGATGAGGTGGATAACAGTTTTCGATTATGCAATTCAATTAAAAAATACTCTGGCCTTTGGCTGGCTCGCTCTTTAAGTGCCTGTCTAGCTGAGTGTCTGTGTGTGTGTGGTGTTAGTGTGTTAGTTTAAACCAAACACAAACCACTTCCACTTGCAGCTGAGTGCGACTGAGCGTCGTCTGTCCCAGTTGCCGGCCAGTTGCACGACACATTTAGAAGCATTAAGAAACATGCTTTTTTTTCTAGTCTTTGCTTTGGGATTTTTGGCAATAGCTATATGCACGATGTTTAATACCATTTTATGTGGTAGTACAGCAGGCTCGGTCACAGATACGTCAGGTCTAACTGGTTTAGTACAGAAATATTTTGGCTATGCAGCAAAAAACTAAATTCTAAACGAGTTAAATATCGATTTTTTTTTTCATTTTTGGTGACTTGGTTGGTTTCTATGCAGGAATAGATTTGATAATGAGCTGGTTTTTGGACGACACTTACGATCTGCAGCTCTGTCATGTATTTCTTCCACCACAAGAATTTGGCATACTCGGGTCCCATGGCGGACATCATGTAGTAGAAGTACATGCACACATGCACAAAGTTGTTCAACAGATTGGGGAATGTCGCGTTGCCGCCTGAAAATTACAAAAATCAACATGAAAATGATGCATTTTCTGGGCAGATATTTAGTTCATTTGATACGTTACCTGCCAAGAATTTGACCAGCACCCAGGTCTCAAGCGGTGTCACCGAATGATGATAGACATGCAGCCACGTGATTTGCGATGATTTCTTGCGCAGCACAAAGAACACAGTGTCGGCGAACTCGGTCAGCTTGGATAGATAGTAAATGTAGCACAGGTTGAGCATCTAAAGATAGAGGGAGAAAAAGAGAGGAAGGAAATGTAAGTTTTCTTTGTAAACAGCTGACGGCAAGGTCGACACAAAACTCGTATGAACCAGAAATGTAAAATCCGCTTGTTTTTATACTCTCGCCGAGGGTACTTCAGAATGATCGTTAGGTGTGTGACACATTAAAATAGTATTTACTCTCGATCAGCATCATTAGTCGAATCAATTTGTGTCTAAAAGTGTATTTAATCTTTGGGTGTGCCAAATATAGATTTTTTCTCTCTTGTTATCTTGGAGGTGTCAAAGTGACACATATCGAAACTTTATGGCAAATTGGCGGTTATTGACTTGGTCTTCGGCACTTTGTTTGGGGCCATTTAGGCGGATGTGAATTTCATTAGGAAGATGATTATGTTTCTTGGGACATGGGAGACTTTTTATTGACTTTACATGGAATATTATGAACGCCGCAGCTAATCAAACAAAACAAAAGCAATTGCTGCTCTAAGTGGCTGATTTACAGTCTAACAAATGTTGTTAATTTGAGTGTTTAACAATAAACAACAGCCTTGAGTTGTTGCACAGACGCAGAGCTATAAAATTATATGTCTTATTTTTATTTTTGTTGCATTTGGTGTGTTACATTTATTACTCGAATTTAAGTGACTCATTTTATGGTCTTTTCTCACAATTTAGGTTTTATGGTTAACAAAACGCGCTACAAATGGACGAAAAATGATGCATTTAACTTAAGAGGTTGATTATTTAAATATATATTTAAATATTTCTATCTTTTGAGTTGGCAAATTGAATAGTTGTTAGCTTTGAAGGCAAAACAATAAGATCGACAGGCGTAACAAATTGCCTGGGCATTAACAAGAAGCAATTGGCCCCCATCAAGTTTGGCAGCAACTTTTGTGGCAGCACGTAAGCCGCAATTAGAGACAACAAAAGCTGGCCAAATGACTGGTCAAAAACCGTTTGCACTTTTTTGATGTGTGTTGTAAACGTCCAGCAAAACGTGTCTGTCTGTGAACTTGAAATGAATCATCCAGAGGCAACGAACTTCTACGCATACGCATACATTGTTATTATTTAATATATGCATTGATATTTATAGATTGTGCAGATTTTCGGCGCGTGCGCACAACTCGAAATACAAGTTATATACAACAAACTTGACTTCTATTGTTATGCGAACTTAGAACTTACCCGCTTCGAGTTGGGCCCATCTGAATAGTCAACCGGTTGACACTTTAGATTGTAGTAGCTCAGCCAACCTGCCATTAGGTGCTGTATGGGTATTATGAATAAAATATCGATTAGTATTATTATTATTATAAGAACACTTCCTTGAACAGCGAGTCTCACCTCATAAAACATATAACCGCTTAGCAGCACCTGGAAAGCATTATAAATGACGAGAGTGCGTCGCAGCTGGAATGGTTTGCGATCCCTCATGAACAGTGGGCCCAGGACCAGCACCCAGGATAGGTAAATGGCGACCAGACCGAATGTGAACAAGGGATGCTCCATTAGGGGAAAACGCTCGGCGCGGGGATCTGTGGTACATCAAAAACAAAAACACAAATACGTTTGCAATAAGAATAGGTTCTACTTAATATGAAAATTATAGAGTCAATGGCATATAAATTATTTAATTAATAGCATTTTATGTTCTTGATGTATGTGATGAATTAATCTTAAAGTCAGTAGCCAATTTGCACGAGTGAATGAAATCGTGGCTAGTTAACATAAGACCTACACAATTTGCCGGTTTGTTTGTTTGTTTTATTGTTTGTATTCAGAACAGCTAAATTGAACAATTACGTTGTTTATTCAATAGGTGCATTTTGTGGGAAGTACGACCGCGACCACCACAACATAGTCAACAAAACAATAATAAGAACCGGATTATCTAGTTACTCTTTTGTGGAACTTTACTCTACTTATAAAGGAATTACCTAACTTCTGGTAATAAATACGGGGCTTGATTTGCAATGCCGTAATGTATGAAACGTCATAGTCCGTAATAAATCAGTATATATCTGAAATAAATTGCCATTTAGGAATGTGATTGTTGATATCTATATTAATTGTGCATTGCAAAACTTTTCCATACTAGGCATTCTAATGTAAATGTTTTTGCTGTATATTTTCCGCTCAAAAGATTAAGATTTTCTGTTTTAAATTTATGCAATAGCAATAAATTCAAAGATTAACATTTTTGCAACTATTAGCGAGTTTAGCCATTCGTTAAAGAGATGTTTACTATATATATTTATACATATGGATAGACATGTATATATATATATATATATATATGTATTTATTTTTGACTGTAAATTAGATGTTCATTAGTTTTCGATTTAATCTGATTTAATTTTTTACCCAAAAATGTAGATTTTTGTGAATTTTATTTTAGTTTTATTTTTGCAACTTTGTCATCAATTAATATTGCTACTAATTTAAAATAATTTTTTAGCTCATTTCAAGTTTGTGTTCTAAGTCATTTGTCTTTTTTTTGGGTTTTTTTGTCGGACTTGGAACTGTTGGCATTCGCTTTGGCTGTTTATATATTTCGCTTAGCATGGCTCTCGTTTTCTGGTAGCAGTTTATCTATATATGTACATTATTTGCATTGCTTTTAATTGTTGCTACCTTCCATTGACCTTTTCACCCGCGCGCGAGGCAGTCAAAAATGTCAATAAGTAAGCACAGCTCTGTGTGCGGTGTGCGGGCTTTGTACTTGAACATGTTTTAAACAAAAACAAAAGAAAATACCAAAAAAGAGGAAAAAAGTGAAGCACGAAGTATGTGAATATAAAAAGTATAAATCATATTGTAAGCACTACATGCCATATGCATCATCTTCAGCAATGTTATTAACATTGCTATTGCTATTGCCATTATTGTTGTTGTATATGGGTTGGTATACATATCGTATGTACTGTACATGCTCAGCTGCACACGGCAGACGAGCAACAAATGACGACGGTCGCGTCATAAAATGTTTAAGATCAACAATGTAAATACATTTTAATTACGTTAATAATTGTCAAAAATACAATTGGCATTGCCAAGGTCGTAATTAAATACACAAAGAAACCTTTTTTAATTGTCCTAGAAGTTTTTTTTTCTTATTGAGCTTTATTTTTGTTATTGTCGCTTGTTGCTTTTGTTGTTGGTGCAGTTATTTTTTTTTTCATTTTATTTTTATTTAACTTTTTTGTTTGCTGCTTGCCAATTTTTGCTGGCATTATGTTTTGTTATGATTTGGTTAGCGTCTAAAAAAAAAAAATGGCAATTCATCGTTTTTATGGTATTATAATTTGGCGTTTCTCTTAAGCTGTGGGGCTTACAACGTAAACTGGCGATGGGACGGACATTAAGTTATAACTTCCCGGAGTATTAGCTAGCTGATGTCATTCAGCAAAAATGTGCCCCCAAGCAAGTTTTACTATGCATAAAAGGGTGAGGGTATTTCTTTTTTTGTTTTTATCAGTTCACATTTGATTTGGCTGTGGGTACAAATTGATTGCCATTTGCATTTTATTGTTGACACCTACCGCCGTAATCCTCCTCGACAAGCTGGTAGTAGCGCTGCACCAGACCCGAATAATTGCGAGAGAGATGATGGCTCTTAAACTCATCAACTGCAATGTTGGCTATTTCGACGGCCATCTCGTAGCGCGTGCTGCTGTTGTAGTTGTGGTATTGGTAGTTGATCGACATTTTGTTGTAGATTGTTTTTGTTATTTTGTTTCTGAGGTATGTGGGTGCGATAGGTAAATCCTGAAGATCCTATTTGTTTGTTGCTCGATTGTAGGTTGTTCAATTTGTTGTTAGCTTGTTTCAGCATACGGCATGCTGCACGTTGGATAACTTGAGTTTTGTTTAGCTTTTGGCTGACACTTGGCAATATAACACTTGATCTTTGTTTATGAGTCTCGTTAGTAGCACGCGGTGAAACGCATCTAATTCTTTTTAGCCACCTATTCGATTAGCCACCGCACCGTAGAAATGTTTATGCTCAACTGAATCTAAAACTTCTCAGCAATCACAAGATAAAGTAAGTTTTAAGCGCCCGACGCGGCAGCGGCGTCAGCAGCGGCGCTAACGTCGACAGCGCGCTTTGCAACTAATACGAGTACGTATCGCAGTATACACACAACAACATACACACACACACATGCAGATAGGCCGAGTTGGCCTAGCCAAGCGGCTTAGCTCAAAAACTTAACGAACGCTTTTAACATCCACACAGAACGGCGGAAGTTTCGTTAACTTCAACGCAGCCAGCAGTGTCTACGTGCGCTTGTTTATGTGTGTGTATGTGTGTGAGTGTGTATGAGTGTGTGTGTATGAGTGTGTGTGTATGAGTGTGTGTGTATGTGTATGTGTTTGCGGCTTAGCTTGGCCCACTGAGCTCGCTGTGGTGTTAGCTTATTTAGCAAGTTCCGAATGGCATTCAACTTTTTTTTTGACTATTTTGTTGTTGCTGTTGTTGCCGCTGTTGCTTTGATCATTTTGCGGGCTTGTTCGATGAGCCTGTATCGCTCGGCAGATTGCAGTTTTTTATGGGTCAACGCACTGTAAAAAGGGGGATGGTCTGAATAAACGACAGCCTAAGCGTTAATTAATAAAATACACATGCATATATATTTATAGTTATTTATTGTTACAAAGTTAACTTATTTTTTGTTAACCCATTACTTTTTGTCATTTATTAATTAATTTAAGTAACAAACTTTAAAATTGACCATTCCAAAATTCTTAGTACACATATTATTATGATTTATAAATGATGATTTATTGCTAAATACATTTTAATTACGCAATAATTGAACAGTTTACCGCAGCCAATAATCATTTATTTAACTTCAGATTTGCACAAATCAATATTTATTCAAATTGCATCTAAGCACTTTTGTTGTTTGCATTTTACTAAATCCAGTTCAAATACATGTAACTGATTTTTATGGTGTCAAGTAAAACTTGTTACTTGGCTTGAATTTGTGTACTCTACTAAAAATCATAAATTAAAAGCTTTCAAAAATAGATTTCATTTATATATATACATATGTATCCAATTTTAATTTTAAATATATATATTTCCAGACATCATTAGTTTCATTAGCTTAACCGGCTAACTAAAGAATCTTTTGTGTGCTGTATGTAGTTTATGTGATGCTTTTCTGAGGCAGTATATAATGTTTTTAGTTGTTTAAGAACTTTTAAATTCCTGTTTTTCATTAGCAGACATAAATATTTATTAAGCATTTTCATACTCTTCAAAGATAACAAGTATTGAGTTATAAAACTTATTTCAATATGATATCATTGTTTTAAGCCTTTAACGATAAACGTAGACAGACTACAGAATACAAAGTGATTAAAGTAATTCGTTTTTGAATTGTCTACAATTATAAAATCGTTTCAATCAATTTGAATCAAGTGTACAGTAAATTTCCACATTCTTTGTAAATAATTTTTATTTAAGCCAAACAAAAAAAATTATTGTTTATTTAACTAATATTTAATATTGTCCGTAAATAGGTAGTTGACTTTTGTTAAATTAATTCAACTTTTATATTTAGCTGGCCATTCGAACTTTTAAGATTTCGATGCCTCCAAGCTTGACTTGTTGGACACTTGGAGTCAACAATTTAAGTGTAAATGCGATTTAAACTTGAGAGACCTGTTTTGGTTAACTTCGTTATCGATCTACACGTGTAAGAACCAACAAATAGAGTTTAAGACAAATGGCTAAAGCCCTTCCAAGAAATATTTGTAGCAGGGCGGAAATTGGTTGGAATTCGTTGTTAAATAAATACATTTATTATGTTATTGAACAAAAAGGGAGTTGGCAACAAAATTGAGGGGCTGTTTGCATTACACAAAAATCATTTTTAACAAATTTAGACCACATGCGCTGATTGTTCTTAAAAGTGCGCTTGACCTGTGCCACCTGATTATTTTGGCCATGCTGGCAAAGCCGCAGCCACAGCGACAGCGGCGACTGTGGCTGAGACAACTAACGTTAGCAGCTCAATGGCATCAGGATGACATTGCAGTCGCTGTTGCTAACGGTTTCATTAATGAGAACAGATTAGTTTGCATCGTTTCTGCGGTCAACTTGAGCCAAGTTTTGGCCAGCTTTGGCAAAGCCGGATCTGTTAGCCGGCGTTGCTATTCACGGTCTAGGTCTAGGTCTTGGTGAAATACCGGCTGTCGGAAGTCCAAAGCAAGCCAACAAAACAGCTGACCAAGTTCGATAATAAATATGCGATGATACAATCAAGCTACCGCTTTGCCAGCTCCAGTTAGCCAATGGCAAAATGTTTCGACTCATAACCAATCATAATACTAAATTGAAATATATATTTTTTTTAAAAGTATTTGTGAAGATGTGTCTTTTAATTTGATTAATAGCCAAGGTGATGAATATTGTCAGCAGCTGAGCGGGTCAGAGTAGTTGTCAATTTGTATACATTTTGGCGAACCTATTGTTAACGACATTATGTCAAATTTGAGCATAAAATCCCCATTCATACTCCAAAACTGCAGCGTCATTTGTCGGCAAATAAATGTCTAATATAACAAAACATATTAAAAATTGTTGCCCAACAATTTGAGTAAAATTATGACGCAATAAATTCCATATATATATAATTAGCTTAATTATAACGCTCAAAATCAATAAAATTCTAATTATATTAGCACAACGTGCCTGGGCGTTTTACTTTGGGAGCCAACTTTTACTGAATATTTGACCGCTGACCGCTGATCGCTGATGTTTTTGATTTGCAAAATGGAAACTTTTTGAAAGCACTATATGGCAATTAACTGGGAATTAATAAGTAGCTATTAATCAGTTCATTTCATAATACAATTTTACAGTTGGATCGAACCTGTTCTGAACAATCTTACACAATACACGAGCGTCACCAAAACACTTAAATTTCCTTACGAACTTTGCTCGTGCAATAGCTAAATGCGACATCAATTCAAAGATTAAGGAGTACAGTTCGCCGATTTATTGCCTAATTTCATTCTAATTTCACGACCTTGAAAATTATTTACTTACTAATGGGAATAACACATAAACAGTCAAATTGTAAAGAGACATACTAAATGCAAAGCAAAGCATTTGTATTAATCGCCAATCAACTGATTTGTAATATTGGTATTGGAATTTCATTCCTTGAAAATATATGTATGCAATGTATATTGAATTTTGAAAGTATGGTTATTATTTAATGACAGCTCGCTTGTAAACAAATATGTAAATTCTCCTTATTCAATGTGACAAATTTATAATACCCTTCTAGAGAGTAAATAAACAATTCAAAAGATTTTTGCGTGAATAAGCTAAGCAAACAATGTTATTTTTGTGGGCAAAACTTATGTTTGAACATTATTATTGTCTCAGATATTACGCATGGTAAAAGTTTAGAAATATGTTGATTCAGATGAATTGCACTCTAATAATATATGACTACACTACACTCTAATAATATGTATTCACTACTATAAAATAAATAACAAAATATAATAATTCTGTGTTTACTTCTATTCTCTTAATTTAAATAATTTTTTTTACATATACGGAAGCAAAATAAAATTAGAGTGCAGAGTATATTAAAGCCTAAAGACGTCCAGGTTGAAATTACTGTATGTGTTATTGGCAAGCACACAATAATTTGGGTACTAATTGATAGCACAAGCTGAGAAGTTAGTTGAGCAAACCCCCATTGAACCCAAGAATCGGTAGCAATGACAATATTAGAAAGGCCATAGTACCATGGCCATGTGCAAGTTCGGCTGCTAATCAGTTGGCCAAATACAACTACATGCTCACTGAATCTAAAAAAATGAATATGTACGTAACCATCGTTAGATTTGAGGTTAGTCAAAGTACAGATTCGCGTCATGACGGATCAACAACCGGACAAGTTTCGTATTCGCTTGAGTTGAGCGAGAAAATAAAGATCCCCACACTCAAGACTGAATCGTAAACGTCGTTTAGTTTCACGAATTGTTCATAATAAGTAAAAACTCAAACTGGAAATGTTCTTCGCAACATTTACCCCCGACGCTGAACTTGACCATCTTTTTGGCTTATGAATTAATGCTCGAAATTATAGTTGAGCTGGCGAGCGTAAGAGACCAAGAATAGATCGTCAGACGTCTTGGAGCGTCTTTGGCAATAAAATGCTCTGCTTGAACTTGACATAGTTATGTTCTTACGCTTCTCACTTTTGGCCGGTTGATCATTAAACCGAATATTGTTCATAAGGTTTGGCATCTAGAATTTGTAATTTAAATGTATAAATTAATCAAAGACAAGACTAAACCATGCATATGTATAGCAATACGCTTTTGGCAAGAGTCTCAGGCCATCGGCTAACTGTAAGTAGGTTTATCGGCTTCGATCAGGAAACGGAAGCATTATTTTTTTTTTCTCTCTGTTTACTAATCTTTTTTCAAAGCGTTAAACGAGTTTCACGCAAGGGCACGCAGCCTCAACGGTATTTCGCTGATTTCGATTAGCCGCAAAAGTGCTGAGGTTACGTATGATAGACCGATCCACACACGATCAGGCGCTAATTTATCAAGCAGCATGGTATAATTTAACAGAGCTGTAGCCACATGGTTTTTACGCTTTCTATTTCCGCGCTTTGGAACAAGTTTATTTTGCGCCATATCACAAACTATTCGGAAATCGGAACCTATGATAACATATAATTATAGTTGGGTGGCGCTCAGTGCACTGACTGTTCTTACATATCCTTTAAATCTGCAATGCATATTTGATTGATACTTAAATCGAAATGGGAAGTATTTAGTGAATATAAAGCTAATGATAATTAAAATGCCACAATAATCGTTGAAATGTTGTTAAAGTTTCAATAATACAAAAGCTTAGAATGACATTTATATAGACTCATCAATATTTTGAAGAAAACCCTATTAAAATAAGAGACAAGCCATGACCAAAATGGCCTCGGGCCTCAATTCTCAATTTTTTGGACATGATTTTGCTTAAAAATATGATAATTACATAATTTTTTAAATGTATAATTAATATAAATGTTCGAGGCGAAAGCTCCAACAGTTAAAGCTTTTAGATTTTTTCTGTTGGTTACGACTTTGCTCACATTTTTAAACAATAAATAAATTCTGATTTATCTAACATTAATTGTCAATTTTAAACTCCAGGATGATTTACTTCGTATGAATATTGAAAATCGAATTGGTCTTGAAATTGTTAATTCAGCTTAATTTAGAGCTGTATTTAAATCGGAGTTTATTGATTTAAACTGCAGAATTTAATTTGAATAGGCAGTTTCTTGTTTAGTTATTTTTGAAATTAAGCTTTGATCATAGTTTCAAAGTCGTAAAACTTTAATGTGTACAAGCTCGGCTTTAATAGAAGTCTGGCAACATCTGCGAAAGCTTTAAGCGGAAAGCAACGAGCGCTAGATGGCGCCAACAATAATTCAAAGCAACTAAAAAACTTGAAAAGCAGTTAAGCGATGCATAAATTTATAATTACAAAACGGACAGTTTTACGGCTTAACGTTAACCATTTTTAATAATGATGCTAATTACATAGTTTAGTTAATGCACTTACTAATTAATTATGTATGAACTGAGCTAAAAATTCGACTATTATAGATTGTGCAGAGAATGTTGGAGTCCAGACGTGATCTTGGAGACAAAAAATGCGTAGAGTCAATTAAAAATAATTTATTAATTATGCCGTGCTTGGTATTGTCAAAATAGGAACTATACAATTAAGTACGCGCTCATAGAAATGTTTACATTTAATTGCAATATCGCGAAGATATTTTGTGAACCACACAGAACCACAAAGAGAAATACACAATAAGCGATTAAAAACCAATAATAATTGTTAACGGTTCCATCAACATGTGCGTATGTAAATGTTTGCGGAAGGAATTTGCATAATCTGCAGTGTCTGCGCGTGTCTCGTACCTCTCGACTCGCGTCATTTGCAGCAAGATAATGGACCAAATCAACAAATAACAAACAAACGCAAAACAAAGGCAGATAGCAAAGCCGAAAAAAAAAAATAAAATGTTGCGACCGGAAGGGCAGTGAGCAACGCTTCGTATGAACGATGTGTCATATTTAGCGAAAGGATAAGTTATCAAACTTCTTATTATCAGTTGAAAGCCTTAGCAACTATAGACCCAGCCCAGCATGCGATAGTAACTGAAGCAGGTTAATAAAATTTAGCGATCTTGGCCATCACAGCAAGCGGTACCCGTTCAAGCCAAACTGGACGAGTTTTAAGAAGCATAACAAGACTGGCGTTGGTCAAGCAGGGTCAAGTTCAATTCGCCGGTGACACACTTATTCAAATTTTAACTCTATATGACCCCAGCCTCAGTCTCAACCTCAGCTAGCCAACCATTGACCATTAAATCGGATCGATACAAGGCAATATTTGCCTCAAACTTGACCCGGAAGTGCCATTGCTTGGCAATGCGATCGTCGTGATGTTTGTTATGCTCAAGAATCGAGCCCTGGGCCTTTAGAATTCATATGTAAATGAGCACAAAATGGTATAATAATCTTCGATTGGTTATTGTATAGCAAGTGTCTCCTTGAATAGAGCCGCAGTCATCGGAACTGAAAACCTGCCGAGTGAAAACCTTGAGAACACGAAGATTTTCTCTTTGCTACATTATTTACCCACTGACGTTAACACATGTAGTAGCTTACAACATGAGATTACAAGCTTAAACATTTTGTAAAAGCAGCACTTTCTTGAGCCAAAAAAAAAAAAATGCGTAGAATTCTTGGGGAGGTAAAGTTCAACGCAACGCGTAAAAAAGTTGAGTGAAATATGGAACAAGGTTTAAGAATGCAGAAATAAAATTGCTTATATTTAAATATAGATGTGGGAATCACAAAAGCGTATACATTTGTTCATATGTATGCTTTGTTTAGAAACATATTTATTTATTTCCGATCTCTTGCATGCTCTCTTTCGTGCAATACCATATTGTCTAGCCAATAACAACAATTATGGAAAACATTAATTATTATAGCAATGCTACAAGCGTATGCGTCAAAATCAATTAAAATTCAGTTGACAACTATTCGAAATACAATAACCGGCAAACAAGCCAACAAGTGGAAACAATAATAGCCCAAGCCGAGCCGAGCTAAGTTTAACTGTTGCCAAAAGCTGTTGTCATTATAATGATCAACAGAGAAACGAGACCAGGCGACGCAACGAAACGCAGCTTCCAACCAAATGAGGCGGCACAAAAGAACATTTAACCTAGCCGATGAGCCAACCAAAATCAAAAAAATAAAACAAAACAATAATAACAACAGCAACAAGAACAATATCAACAACGAATACAGCAGCAGTAGAAGAAACAGCAGCAGCAGCAGCAATCGCAGCAGCAGCTGCAAAGAAGAAACCATCAGAGAAACCAGCAGAGCCATCAAGTCGAAGTTGACGTAGATATCAAAAGTTATAGACGAAATTTTTATACATAGCAGCGCACAAATCGGCGTAGCAGTTCAGTACGCGTACAAGTCTCGTGGGTAGCGGATGCCAGCTGAGGTCTATCTCCCTTAATATACATATACCAATAATTATAAAGATCTGAAAAATAAGAAAAAACAGTTGTCATGGTGTTAGCATTAAGAGCGGTCACTGTTATTGTTGTTGTTGTTGTTGCTGCTGCTGCTATAAATGAAGTGTATGGCAACTGAGACACGATTGCGACAGGTGCTTGTGTTCGGATTTTGTCAGTGTTATAATACATAGACATAATATATATGCTATATATGTATAGAAGCTTTCAAAAGACTTTCTGTGGCCATTAAGAATATGTGTTTAATATCAGTGTGAACAAGGATGACAGAGAGAGAGAGAGAGGGAACACAAATATTATACAAATCTTAAATCAATATACCAAGTTCCAAAAAGATTTCTTTTTGGCAAGGTCATTGCCCGTATGCTTCGCCCCGTCTACTTAAACAAGAAGCGCAGGTTCTTACCAAATTTGCTGTGAATTTGTTGACACAATTCATCACTCGTCAAGGCCCAAAAAAAAAAAAAGAGTGCCTGCCAAAACTCCAAGCGCATTTTAACAAATGACTAACCAAGTGGAAATGTGGCGAATCCAAATCCCAAGATGATCGGCCAGACACAACGAAAATGTTGGTTACTGGGCACCCCAACGAACCGAGATTTATGTGCCTTGGACGGTTAGACAGTTGTCTGGCACCCACCATGCGTGGCTTTCCGCCTCACCCCATTGAGGGTGACCAATGGTCAGGACAGGCCGCCAACCAAGCCAAATCAAACTAAACTATTTTTCCACAAAATATATGGCAAGGTCTAAGGCATCATTTGTTCATTAGCCAAGCGCAAATTTTATGGCTCATTTGTACGTCTATTTGTTTATTTGACTTTTTCGACACCTCAGTCAGTCTTAAAAATTGATAATTTGACAACCCGATTCTGTTCGGCATAGTTTGGTTCAAAAAGGTTTTTCAAACCATTCGCCTTTTAGCACCTTTTTTGTTTTTGGTTTTATGTTTTTTTTTTTTTTTTGACCGTTCATTTTCTGCTTTGTTCTGCGTTTATTGTTGCAGCAAATAGCAAATAGCAAAAACAATGCAGGAAATGAGCCGAGCAAAGCAAACCTGTTGCTTTTGACTCGATCGCTTTTTAGCCAATTCGCCCTTCAACATATCAATTTATTTGATTGAACTAAATATGAAATACGCTCAAGAAGCTGCCCAGAATATTGGTGTGAAGAATGGAGCAGAAAGAGCAACAGAAACACGCATTAGCCGCGGAAGTAACCAAAATCGAGTGCAGGCAATCAACAAGCGCTGCCAGCAAATGCCACTTAATATCCGCTTGATAAATGGTCTCCAATGGAGTGGCCTTTGCGGAGTTCAAGTAGCCCACTTGATGCAGCTAACAAAATATTCCACATCGCTTACAGTTATTAGCGGTGATTTTGCTGCTATTTTTGCTGTTGTTGCTGTTGCTTTTTTGGGCTTTGACAATTATTTAACCGCAGCGAACTGGCGGCAAAGCAAAATGCTAACAGTTGATCAACATGAAGTGGTTTTTGTGCCACTGTGCCACACGTGAGCGTGGCGTGGTGGGGAGCACCACGGTGACTGGATCTTTGGTTGAGTGCTGATGTCGTCGCCCAATTACAGTGATCTTGTGAAGCAACTCAGCTTTGTTGTTGTGGTTGTTTAATTCATAATAATGAATATAATTTACTCTTACTCTGTTACATGATAATTTCGCATTGCACACCTACAAAACAAAAACACACGAGCAAAAACAACAACTCAATGCAAACGGCGACAGCTTTCAGCAGCAAGGTCTGTACAATTTTTTTGGGACCAGCAAAAACATTGCGTTAGTCGAATATAGCCACGCCCCAAGCGTTGACATCACGCCGCACGCCGCACACCGCACGCCGCACATCGTGTTGCTGTATCTGAATTTGCATCTCAATCCGCAGCTAAGGAGTCGCCTTGTGATCTAGTCAACTCATGCCCGCTCAGCAACAGCATCAATAGCAGCCAAACAAGAGTCGTTGTTAATGCCAAGCAACTGGTCTTCTTCTTGTTCGTCTCTTTCTATTTGATCGGCATTAACATATTTCTAAATATTCATTAAGTTAAGAGATACTAACAAAAACAAAAATCAATACACAAAAACTTTTTCTAAACTTAATTTTCATTTTAATTCACCGCGTGCAGAACATTGGGCAAAACTCGTTAGCGCTTAGCAGATTTTTAAATTTCAATAACAATCCCCTCCCTGTCACACTTAACCAAAGGCATTGACACAACGGCAAGAAGAGGAAGTAGACAAACATTTAAAAATGGCGGCCGTTAACGCAACTCAAACGGATTATTGGAACTTCTTGTTCATCGAGTTGGCTGGTGAGTATCGAATTTTGACACCAAACTTGTTGTTTGTTGGCATTCACACTGCATTTTTTCTTTTTTTACCAATCTTTGCGTCTTAAGACCCACGTACCAATGACTGGTTCCTGATCAAGTCACCACTGCCGCTGTTAACCATATTGGGCTTTTATCTGTATTTTGTGCTGTCCTGGGGACCGCGTTTCATGAAGGATCGCAAACCCTTCAAGCTGGAACGCACGCTGCTCATCTACAACTTCTTCCAGGTGGCGTTGAGCGTTTGGATGGTGTACGAGGGCGTCGTCATATGGCAATATTATAGCTGGCGATGCCAGCCAGTGGATTGGTCACGCACGCCGAAGGCTTACAGAGAGGCGCGAGTCGTTTATGTTTACTATCTGGCCAAGATCACCGAGTTGCTCGATACGATATTCTTTGTGCTGCGCAAGAATGATCGTCAGGTGACGTTCCTGCATGTGTATCATCATACGGTGATGCCCATGATCAGCTGGGGCACCTCCAAGTACTATCCGGGAGGACATGGCACCTTCATTGGCTGGATCAACTCTTTCGTGCATATCATTATGTACTCGTATTATTTCCTGTCCGCCTTTGGTCCACAAATGCAAAAGTATCTGTGGTGGAAGAAGTACATCACCAATCTGCAAATGGTAAGTAAACAGTAAAAATGTAACTAATCATTTTGGATCTCTGTCTGATCTGATCTGATGATTTGATTTCGATTGATACAGATCCAGTTCTGCTGCGCGTTCATTCATCAAACTCAACTGCTCTACACCGACTGCGGCTACCCAAGATGGTCAGTCTGCTTCACACTGCCCAATGCCGTCTTCTTCTACTTCCTGTTCAATGATTTCTACCAGAAATCATACAAGAAGAAACAGGCGGCTGCCAAGGCAAAGGCCGATAAGGAACTTAGTAATAACAATAACGAAAGTTGTACCAAGGATCTGAATGCCGCAATAGTTGCACAAGACACAGCACAAAAGAAGGTGCTGTAAAACAGCGGCTAATACTCGAAACCCTTAACCCTTTTCTCCTCCCTCTCCCCTCTCCCCACTCCTCTAAATACTCGTACAAAGCGGGTCACACACAGCACAACGCACACTCCAAATTGAAAATTCACCTGTCGTCCAACACTTTGGAGCGGGAGTTGTTCTATGTACAACTTTGTTGACTAATTTGTTAAGTAATCCGCTGCCAAAAAAAAATAAAAAAACAAAAAAAACAAAAGCAAAAACAAAAACAAAAACAAAAAACAACAAAATAACAAAAGAAAATATTGTGAAATTGAGGTTTGAGTTAGTAGGCAAACAGTTAAATGCTTTTCGAAGCCATCATCGCTTCGTTTGATGTATGTTTGTGTTTCTTTATGAACGGACACAAATGAAAGAAGTTGTATGTTTTTCGGCCCAAAACCTATTTAAGTTAAGTAAACGCGCTTGTTCATTATTAGGAACAAAAAAACGGAATTAGTTGTGTAAATATGTTAAGATGCTTAGATTTTATATATATGTATATAAATAAATATATATGTATTTTGGTATGTAATGTACTTATTCGTTAGACATAAAAAAAATAAACCACAAATATAAATAAATTGATCAATTTTTTTTCGAAAAAATGTTTAAAAAATAATTACACATTTCGTTTAATTTCTGGTTATTAATGAATTGCAACTTTTATTGACTATAACAATCGTTGCAAATATATATAAATATATATATATATATATATCTTAAGCATACGTAAATATTTAAATATTGCGGAAATGAAATATTCGTATCGAAAACATGGGTAAAAAACAGACACCTAATGTCTGGGCGTGTCAGAACAGGTCTAAGAGCTGATCGAAGTTTCCCATGCAGATTGTTGAGTTCATGAATTTTTAATATAATTGCAGAATAGATGTGGCCATTGTTAGCAGTAGAAGTGGCTAGAATCCGGAGAATTTCAGTCAAAGGCTCCGACAATGTTTGAGTTCAGGCTCACCTTGAAGATGGCAGCTGTTGAGATACAAAAGTATCTTTGATATCTGAACAAGCCCTAGGCTTTTCAAACAACCTTTTATTGATCAATCAGTCAAAACGGAACCTTAAAGCCAAAGCGGAAGCGTAAAGCATCATTGAAGAGCATCTGAACGGGCTGCGAACGGTAGCATTTAAGCCGGTTTGTTTTTGGCCTTGATCTTGACCACAAGCAAAACAGCAGCAGCAGCAGCAGCGAGTCTGCGCGATTGACTGTGTTTCTCTGTATTCTCATAATTTTGTTTAGATTACAGTCGATTTAAGCGCAGGGCCATTGTTTTTTTTTGGTGTCGCATAATCAATTTATGGTGGGTTTTTTTAAGAAGCTAAAATGTTATTGATTTTATTATAATCTATGTTTCTGAAAGCCAATAAATTTGGCAATAATTTTTGGATACTTTTCAAAGACACAAGAGTAAAGAGTATGTTCCTATATATATAACGGATATACCTAACGGTAAAAGATCGGGCATAAGGTCTAAGCCATATTATTTCAATAGCCGCCTTAAAGTATACCAAGTTTCTTGGATAGTGTACATTCAATGGCAGCCGCCACTACTCTCCCAAAATGACCTTGTTCGGTTTAGGCAGTTGCTATATATTGAATTGCATCACCAAAAAGGGGATTTCATTGAGCTGAATACCAAACCGGTAAAGATCGTAATAAAACCACACAAAAAACTATATATATATATATATATATATATATATATACTTTAACTTAGATTATTTATGCATGCACAAGTTTAATTTTAATAAATAAAAATTGATATTAAAGCCTTGTGTTTGTTAATTCTTAAAATATAAATCTTTAATATTTTGAAGATGATTGAGGACCAAAAAAAAAAACCAATACAAATAGTTAAGTATCGCACATTGATAGTCTATATATAAAGCTGACCAACAAGACCAGCAAATACTATCACAGATTCTTGCGGCCGGCGTACGTTCATATTCGATTTCTGGAAGAGACGACCCGTTCGGCAACGTTCTAAATACATTTGCATATATGGTGATTAATGAGATAATATACAGCTGAAACTTGTCAAGGGTGCCCGACTAATTTAAGTCCCTCACCATCCGAATTCAAGAATAACTTGTATAATGATAATTTACGTTTTTATTCAGCAAACTTGATCTTCTCGTCTCTGCATCGAGGTGCGTGGCAGCATGTTTTAATGTTAGAAACTATCTATGCATCATCAATATGCCCTCTACTTCCATGGATGTCATGGGTATCAAAAGGAATTAGAATTTATAATTTACTTTGATTGTGTTAATATGTTCTTCTTTACAGTCGCCAAAATGTCTCAGCGTTGCGATGCACGAACCGGTTTTCGCAACAGCAAAAAAATCAATTGCATAACTATCGGGCACGCGAGTCAAGTCCAAAGGCCCTGAGATCAGTTAAGGCATTAATCACTGCAATAATAGAAACTCAGCTATGCCGATCTGCATAAATTTTGAAATGGGCTGATTTTAGCACTGTCGAATATCGTGTTTTGAGTCCCTCGGGCAACCCTGCTGCTTTCATAAACATATTAATCCACAACTTGTTTTGTCATCCGATTAGAATAAGTTTGAAGGCCAAAGCCGGTAAAAGAACATTCAAATTTATCGAAATTCAAACATTAAAGTCAATTTGATTTTTGATTAAAAAAAGTTAATGCTTTATGTTTATTTTGTTCAGAATTCACATAATTGGAAACAAATCAATTTCGAATATTTATAATAAGTTTCTTGCATTCTTCATTACTAAGGGAAAAACACAGACACGCAGACTCACACTCACACATACACAGGTACACAGACACACACACACACACACATTCATTCCATCACTTACACTTACACGCCTAGGTATTTGGATATACTCTTCTGCTGTTTGGCATAAACATTATACATGCTATATTATACAAGTTCAACATTCAGATTCATTTCATACACAGATAGGCTAATGGATACATTTAACACTAGACTAAAGCCCCGCTCTAACAAACGTAAAGCTAACCTAAACACGAACGATAACCCCACCAAAAAGCCGACTCGGCTCATTCCGCCTTCAGGGGCTTAACATTGTTGTTATTCAGATCGATATAAGGCTTAAAGTCGCTGGCGTTGTTATTGTTCTTGTTGGATGGCATCGGCATGCAGCCCATGCCGCCGGCAGCACGTAGCGCCGATTGCGCCAGATTGAGACTTGTGCCACCGTTGCGCGCCATTCCATTGCTATCGATGCTCTTGGACTTCTTGTACGTCTTGCGATAGAAATTGCCAAACAGATAGAGGAAGATGATCGTGTTGCCCACAAAGAAGAAAGTCAGCGTCTTGGGCATATTGCATCCCTTGGCGCCCACTGCCAGCATATAGCCAAGGATCAGCACAAACTGGACCAACTGAATGCTTGTCATGTACTTCTTCCACCACAAATATTTCTGGTACTGTGGTCCCATGGCGGCGACCATGTAATAGAAGTACATAATGATATGCACACCAGAGTTCAGAATGCCAATGATTACTCCCTGCTCGCCGGGCGCATATTTCAGATAACCCCAGGAGAACAGCACTGTGATCGTATGATGATAGACATGCAGGAACGACACCTGATTGTTCTTCTTGCGCAGCACAAAGAATGTGGTGTCCAACAGATCAATGATCTTCGAGAAGAAGTAGAACCATGCGCCCGAATACAGTGCCAGAGTCTGTTCGCGTGTCCGATTTATTTCGCATTTCTTTGAGAGTATCGAGGCCATGACATTGCTTTCCCGGAACGACTGTGGAATGGAGAAAAGAGAGTTCGAATAAAATGATTGGTAATTGGTATTAATATTGAGCGAATGTCACGTGTACTCACCGTGCGACACATCCAAATGGAGTAGCAGACCTGGAAGGCATTGTAAAAGACCATAATACGCTTCAGATCCATTGGCTTGCGATTCTTCATAAACTCGGGTCCAATCTTGAGTACAAATGCCAGATAAACTAATACCACAGCTACCACAGGCGCCGGCGAGCTCATCAAAAACCAACTGTCCACAGTATCATCTTAATAAAATGACAAAATTGTTCAATTAGCAACTTTTGCACCAATTATGGCCAATTGAATACTTACCCACACCCTTGGCCAGGCCGGAGATGCGCTCCTCGACTATCTTCATGTAGGTCGTCATATTGTTTAGCTATACGACTGCAATGAGACAAGACCGCAACACATTAGAAATTTCGTTAGCTCAAATTTTATAATTTGGGCGCTTGACGTCCGCACAGCGCGTTGCCAAATTATTGAATGAAATATTCTAAGCTGACGGCTGCTTAGAAAAGCCGTTCACGTTCGAGCCGAGCTAGAGCTGGAACCAGAAACCGAGACGGCAACAGAGACGGTAACGGAGACGGAGAAACCGAGTGCTTGATTATGCTCGCCATGAGAGCGTGCGCGGCATATCGAATGCAGTTAAGCACGCAAATATTTTATTTAATGAAAAGAAAATGCTTATCCCATATGCAAAGGGGCCGTCGCTGCTGCGGCTGCGGCGCAAGCCCAAAAACTGAATGACGATAAATGACGCCAGCAACTGAGGCTGAGGCTGAGGCTGTGGCTGAGGCTGAGGCTGAAGCTGGGCTGAGGTTGAGACTGAGACTGAGGCTGTAACTGGCTACTGGCTACAATATTAGTACTATCTCGCCAATGATTCAATACTTTGATTAATCAATGTCAAGTGCCAACTCAGTGCAGCCCGTTTGCCAGTCATCGACAAATGTAAAAACAAGAATTTTAATAATAAAATATTAAAAAAAAAATATCAATTATAATATGAGAGTTCGCATAATTAAAATGAGCGGCTTCTTGGTGGCTTTAGTGGTTCTGTGGCTGCGGCCACAAGTTAGTGGCTTAAAGACCTGATCAAGTTGAGCGTGTGTGTATCTGTGTGTGGCTGTGTGTGTGCTTGTGTGTACTGGTGTCTCATATGTAGTGGTATTCTTCAAGGCTGGATTTGAATTATTCGCCTTGGCACTAAAGTCGTATAACTTTGGCATTCATCTTGCAGATGCCAAGTGTATCTTCATATGTGTGTTTTCGTATTCAAGATGGCGCGAATTCTCTCACACACACACACACATACATGCTGAGGCACACGGATACACAGATACTGAGACACACAAAGTCAATGTTCTACATAGCAACATTTTTGGCGTATTGTGGCTGGCTTATTTAAATACTTATTCATATGTATTTTCCTTTTTGTTATTTAAATTGCACACGGAACAACATTCAGCACATTACGAATATGTAAATATATATGTTTATATATATATATATTTGTTTTCTTATTCGGTGGCTCTGTCTGCATATCAATCTAGCTATCTATTTAACTTAATTTGTTTAGAAAATGCTTAGGAGACATTAATTTTCAATTACTTAACGATTTTTTGGTTGAGCAACGCGTTGCTTAGCTTGAGATCCGTAACAAAGTCCACACTTCCGGTTGGTGGCCTTGCAAGGGCTACTGTAGAATCCAGTATTTTAAAGTTTTGTTTAATGTGCAAGTTGTTTTTTTATTTTGTATTTTTATTTTTTTTTTAATTTCCTGTTCTTGAATGGAATTAGGCCTCCAAAGTGTGGTATTAGTTATTAGTCGATTTTTTAATTGAACTTGATGTAGATAAGCTTGTAAAATTCTATGTAAATTTTCTATAAAAATTGTACGTAATAAAAGAGAAAAGCGTTTAAACGTTCTACACAAAGCCTTCTGAGTAGTACACGAACTATCCGATCAAGAGCTCTGCTCTAATTACAAATTGATATGCAAATTGTCAACAGCCGTGTACATATATAAGTTGGCCAGCACACATGGCGTATGCTTGATATATTTATCTAAAATCTGTGCAAAATTGAAGACTATTACTGTGGCAGCTAAGCAAACACCTGTCACAAACTGATCACCACGAACGTATGATCAGTCAATTACTGACAGTGCAATCTTGACTGTGCCGTGCCACATTTACAGCTTAGCTCCCGATTCCAGGCCCTGTGTTAACTATATAGAGGCGGTGGCGGACGCTGAGTGACGCTGACAAAACCGATTTGTATGCAAAGCGTTGCTTTGGCGAGCTGCTAGCGTCAGAGCCAGAGATTGACACTGGAGACAGGAAAATGAGCTGTGCGGCATTATCACGACCAAAAATGTGACGCCAATTGGCAAACATATAGACAGACAGACATACAGACACATAGGCAGACAGCCAGCCAGTTGGACAGTTGACAGTTTCAGTGACTGACTATGGCTTTGTTCAGTCCCCACTTGCACTTGCCCTTGCCAAGTTTGGGAACAGCGTGCGCACCTTTTGCGCACCTTTTGCTACAGTTTGAAACAGTTTTGTAAGCCAAAGGCCGCTGGCCGAGTGATACCCACAGCTACACACAGATACATATGTGAACATATCTATGTTGTTGTTTAAGCACTTCCGCGTGCCCCGCCCCGCTCGACCGCCTCATTAGCACAAATGAAAAAAGCATATAAGACACATAAATAAATAAATAAATAAATAAATAAATAAAGATATAAACAAATGAAAGCGATAAAGTGAAATATAAAACAGCAGCGCACGCAGCTTAAAATTGATTTGTATGCATAATTGATTTAGCGAATTTTGTAGCCTTAACAGCCTGTATTTGTCTCGTTATTGTTGCTTTGTGTTTAACTATCAAAAAAAAAAACGCAGAGTTGTCAGAATCGAAATTGTTCAATTTTACTAAACCCGTATACGGGGCTCGTCGTGTCCAGACAAAACTTCCCCAAAATGCTTCACATCAAATTGATGCGGGGAAATCACTTCAAAGCCAATCCACAGCTGACAAAACAATTTTGTATTTTTTTTGCAAATTTCGAGCACTGAACCCACTTCAGACACGCTTTGTCTGATTCTTCTTCTTATTCGCATACATATTTATCGCTTAGAATTATGGATTTGTTGTTTTCACACGCTTTTAATGACTCATTTAATGATCTTTAATGCAGCTGCATCTGCAACTTATAATGTTGCACCTAAATAATTGCACTGGGCAAATAATTACACGGCTCTGGCGTCAAATGCGTTTTTGTGTATTTTTTCCCTCTAATTTTTCACACAAATTGTCAAGTGCCGTGTGACCCCCAAGCACTGGCCACAAAGTGCAAGCAACACCATCAACCGTACTAGATCTCTATTCCCATCCCTCCACCACTCCCCCACTGTCCGCCAACGGACGGATGTTTAGTGAGTGCACACATTGAAGCGGAATTTTCACACGTACACCAGTCATGTGAAATCAAACAATCATTCATAGACAATACGCAGATAGATGAGCTTTTGGACTGGGCTGACTGGAAAACTCGCACTTGAAAATAATAAAAATTAGATGTTGGCATTTAAAATACATTAAGTACATTTTATATGTATAAAAATAAACAAATAAGCAAGCACTTAAGCATATTTAAACAAGAAGTCCTGGCTTAGTGTTAACTCTATTTAAACACATATTTCTTGGCAAAAATAATAGTTATAATAAAAAGAATTCGCTTCGATTTGAAAATATAACGCAGAAAACCTGTACAATATTCTTAAAATTGTTGTTATTATTTGCATTTAATCAAATTTACGATTTCCAGGCCTTGGTTTTAAACAAATGACGTATACAAATATTAAACAATATTGTCTGTTCAAGCATATATGCATATATCTATGTGTACTGTTAAGAATATATTGCGCTCAAATAAACATTAAACCTCAAATTTTGGCATAACCGATTATAAACTTTATTAATGGTTTTTTTTTTAATCGGCTTTAATAAATTATTTCCTTATTATACTTTTTTATGGTCTTTGGTTATGTTTGGCATTCTGTGTGTACTTATGTGTGGCAAGTGCTATCCATTTGAATAAGTTTTAGTGTATTCGTCTGCATGTCTGTTATGTATTGGCATGCATTCAGTTGAGTGTAAGGTGCTGAAGTTAGTCATTTATTGTGTAAGCTGTTAGGGTTAGTAAGTTAAGGCTTAGCTTCGAATTAATTTGACAACCAGAGCAAAGTGGTACTGACACACTGTGTTGGCAAGAGGCAGACACATTGCGATGGACAGGTAAACTGGTAATTGCTGGTTCGTCTTTGCCACAGAGTCGGTATTTAATTACTTGGTAAATATTTGCAGCGATAATTGGGTTTCGGTTTTTTTTTTTTCTCAGCATTTCGTTGCTTTTGAAGACGCTTTGGTATTCAGGTGAACACATATACATATTGCACGTGCTCCATACTCGAAAGTAGTGCTCCATTTCTGAGGCTTAACCATGAAAGTATATGGAGTGGAGAAGGGTGAAGCGGGGTTTTTTTTTGGGAGGGGGGGAGTGGAGAGTGGAGTTTGGAGCTGTTAGATGTGATCTTCGTGCAGCTGCAATGCAATCGCCATTTATTGATTACAAGTTCAAAGCGTTTAGTTTTGGCCGCCTCAAAGTTGTCAGTCTTGGCCTTGGCTGACTGGCAAAATTGCAGCCAGTAAGCAGTGGCAAGCAAACAGCTCTTTAGACAAGTTTTCAGCACTTAATCTATGTGCATTGCATTGGGTTAAGGTCAACTAGAAAAATTAGACAGACAACGCCAAAGCGCCAAGCACCAATAAAGAAGCATTAGCAAAGAGCAACAAATGGCAACTAACGAAATTTAGTCAAGGTTGCCAAGCTGAGCTGAGCTGAGCTAAGCTCGAGTTTAGCTCAGCCGAACTTAGTGCAAAAATTATCAACAAACTATGCCTAGTTGCTGAGACTGTCGCGATTTAGCAGCCAGCTTTGAACTTTGGCCCAGCCCAGCTTGAGTTTCGTCAAGTTGCCACAAAAACAAAAAAGGAAGATTAGACTCGCTTGTCCAATACTATTTTATGCACTTGTGGCATCCAACGACTGCACACATTTTGGTTATATGGTTATTGAATCACTTCCGTACCTGTCTTTGTATTTTGTAACTGCCTGTGATGATCCCGTTGCACACAAACACCACACACACTCGCACGCACACACACACACACAGAAGTACACGCACTGAACGACGTTGCAATGAGCTGCTGTCACACTCACACTGGGAGGAGAGCTGGGAGTTGGATTCGTGAAAACCGTCAACGGCGAACGCCAAGAAGACACTAATACGGAGTTCTCAACGCTCGGCTGTATAAATAAACAAAATATGCTCGTTCATCCGCCGGCCGAAGCAAGCGTTGACGTCGCCGCCAACGTCGACAGCGGCCAGAACGCGGAGCCAGGCCCAGAGACGCAAACACACACAAACACACACACACAGTTGTAAGTTTTGGGTTTTCGACTTGGTCTTGGTCAATCCATTTGCCGTTTCTTTGTTATATTCAGCTTGATGCAAGTTGAAGTCGTGTTAATTGCCGATTTGAGTTACGGAGGGTTTTGATTTTCGCTTATTTTATTTTTTATTTTTTGTTTTGTTTTATTTTCGGTGGTAAGGTCAAGTTTGAAGCAATTAATGCGAATGCTAAGCGGGCCAAAAGAAAGCAAAACTGTTATTTTATATATTTGCCAATTTGTGCAAAAATTGTTCATTTATTTTTAAAAAGTTTATTAACCCCTTTAATATCACGCGCAGCTCTCGGAGATGTTATCGCCCGGTAAATCCAAAAATAAAAGTCCGTCAATACAAAATCAAATCAACAACTACTCAAAATAGCTTCTCTTTTTTTTTTTTTTTTTTGCCAAATTGATTTATTATCATTGCGGCAGCAAATTGTAATGTCAGCGAGTAGTGAGCCGCAATGACAGCTCTTATGACATGTCGCGGCTCCATTACGATATTTTACGAGAAATTACGCAAATCGTCCAGTTAACACATTTCGCTTATGTGAAAAATAGCCCATCAATCAGTGGAGGCTTTCCCAAACCAAACTGTTAAGTACATGATTCAATATTTGCTCTGGAGCAAATAGGTAATTCAACTGTCTGAATAGCGGTTTAGTACACTTCCGGGTCTCGCATTTAAAAGAAACAAAAATACTTGTTTTAAATCGATTTGCATTTATGTGCATATTTAGCATGGGCTATCGTCAGTTTCAGTTTCGCGTGTCTTTAAATTAGTGATTCTCTTATGTGCGGCGATGATTAAAGCCTTGAACTTCAAATTAATACTGTCAACTAGAAATATAATGAAGTTTACCGCTAAGAGCAACTAATACGTGTATAAAGGCAGCCTTACCAGCTCCTTGGCCGAGATATCGCCGATGTGTGCTTATCAGAACAGTGCCTTGGCTTTGGCAAAACATTGACCTGGTTTGGTTGCCTATCCAAAAAATGTGGAAGTAATCACGTAATGAAGTAATATTTCAATCATTTGTGAAAGCATTTAGCTTAAAGGCGTATTACGCAACCCCTTTACAGCTTATAAATGCAGCTATTCATTATATTTATCCATTTTGTCTCATTTGAGATCCACGGTTAAACATTTTAACGCCCATAGATACAAAGCGCGTTGTTGTTGTTTTTGAAAATTTCAAATTCTGGCACTTGTTGCAAGTGTTGTAAAAGAAATTAAAAAAAATAGTTAATTCATTGTTGTTTTTGGAATTCCAGTACTTGCTGCTAGTGCTGTAAAAGAAATACAAAAAATAGTTAATTCAGCTCAACTTCTTATTGTTGTTTTTGAAAATTTCAAATTGTAGCACTTACTGCAAGTGTACGACAGGAAATATGGAAAATAGTTTATTGGGCTAAAAACAGCTGACTTCAAATGTATCTGACAATTTGACAGACAATTGAATTAACTTATTTAAAGGTAAGTATAATGGTATTTAAGATGCACTATAAACCAATTCAAATCTTTAAACATTTAAAATTAAACTTAAACAACATTGTTTGAAACTAGAAGCTCCCGAACTCAACAGTATTCATAAAATCCAAAATATATATGTTGTACACTTGAATAGAAAGAATTTTATTTTCAATATCCATAACAATTTGTAAGACCTTGACAAACATAAAGAAGAACAATGCTGCTTTCGCCCTTGATTAGGCTACAATGTGCATGTAGACTTCAGCTGTAGATTATATAATGTTAGGACCTTATATAGAGGATCTATAAATATTAAAGCGTGGACATTTGGTATATAGAAAACATTTAAAATAATATTTAAATAATATTAAAGAACATAGAGGTCAATGCAACATCTTATTGAATATAATACATATTATTAGCAAAGAAACACAAATCTATTTTTGGTATTTAATAACATTGTTGTATTCAAATTCAAATCTAGTAGGCAAATTTGGTATTTGAAGTAAGTATTTTGCTATTTGGTATTTTTCATTCGATAACGATATCATTTCTCACAACTGCGCTGCAAAAGTATTATTGATTGGAAAGAAGAAGAAGAGCAGCAAAAGAAAGGCGCAGCAAGCAAAAAGTACGCTATTTAAATCAAGTTCTGTCGCTAATTTTATTTTGATGTGCTGATATTGATGTTTTGCACATTAATACTTAATCAACATATTTTGCATTGTATATCGTGAACTCGGCTGTCCAGTTGCACACATATACGAAACAGAAATTACGGCGACCCAGCCGATAAAATTGTGCCGAATACCAAAAGAAAAAAAATATAAAAAATCAACAATAACCAAAAAACAATAACTTCAGCCATGACCAATTTGGAAAAGCAACACGAGATGGTGAAGCGGAGCCTTGTCCAATTTGTAAGTGCGCACATTCCAGGTGCCGATTTCAGCGTAGTCGATGAGATTGTCCTCTCCTACATCATATCTATACTGGAGGAGGCGTCCCAGGATCCGTGCTTTGATGTTGAGGGCTTTGTTGAGATGATGGGTGCCTACTTTGAGGAGTTCTCCACGATCGATCAGGGCGTCATTTGCGAATGGATTTACAAGCTGGCCAACGAGCTAACTGATATGGAAAAGAACCAAGGCAACCACAGTGCGGTCAATTTATCGCTCCAGTAAGCCATGACCTATTTGATTGTTTGAATGTGCATTTTAACATTCTAACTGAATGTGTTTTGCAGCGCTTTGAGCCTCTCAAGCCTTATGCCAGAGTCCAAGTTGCGTGCACGCAACTCGTCCATTTCCGAGAAGGATGAAATATCCTCGAACAACAGCAGCAGCAGCGGCGGCGGCGGCTGCAGCAGCAAGCGATCCCAACACTTGTCGGAGACCAGCGATGGCGGGTCCACTGATAGCTCCAGCTCCACTTGCGAATACTTTTTTGATGAAGCCGAAGTGCTGCAGGAGATGTTTCCCGACACGGCTTACGTTGAGGTCAGTCCGTAGTATAAATATTTTAGAAAGCATTTCGAGCATCAAATTTATTAGCAATCTGAACTTTAGCTAGAACTGTGTTGAGTTTTTGGTAATTATAACGAAAATTTCTTTTGAACAGGAGATAATAGATCACATGAATAACAACTATAAAAATCTTTTTTACAATAACTATAAGCAATTAAATATTCTTGCAGATAAAACATTGCATTGCCATTTCGAAGGGCGACATCGATGGGGCCACTCAGATATTGTTGCATCGCCAGGAAACTAACCAGAGTCTCACCGACAAGTCCTATACTGTGGGCATGCGGAAGAACATCGTTGTTGATGACAATGAGCTTAAGAATCGCATAATAGCTAGGTAAATCCCTTGATCGAACTAACTGAAAGACTTTTAATGCAAATACTCTTTATAGGTACTCGTATGTGGACAAGAATGCCACCCAGCGTGAGTATAAGCCGGTGGTGCCCAAAATGGAGCCGCGCAAACTTGTGCGGTATCGGGATAATAAGATTGTATCGCTTAAGGGGGAGCGCTACACGGAAGTCAAGCGTGACGAAGATGCTGAGTTAAAAAAACCCAAGAAGCAGATTCAACCGTAACTAAAGATGAACCAAACCCACAAGTATTTTATCAAGAAGCAACTTAACCCACAACCACCTAACAATTCCGCACCAACGACACCTAGACTTGATCGATGCAGCAGCAGACAACGCGATAAGAAAGTTTTTGAGCACAATTTATGCACAGAGCTGCATATGCGTGTGATCAAAATCAATCCAAGAATCGCTCCCAGCTCAACCAAAATCCCCCGCCTGGCCTTAGCGCCAGTTGTAGCCATGCTTAGCCAACGTTTAGATGCTTCCTTGCCAATAGCAACACAACACGAATCTGAAGATACTGGAGACGAGCAACAAATGCCGAACAGAACAGCAGCCGCAGCGAATAACCCATTAATATTAATCAAGGAATCCCCATGTGAGTTGACTGGCAGTTTGTTGTTGCTGTTGTTAATTTGCTTTGCTGGTTATTGTACGCCACGAATTTTTTATCATAATCAAATTGTGGACATGGACACAAAGACTTTACATACCAAATTAGTTAATAGTTATGTTTTAGGTATCGATTTTGCATTTTTTTCTGTTTGCCCCGCCCCGGGCATTGTCATCAACCACTACTTATGAGTTCCGATTCGGTGACAAGGATGCGGCCCCAGAACGTTCTGGGCTGCTGACTGTCGCTCATGACACCGATTGTCGTCGCGCCTAAAACGTGTGGATGACAATTCTTAGTTCCTTATGCCACAAATTGCGGTTAAAATCGAATTGAAAACTGATTTGTGACACATTGTGTGACCTGAACTGCCAGGAAATTTGCTCGCTTGTAAATCTCGAACGCATCAACAACAGCATAATGCAAATTCTAGCCGTGTGCTCTCCACAGAAAGGCGCGCGACTCTCAACACGAATTTGGAGCTCAAAATAGACTTATTTAGATGATTTTTAGGTATTCGAATTGAAGTGTTTTGTATGTGTGCGTTTTTAAAACGCAGCTGTACAATGACTTGCCATAAGAATTATGTTAAAGTTCTCATATTGTTTTTACTGTGTAAAACTTTACTTTTATTATTTATATATTGTTTTGTTTTTTGGTTAAAGCAAACTAGCAACAATAACCACAAATGCCATGCAACAAAAAAAAACTAGTCCTCATCGTCCTGAAAAAAAACCTTTTACCAAAGCGGCTGCTGCTCGGAAGGACACAGCAATATTATAAACATATTCAACGTATAAAACTAATCGATAATAATCAACTTTAATATAACCTTATCTTAGCAAGCTTCATTGTAATTCCTACAAATGTTAAAGGCCCAGCGCAATTCATTTTTAAGATTTAAGTCTCAGTATATCATTCAACGCATTTTTTGCATTGCATTAATTAATTGCTTTTTAATCGTTAATTGATTTCGATAATTTTGTAAGTGTTCGTTCCCGCAACCACCGCTGTATTTATATTCAGCCAATTGATTACAAGTTTTTAAGTTTATGCTTAAGCGTATCACTGACTAATCGGTATTTATGTATACATTTATTTATGTATTAATTATGTATTTCGTTGGTTTCGGTTTTGATATTATGCAAAAATTTTCTCGTATTTTAGTTTTATATATTATTTTTGTGATATTAGCGTAACAAATTGATTACAACAAAAAGGCAAAACTCGAATTAAACTTTTGAAATTTAATAAATATATTATATTGTATCCAAGAAAATATTTAATATCAATTTCAATTGGAGCGCGCATGTCAACCTTTTACTGCTGCGTTGGTCACACAGCCAAACTTTGCTGTCGCTTTCTATATGTGGCCGGTCTGGCAACTTTGTTCTTGGGTCAAGATGGCGGCTGTCGCATAGAGCGTTTTTCGCATATAAAATTTATAAGGAAGAAAAACGCAAATTGAATGTCAAAATGACTACAATTGCGGATTTGTTCACCAAATACAATTGCACAAATTGCCAGGACGATATCCAAGGCATACGTGTACATTGTGCCGAGTGCGAAAATTTCGATCTCTGCTTACAAGTAAGTATAAGAACTTGTATTCGCATGCAAGTGTGTGTGAGCGTGTAAATGTGTGTGTGTGCCTGTATAGCACCACACCTAATACGCACACACACACACACACACAGGCACATGGCGAATAACTGCTGGTATAAGTGCTGACGCATCTAAAACTGTACATATAGCCGGGTGATTTCACAATGTTGTTTTCAAACAGCTGTTTTCTGTGTACGCAGCAAATATCTATGGCTATGTATGCATGTGTGTATATATTTCTGTGTATTACTTTTTAGTGCTTTGCGACTGGCGCTGAGATTGGCGCCCATCAAAACAATCATGCATATCAGTTTATGGACACCGGCACTGCAATATTGAGCGTATTCCGTGGCAAGGGTGCGTGGACGGCACGTGAAGAGATTCGCTTGCTGGACGCTATCGAGCAATATGGCTTCGGAAATTGGGAGGACATCAGCAAGCATATTGAAACTAAGTCAGCCGAGGATGCCAAGGAAGAGTATGTAAATAAGTTTGTCAACGGCACCATTGGCAAGAAAACTTGGGAGCCGGCACAGACGCAGAGGCCAACGCTCGTCGATCACACAGAAGATGATACGGGGCCATTGGGCGCCAATGCGCTTGCCCGCCTGCCACCCCTCGAGATAAGTAGTGAGGAGGCGCTGCAATTGGGCTACATGCCCAATCGGGATAGTTTTGAGCGTGAATACGATCCCACAGCCGAACAGTTGATCTCGACGATAACATTTAGCTCCGATGATGTGGAAGTCGATGTCATGTTAAAGCTGGCTCACGTTGACATTTATATGCGCCGATTGCGTGAGCGTGCAAGGCGGAAACGAATGGTGCGCGATTATCAATTGGTATCGAATTTTTTTCGCAATCGCAACTATGCCTTGCATCCGGGTCTGAGCAAAGAGCAGAAAGAGTTCCGTGATCGCTTTCGTGTCTTTGCCCAGTTCTACTCCAGCAACGAGTATGAACGGCTGCTTGGCTCGTTGGAGCGCGAGAAGGAGCTGCGTATTAGACAATCGGAGCTGTATCGCTATCGCTACAATGGCATCACCAAAATAGATGACTGTCGTCACTTTGAGCAGCACGCCGCAATGGCCACACATCGTCCCACGGGACCCTATGGGCATGGCAAGACCGTAAGTGTTCCATGTTACTTAGTATTTTTGTTTTTTTTTTTTACCCGATTTGTGAATGCATGGCGAGTTGAATATCGTGTCTGCTAGAGCTGGAAAACTCTTCGAAAGGGTCAACGGTTTGAAGGTTGATCATTGCCCTTGGTTGGTTTTCCGGTTCTATGTTCAGCTATGTAATCTAGAAGAAGATGAATCAAAGAATCGCAGCGCAATGAAATGAAAAACAACTTCCACTTGTCTCTTGTCTACTTTCACGATATTCAGCTCCTTTGTATTATCAACGCGCCCAACTCGCAGCGTTTGAATGGTTGTATAAGACAATGTTTAACCACAGGACAACACACAGCCCTACAGTGGAAGTCTTCGGCCGCTAAGCTCTTCCTTGCACTCCCCTCAGGCGAACCCCAGAAAGGCGTAAGTTTGATTTTTTGTTACTTTGGAGTGAATTTGATCAAATTTAATTGACGTCGATGTTTTCATAGCGAACCGTTAAGCGGCGCCGAGGCAAGTTCAAGTTCAATCGCACCAAGAAGCATGCACCACATCGGCGACCCGATCTCCTCCGGCGCATTATTGCCCAACAGAAGTTACTTGGATAGCTATCGGACATCGTCGGCAGCTACGACAACGATGCTGCCGACGACAATGGCGTCGGGGATGGCGACGGCAACGACGACGTCGATGGGAATGGGGATGGGACTGGGACTGGGAATGGGGATGGGCATGGACATGGGCATGGGAGTGGGCATGACGGTGGACTCGGCAATGACAGCGACGGGAGCGACTTCCACGGCTACGACGACGTTAGCGAACCAGGCGAACCTGCCACAGTCGACAGCAGCAGCAGCAGCAGCAGTGAAGGGCAACCAACAACTTCAGCAGCTGCTGCCAGGCGTCGTCAAGTCGGAGCTGCAACTAAGCGAGGCCGCCGCCGCCGCCGGCAGCCTTAGTTTGCCATTAGATGAGCAGACGGAGAAACAGCATCATAGCATGAGCTTTATACTGCGCACCCAGCTGGACGAACTGAAGCGACTGCCAGAGCCGCTGGGCAGCAATTTGCTCAGTCACAATGAGATGGATGTGTGCAAGAAGCATAATATAACGCCCACAACATATTTATCCTTAAAGACGGTCTGCCTGAGCGGTGCTCCATCTCTGGGCAGTCCCATGGAAATCTCGCTGCGCAAGTTCTTCATCAGTTGCGGCTGGCTGAGCCAATAAACAGGATGATATCGTTGTTATTATTATGTTTTTTTGCCGTTTGCGTTACACACTCCAAAAAGAAAACGCGATTTCCTGCATCAAAGACTTTAATCTTTATTTTAATTTATAGTTATATAGGTAAAATGTATGATAATAGATCGCCCTAAACAATTTTGTATACTGTTTTGTACAGCTAATTTCGTTGTTGCCATCATTTCAGGAAGGTAAACTACAAAACTTCAATTTGTATGTATTTCAATTTCACTTGTATCAAGTCAGGATGACACACAAAATTTTTATTTCCAGCGTGTATTAAAACCCCCAAATTCAGTTCGGGAAAACATGAAAATTGTTTACTTAATATAATTAAAATTTTCTTTTTAAACGAATGTACACTATATATGTAAAATGTGAGGGAAAGAAGAGAGCTCATTCAAAGTTCAAATCCAGATCATTTGTACGGTTCGCGTATGCTTAAGTAGGGCATGGGGCATCTAAACAATTGTATGTAGCCGCCAAAACGTATGTGAGTATTTAATGAAGTGTATATGAATCAATAAATGTAGTGAATAATAATACAACAGCGATTTCCTCAACTTAAATGGATTGCATACATGCTAATATACCATAAACCTACAAAAATATATGTAATATGTATGTGTGTATCTGCTATATGTATGTTTTCTGTGTGTAAAAATGTATCGATTTTAAACTCAAATTAGGCTAGGCAACGTTGAACGCTGCATTTCGTGCAGCAACATCTGCGACGACATCACTTGTTCCTCAGGAAATAACGGTATAGGGTATTCTTTTGTGTGCCATTGTTGCTGGTGGTGCTGGTGGATGTATTGCTGCTGCTGACACCACTGCTGCTGGTGGCGGTTGCCTGCTCTACCACATTGGCAGCTGCCACCACCAGCGAACTGCGCCACGAGGCAATCAATTCGTTCTGCAGTTCAACGGGCAGCTCCTGGAATACCTGCGCATCCACACCGGCGGGGCAGGCAATGTGCGAGAGTGAATCACCGGTGGCGGCCTCTGTGCTCGCCGCACTCATCACACTGGGCGCTGGGGAGGCCACCTGTAGTGCTGGCACAATGGTGGGCGTGGTCGGCGCACTGGCCGTATCATCCATGGGCGAGGGCAGTGGTGATGAGGCCGTCGAACTGGCATTGGAGCTGATGCGACTGGCCGTGCGCGTGGGTATGAAACGAAGGCTGCCATCGATGCGATTCAGCAGCGTGTTGGGCGGCTGAACGGTGCGAAAGCGTGGCGCTGATGCGGCTGATGCAGCTGCACCTGTTGCTCCGGATGTGGACGGTGTTGTGCAGGCGGCAATTGGACTCATGGGGAAATCCTTTTCGCTGTCGCGTGAATTGAGTCGCAGATCGCATACACGCAGTTTGCTGGGCGAGGCCACATCGGCGGCCGTGTCCGCCACGTCGACAGCCAAGCGACTGCGCTTGGAGACCAGGACACGACCAATGCGACTCTTCTTTGGGGATGGCTCTACTTCCGTTTCGGAGAAATCACTAAAGTCCGAATTGGTGGCCGCCGATTCGGAGCCATTGTCCAGCAGCATGGGCACCGGTGACGCAGTCGTCGCACGGCGTCTATAAAACTGATCACTTGGCTTGAATGTGGTCGGGGAGGAGCGAAAAGCGGCTTCATCGCCGCTCGTTGTCGTCGTGCCACTGTCCGACGTGGGACTGGTGAGACTCGTATTTGTGAGTGATGTGATCGATTGGACCTCCAGATCGGCCTTCTTAATGAGAAAGTTCGCAATCGATGAGGAGCCCACTTTGCGTTCCTGAAACTTGGAAAAGGCCAAGCCAATCAGTGTGATGTTGAACGGTTTGCTCAGATCCACAATGCGCTCAAACAGACGCATTATGATCTTGAGCAGCTTGTCCAAAGCACCATCCGCCAGCTGCACCTTACAGACGCCCGTCTCGCCGGCGCACACCGATGTCCGGAACAGGGAGGGCAGAATGTTGGCCTGCTTCGTCTCGCGGTGACTACTCTTTTTCTGCATATCGAATTTGCGGAGCACCACCTTAATGGCAATGGGTATGCGTCCGTCTTCAGCCACCTGTTGAGAGAAAGTAAAATGATAAAAAGTCTGTGATTGGAAACGATTGGATAACGTTTTAAATAAGTTCCTTTCCTAAAAAAAGGAAATTCGTTTTTACTTTTAAAGTTTGTTAAAAATACAAATTGTAAAATCTGTTTTTTTTTATAAAAGTAAAACATTAAATACGAAGGAATATAAATAAATATAAAGAATGTTGAGCTTTCAGCTTACCTGCTCCATGAGTCGCTTGAGCAGCATGCGGAACTTGTCCGTGACATCCGTGTGCACCGAGATGGTCTTGCAGGCATCCTCGACGCTGATGGACTTCGGTTTGCCTGTCACCCGCACCGAACTGGCATCCCGGCCCAGCGCCAAATCGCGCAGCTTGGTGGCCGTCTCAAAGCCGAACTTCTTGCGCATGAATTCCATGTCGCACTGCTGCAATTGCTCCACGCTGACAACGCCCGCTTCCAGCAGCAGTGTTTGCGTCTTCTGGCCAATGCCCGTGATGCTATGCAAACCGCCCAGCTCCCGCATGAATTGCTCCGCATAGGTGGACACCAGCACCGTCTGCTGATTGGGCTTGTGGCGACTGCCGACGAGTTTGGCCAACAGTTTATTGTACGCAATGCCCGCACAACAGGTGATGCCCAGCCGCAGATGCAGCTCGTCGCGAATCTCCTGCGCAATGCGAGTGCCAATGGCGAGGCGCTGGGCACAGCCACAGCTGCAGGCAGTCAACGGAGTGCCGTCCGCCGGATAAACGTGTCCAATCGCTGGCTTTCTCTGTGCATCAGCGGCATGCGCCTGCCGCAAATCCACCAGCGCCGTCACATCCATGTAGTTCTCATCGAAGCCGAGCTTCTCCACGTCGGGCGTGTAGTTCAGCAACAGATCGAAGATTTTTTGTGACATCAGGCGATACGGGACCAAATCCTCACCAAGCACCAACACAAGATCGGGGCACAGGATTTGGGCTTCCGTCACAAGCATCAGCTTGGTAACGCCCCGCGCCCGCGCCACATAGTTGCAGGTGACCACAAAGTTCTTTTGCTGCACGGCCAGCGGGCGGGTGCGCAACGTGGGATCCCGCAACTCCTCCACCTGGGCATAGTAGTAGTCCATGTCCAGGTGTATTATCGTGCGCTGATGTGGCTCGCTCTTATTTAGCACGCTGGCGAAATCCATCTTGGCGCCTGCCAATAACAAAACAAAGAAAACAAAGCTGAGTATTTATTGCAAATATTTCTACTGCAATTTCACAAATTCCTAACAAATGTTCATTTCAAGCTGCCGAAGATTAGATGCTTTATTCATATACATTTTTCAAAGATTTTAAGAGGCTCTGACTCGGAAAAGACGATCGCAATTGCTCAGATTATTGCAAGTATTTAGATAATTCCAATGTCAACTTTATATATATATATACTTTTTTTATAACGGTGACTGTGATAACAAAAGTTAAAGTTTTATCGCGACCAGTTTAGTTCTTCTGTTCAGATCAGTAATAAAAATATATATTAATAAATATATATATTAATAAATATATATATATCATAAATATATACTTTTTGCACAAGGAGTTGTTACACTAAAAGAAATACCGTCCAGCCGCAAGGGGGTGGGGGGGTGATTTATCACAGCAAAGCAGATCAATGGCAATTATAAAAAAAAAAAACCCGCCGGCTGCACGCAAATCCGCCCGTGACCTTTGAAAAGAACAAAAAAGAAAAAAAAACTAGTGCGGACGCGTCGACTTTATTTCGTCACTGAGCGCTGAGCTGAACAAGCATCGAAGCAGCGCGCGAAACAAAGAGAGAGCGAGCGAGAAGGGGAGAGCTCTCTCTCGCACACGTCTCTAGGCCAGGGGGTGGCGGGCGCAGTTTTTTGTTTGTCTGCGTGAGCAGAGATTATATTATGGTTGGTGTATTTTTTTTTCTTAGCGCGGGGTTTGCCTTGACTTACGTACGATGAGAAATTTTGTAGCTGCTGTTGCTTGGTTCGCGCGCCCCTCACATTGCCGCCCACGTCCACAACAACGTAGCCGACTTTCTAATTAAGCAAGCGAATGCGAAAGATGTACAGTGCACCGGCAGATTGTTTAGTTCGTCAACAATATTGCTGCACATATTGAGCTATTGATACATTGACTACATTCAGTTTGGGGCAGACAGAATGATGACGCACAAATTAAACGGCAAACGAGAGAAAATTGTCGTTCAATTGTTGTTAATCGCTGTTCACGCAACTCACAATTTACCGTTCTGCACGCACACAACACACACACACAATTTATGCATCGCATTTTGTTGTGCTAGCTTGCACATTTGGTATACATTTATTTACCTTTTAATAAACTAAAATCTAATCACTGTGCAACGCATCCACAACAAAACACTTAAAGCTGTATCGAATTGTTTCCGAATGTATTTGCTGCTGCAAGTGCTATCGAGTGATTGCAAATATATCAATTATTTTAATCGATGTTTGAAGTCTTTGCCGATAGTTTGTTGATGTGGCCACTTGACAACTTTTTTCTTTTTTTAGATCTGGCAGCACTGTAACTGCGCATGACGTCACTGTTGCCACAGGCCGTTAAATATTTGAAATGCTGCTGCGCCTATGAAAGTTAATTTTACAAAATATTATCTGCCGCTCAGCATCAGCATGCAAGCAAGCTCATTTATTGTTAATACAACAACGATTTTGTGCTTTAATGATATTCATGAGTTTCGTTTCATTATATTTAACATGATGAAGGCGCATTATGGCGGCTATTTCGGTCAACGCCGAATATGTGGCATAAAACAATGTTGCCACAAGTGGGTGGGCAACGCTCAACGCTCAACGCTCAATGCTTGGGGGCAGCTCTGGTCACGCGCGATGGCGATGTAACAATATGGAGCAGCTTTATGGCTGTTGTTGTTTGTTGTTGTATTGCCTGTGGTGCCGTATGAAATGCGCTTGGAATTTGCCCCAAACAGGCAGCAACAACAACAACAACAACAACTCGATCTCAAACTCCAACTTGAATGTTATGCAGGTTTTTGCCTGCCTTCCTTTGCCGTCCTCGTCCTCGTTTAAGTCTTCGTCCTGTGCGCCTTGTGATAATCGCCCTTTGCTGCTTGACAGGCAAACAATGCTGTGAATTTGATTAAAATCAGGCTGCGTGTGCGTCGCAGTTGTTGTTGTTGTTGCTGTTGTTGCTGTTGCTGTTTTTGTTGCTATTGTTGCTGCCTTTTGGCTGCTACATTTGCTTGATTTTGTGATTTTCTTATTGAAATCTTGTTTGCCACAGCAAGCAATCGAGCCGTGCCGCGGGCGATGCGTTGCACTAATTGTGAAACGCCATAAAAGGCGCGTCCACAGTTCGCCAGCTGCCCAACAGATTTTACTCTTGACCACAAATTAGAAAACTGCAAAATACTATTAAAGAAATTAACAATAAGTTGATCAAATGTGATCATTAAAATGTCATATTTAAATTTAGCATTATTCCAAAGTTAAACATGATAAAAGTCAATTATAGAATTATACAGCCAAATTTGGTAAGTGTTTTTTAATCAATAAAGTCAAAGCTTGAAAATATTCATATTGTCAACTTTGTAATAACGAAATAATAACGAAATTATTATATAAAATTACCAAACAAAAAGCTGGTCAGATCATTAAAAAGTCATATTTAAATGTAACAATATTCAAAAGTACAATCAATTAAAAAAAGTCGATTATATTCCACAGTAATCCAATCAAATCATAGCTGTAATATTTTCATGTTAATAATATTGTCAATTTTGTAAATACCTACTTTAAACAATAACGAAATTATTATATAAACATAGCAAATTATAAATCTGTAAAATGTGATCATTAAAAAGTCACATTTAAATTTAAAATTATGCCAAAGTGATAAACATGATAAATGTCAATTATATAATTAATTATTTAAACGGAATGCGGTAAGTGTTTTTTAATCAATAAAGTCACAGTTGTAAAATGTTCATATTAACAATATTGTCAACTTTATATATAAAACTAACAAACTATAAATTGCGAAAATGCGATCATTAAAATGATCATATTTTAATGGAACAATATTCCAATCAAAACAATCCATTAAAATAGTTGATTAGGTCGCAGTTGCAATTTGTTTATGTTAATCATATTCTGAAGTTTGTAAAAACAAAAACACTTTTACAAACTGGAGCTGGAAGCAAAACTGGCGAACCCAAACTTTGCTTGGCAAATTAACAATGTGAAATAAAAATAACAAAAAATAACAAAGCTAATTAGTTTCAACTGAGGGGTTATTTAAACGAATCGCAATCATAATTAGCTGCATACATATATAAATATAAATATATATATATATTTGTATATATATATATGTGTGTTAAGTGTGGTCAAACTTTAAGCAGGATCAGCCACACGGCGAAACGAAAAAACGGATGTTCTTGCGCGGCTCCGGCTCCAGCTCCGGCAGCCGGTGCTTTTCTCTTCTTTTTGTTTTTTTTTTTTGGGTGGTGTGTGAAAATCGTACCGAGCTGCGTGTGTGTGTGTGTGTGTGTGTGCGCGCGGGGCAGCAAAATGTTAATAAATCTTATTTTTATCATTTGGCTATAAATACTGAATTTTTAGCTCCGGCCATGCTCAATTTATGACCATTATTTATGTCGGAAAAGCGAAAACCTCAAACATGTTGCCACAGTTTTTGCGCCGTTGCCGTTGCCGTTTGCCATTTGGCCATTTGGCCATTGCTGCTGCTGCTCCTGCTGCTGCTGCTGCTCCTTTCATGGCCTGCATTGTGCATCCATTTTGTTGACCAAAGAAAAGATACACAAACATATTATTGCAATTTTCCAGTTGCTCCGCCCACGCGCTACGTGAAAGAATACAAAAAAAGAAATAAAAAAAAATATGAAAAATTGCATTACACCTTAATAAACACCTCACCTGGCAGAGTAACAATAGCAACAACCACAGCAACAACAACAGCAACAACCACAGCAACAACTGCGCCAACATCAGCGCTGTTGTATCTAAAATCGTTGCTGCTGCAGCTGCAGCAATGTGCCCTGCAGTGGCCATAATGAAGATTGTCTGAGGTTTAAGTGGACGCACGTTTGTTGCAGCTTGTCCTGCCTCGTTTTTGCTGCCTGGCTCCAACTTGGCTTGGAGATGGATGGGGCTCTCAGGTAACTGATCGCGATCATTTAGGCGCTCATCTGGCATAAAATTGTTAGAAACGCCCCGTGTGTAGGCCATACTGCTGCTGCTGCTGCCCCGCGGGGTTGGAGGGGGTATGCCTTGCCTTGGCTTTCCTCCTCCTCCTCCTCGTCCTTACCTCCCCTTTGACCATCATACGCCCACTTGTTCTGAGGCCCCCCTCGGGCCGCATAACGTTTTTGCCCTTAAATTAATAAATTAATGCGATCGTGCACAGCGCACAGCTCCGTCCAACAACAAATCCACAACCAGCAATCCGCAATCCACATGACCAGCCAGCAATGAGCAAAGAGAGAGCAAAGCGCTTGACTGCATTTTTCAAAAATCTTAATAAAAACTCGCCGTTTAAGTTCATCAAAAGCTCAATGGAGATTTTGTCATAAATTTGTGTGCAGTTAGCAATTGGCAGACGAGGGCACCAAAGCGTCTTATATACCCTATACTCATTACATATGATTCGAAGGGTATTATAAGATTTACCCATAAACTTGGCAACTATTAATGAGGAAGCCCAGCTAAGTTTATATATAGCTTTCTTGATCTGTGTTGATATCTATTAATATCAGTGAGTCTTCTTAAATCCAGTTTAAAATTAATAAATTTTCATTTAAACTTACTTTTTTTTATTATTATATCGAAATTAAATATTAAATAAAAAATTGTATTTTGAAATTAAAGTTTAGAGAATTATGGAGGCATCAAAGATGATTCTAAGTGGCTCATTCCAGCATAGCCAGACTCAATCTAAGAATATATTCTTAGTTTCAGTTTGGAGGGTATCTAGCTAGTCGCTCACTCCCGACTAGATCACACTTAATTGTTGTTGTTCATCGTGTTGTTGTTGTCGTCATCGTCGTTGTCGTGATCTTAAGGTGGGTGTTGCTAAGTGCCCGATGCTGCAGACGCAATGGCTGGCCAGGTTGAGGCTGAGCATGGCTTGGTTTTGGTTTTTGGATTTGGTTTTGGTCTTGGTTGCGGTTTACTGTGGTCTGGGTTTGGGTCTGTTTTGGGTTCGCGTAACCAGTCTGCCATTTTTTTCGCCACAGCCACAGCCACAGCTTGCCCCGACTCCTCCCTGCATCATTAACGCGCGTTGCAGCCAAAAGGCAATTGCAAACAGCAACAACAAAGAAATAATTGCACATGGCAACAGCAACAACAATAACAACAACAACCACAACAAGGCTATAGTTGATGCCGTTCCCTCGTTGGGTCCATCGTTTCGGCCGGGTCGCCGTTGTGTGTTGCTCTGTTAATTTTACAGCCATGTCTGATATTGCTAAATGGCTGTGAGTGGATTCGTTTAAGCACCAATTTTATTACCAACAAGCATCACGTTGCATCTGCATCAATTCGGGCTCCATTCCATTCCACAAGCTGGTTGCTGCAAGTGCTTCAGCTTCAGCTCCAACCTCGGCGAAGTGAGATCCAATCAGATGCAATCCTTTTGCATTGGCCTCGCCAGTTGTTGCAACGACAACAACAGCAACAACATGGGCAACAACATGGGCAACAACCAGCTTGCTGCCCATTATAAGAGCGGGCCTGACCACAGTTGTTGTTGTGATTTTTGCGCCTATTTTGCATTTGGCAGGGGATTGGCTGCTCACTAAAAGAAACAACGCCCCCCTGCAGCTGCCATTAATCGTTAATCATCCTTCGCATTGCACTCCAAATATTTACAACTAATACATTTTTTGTAATTTTCAATGTGATTAAATCAAAATATATATTTTAACTTTATTAATTATGGATATATTTGTATGCTTTATTCATTTTTCTTAAACAGACTTGCACTGATAAAATATTTGGCTTATGGAATATTGTATAAAAAACTTATTTGCCTAGCTAGAAATGACAAGAAATGATTAGACCTTACCCAAAAAGGGAAATCATATGCTTGTCACATTTGGACCAAAAATTGTTCAGATCGAACTACTATATCATATATTCAGGGTCTGTCATAGTCGATCCTTTTTGTTTTGTATTTATTTTTTCATATATTATATTAAAAGCTAAAAATTACCAATTTTATTTCTTTTAAGCAGAACCTAATTTTTCCAGCAATATTTCTGGGATCGTATTCACTTAAGATATCTGAACTGAATCAAAATTATTACTGGTCTTCCTTGCTGTTGCCTGGGATCACTGTCAAAAACTTGAAGTTATTTCGATACTTGAACTTTGATCGCGT